AAATGCGATTTCCCACTGGCCGGGTTTGACTCCATTTTTCCAGTTATTTGCTGTCGGCAGACTAGAACTCGGCTAACTCGAACTCCCTTTTAACGCACACTAGTTTGACTTTCCATTGGATAAAATTTACTTCAATAACTAGACCTTTCAGGAAAATCGTCGATAGGTAAACTTCAAAGCGTCAGAACATAGCTGATCGACATGTTCCAATCTTTAATCGCTTTAGATACGAACGTGATAACATTCATGAAAACGTAATAGCGTATATAATAACGTATTTAGCCAAATTTTCCAGACTAAGTGTTCTTATCAAAAAGCCACCATGAAATAAAAATTACCCAATGAACGAAAATGACTGTTGATTGTGTAAGAATGGTAAAAACATGATTCCTTGTTTAATATTAACAGGGTAATAGAAATTCAACACCAATTCCGATAAATCGAACCTCCGCCAACTCGAACCTTTTTTCGGTTCCCTCGAGAGTTCGAGTGAGTTTTTTCCTGAAAACGCTTTTGGCTCCTAAGAGCATTTCAATTTTTAGAATATTCAAGGCCATTTCAGACGTTTTGAACCTACTTCAGAGCCTAACATTAGGTCTGCCCTCATTTCTTGACTCATCTGGTAATAGCAGGAACCTGTTGTTCTAAGAACCTGGTCACTGACGTTTTTAAAAGTATTGCAGAAAAAGAGATTTAGTTTTTAATGGGAGCAATCAGTTCAAAATAGTTTGCGGTTTACGATACTTTTGGAGGACTTTTCCGGAAGGAAGAGGAATTTTCTCTAATAGTAAAATCAGAAGAAAGAAGAGCTGTGCATTTATCGCTCAAATGGGTGCATTTACAAGAAGAAACAATACAACCCTTGTGTAAAAATAACGTTTTTTTTTACAATCCATTTCCTTGATACGTTAGTATTAATATCGAAAAGGATGAAAATCAAAATAACAAAAATAATTGGCCTCTGCCAATAGTTCCAAGGTTTATTGCTATTTACCCGATTAGAAATTCGAAGAATAGATATCATTAATTCATGAAAATACATGATGTTACTTTAGAAAAATCTGGGCCAATATTGTGTAACACGTTAGCCTCACCCTACTTTACTTTCCTACTTTCTAAGTCCAAATTAAATAAACACAATTGCTGCTAAATCAAAAATCTCTGAAACTTCGAAATAGCATAACAATTCTTTTAATCCATGGGCTGTTGCTAGAACAATACGTTGCTCATTTTCCTAAGTCAAACACGTGATCGCCTGAATGAGTTCTTCAAGCAGGTGGAATAATTTGATTTATCTTTCAAAACCTAATGTCAAAGTTATGCATTAAGAATCAATGTAATCAACAACAAAATTACTGAACGTCCGTCGTAAACGTTTACAACAACCCTCGCTTAGAGCTACAGCACGACTGTTCAGCTCTCCGTTATTGCTGTGTTCGCCACATATCACCCGCTTGGTAAGTAACCATGAGATGCATAACTCTACCAATTACGAAATCTATGATTTTTGGAAGCAAAGTCGGACTGTTTTGTTCTGGAACTAACTCACTTCCCCTTTCCTTTATTATGAAAAATTCTGCCGCATTTCAAGTAAATTGTAATATGAAGAAAATATGTTTTTGAAATTGTATTTTACTACCTGTTCCTCGTATTCTAGATTTTAAGAGATAACACCTCTACCCTAAGTTTTTGTCACACAGATCCTAGCTATTAAAAACGGGCACTATGTTGGTGCATCTTCAAATCTCTCGGCAAATTGCGCATTTTCTTAATTCTTTAATAACACCTCGTTCCGCATCTGTATTAAAAACAAAGAACAAATAGAGTTTCTACGATATCAGTCTTATTACGATTTGAATTGATTTGAGAAGAGACATTTCAATTCAAGGAGAGCTTTTACAATTGCTCATTCGAACACATTCCACCATCAATTAGGAAAAAATGTGCGAAACAATTGGCTTCCGAATCTCTCCTAAAACGTTGTTATATTGATTATGTTTAATAAATTTAAATATTCCACTCATTTATAAAGTTATCAATGAAATGTTTGTGTGACACCCTCACCATTCATACTAGGAAAAACATGCATTTATTTCAACTTAGACAATTCGCCAAAAATTTTCTTAGGATAAAAATAATTCTAGTGTCACATTTGTCCCTAACCAAAAAGATCGGAAAGGTATGTTGGCAATCGAACGATAAAGCGACATCAAAAACCCCCTTAAAAGACCTCTATTATTTAAAACACTAAATAGCGGCTCTGCTATCCTGTCCTTCCACATGCAGTTTCATTTTTTCCTTTCAATAATTTCCAGTAATAAAGAATTAGTTCTTTCTCTCAATACCACTCAGTTTAAAATGATTGGAAAGGGGAAGCCGAGGAAAGGATGGGAGTTATCGCTTATTTTGCTACAAATCCCATCATTCCCATGTAGAAGGTTAACTTCTTTCAAGAGATAATAACCTGAGATTATAATCTCCTGCATATTTTCAGTCATATTCAGTTACTTAATATGCGGTGTAAATTTGTCATTCATAATGTAACATACCAACCTCACCAAATTTATATTGACTCATGTTTGTTTACCCAGGTTCATATTAAAACATTATGCTTGTTGCAAAAATGAAAGGCGACACATGACGACTATCTTTCTTACCAACGTCGTGTTACTATCATAACAATTTCCGGAATTCCTTCTCGTTCCGGTCAACAAATTCCCATTTAAGTGCCTTTAAACTGATGTTATAACTTCATACCTGTTTAATGTCAATTTTAAAGTATTGGTAAGGCGCAGATGGGTGGAATCCAGCTAAAGAACGTCCAACGCTATGGGGAAGACACCGGGGACTCTGTCCTTTCCCTTCTTCTTTAATCCCTGTTCTCTGCCACAGGTCTGTTTAAAATAGATTCAATCTCTTTCCTTTAATCACTATATGGCAGACTCTGAATCTCATCACTTCTAGCTAACTCTAACTCTGATTATCCCGAAGTGCTAACTTGCGAATCAACTGACCGTATCGCAATCCAGACCTACTTTCACGTGAGTTTTACGAATGAAAAACAACTTACCTGACGTTTCTGATCAAACAAACAATTTTTGACTATGAAAGCCAAAAAAAGGAACTCTAGTAGTGTAGGTCTTGGGCAAGAACAGACGACGAACTAGGCACTTCCACCGATGAATGATAGCCAAGTCAATCAACATCAGGGATCTCTGCATAATAGCTAAAACCCAAATGACTTCAGACTTCAAATTCAAAACTTACCTAGACACAAATGAATCACTGAATCATACTGCCCTACGATTCCCTAACTAAATACTCCAAGACAGTATTGAAGTAAACGACCGTTTAATTCCTTACTGAACGTTTCTTCATTCATGTCAGTTCATTTAGATCCTGCATTCGACGACCGAACTCAGCAAGATGAAAACAACAACCGTTTGGTGTTTCGCCATTGCTATCTCAGTGTTACCTGTTACCGTATCCTCGAAAAGTAACTCCGCTGGTAGATACGAACAATTTATATTTCTTTTAATTGATTACATGCGTGAGTTTATGGTGTCTTGTTGTGCCAGGTCTGTTCGGGAGTTGTATCAGCATTCGTTTCCCGCCTCTTCTATCTAATTTAGTAGTTAGTGTAGTTGTTTCTGGAAGAAAAAGGCACGTCCAGACTGTTTATTCCGTCGTATGAATTGACTTTTTGTGGACTGATTGCTGAAAGATTCGTCTTTGAAGAAATGTGTTCTGATCGTGGTTACGCACTTCCCCTTGACGGTGAATCGCGGTCGTGGGAGTTGATTATGCGTTGCGTTTTAAATGAAAAAAATATAAAAAACCAAGGAACTTGTCGTCGTAATTTTAACTTAAAGCGTCATGTATGGCCGTTGCAAAATTCGTCTAGTATCCCACGTGGTCTGGGAAGGAAGTTTTCAATCTTGTTTGTCTTCTGTCAATTCACAAAAATGATTAAACCTACACCAACTTACTTAAGACAAGCTACCAGCACTCTGAGACGACTATATCAAAGCATTTCCAGAACTAATAGGCCGATGAAAACGAGCTACCTTACCGAGCGATTCGAAACCAATCAATCGCAGCTGACGAAAAACCTGCATATTAGAACATAGGTTCTTTTTAAGTTAACCTCCGTCTAAGGTTCTTAGACAAATGGTGATTACAATGAAATTAGACTACATTGGTTCTTAATCTGGTTCTTAATATTTGTTTAAAAAAGAGAAACCTCTATTGGTGGGTTGGGTGTCACACTGTGCTGTATGCCAACCTCATATAGTGCCCTGTAGTTAGTCGGATATGTTGCACACTTATGGATGTATTGACAGTACGGTATTGTGTTCTGGCTAGTTTTTGTTGCCCTTTTTGTAACGAATGTAATGTACTGTAACATATTTGAAAAATCTCTATATTCTAACAGTAAAAACCTGTATTGAAATTTTAGCCTTAATGGTTATTATGTGAAGAGTGCTTAACCCTTTAACCCCCAAGATCTCATTAGTATTTCTCCCTACTGTCTGTCAAATTGATTATCATTATGTTTGGAGAATTCGATATCGGATCAATTAATAATCCCATGATTTATGTTTTCCTTTATTCTCATCACTTGTCTGCATGATATTGTATACATATTGTAAGGAGAAATTCTGTGGGGGTCACTCGCGGGAGTTAAAAGGATAAAGGGGAAATTTTACCAAAGAGGATCTTTAGTTTTAAGTTATACATGGGTTTTTATTGTTGTTGAGTCTTCCCACAAAAAGCAGCCAGGTAAAAGTAACCAATTAACTTCACAAAACCAGGATAAGCTAAAGACCCGACTGACAGATAAGGTACCCCTCGTCTCTGATGATGATACAGCTCAATTGTCATAGCTTTAGGTCACTGTCATCGATCTAACTGCATGATCGATCAAATTAATTCAGTTAAGTAGTTAAATTAAACCGATGAGACTACCCCATGCTTGCTTTGCAATATTGTAACCGATTATGTGTGATTTTCCTTCAGAGGAATCGCCAAATGAAAGAAAAAGATTTCTCTGGGGCGGAACTACCGTTCCCCCTTTTTTCGTTAGAGACAAACGTCCAGTTGGCCTTCCTGACATTGATCGAGGGACAGAAATTCAGCAAGGAACGCCCCCTTATTTTGTTTCTCTCTTTGATCCTACCACAAACACTCCTTTTTACTCAGCCTACAAAGTTTTACCCGAGCAGGCAGCGAAACTTGGCACGCATAGGAGACTTAGACAACGTTGGAGTGATCCTCCAGGTACGTAAATGGCTATTTAACAATTACTTACTTCAAGACCGATTGGACGACAATCAATCCATGAAACAAATACAAAGGCTTGGAGCATACCCTGCGTTGCTATAAACACACAACGTTATTTAGAAGTGGGGAAAGTCATCATATTTCTACTTCTTAAATTATTTCCGCAGCGTTTCTTAATAGAAGTACTAACCCCTTAAAGGCCTCTTTACTCGTATGCTCCTAGAAAAGCCTTTTTTTGCAAAGAGAAATGTGCAGTCAGAGGGCTTCATACTCCCGTAATTTCAGAAAAGAGATACAAAGAAAAAAGGGACATGGTTCCCTGGAATGTTCAAAGATCACTTTTAGTCTATAACTAGTAATTTCATCATCGTGAGAAACAACAAAATATTACCACTATCGTCATGGTATTCATAAGAATATGAATTGGTTATTTAAATGTTAGAAGTTATCCGTATTCATGGATGACTGTGGCTCATGATTATAGGTGTTCCTGGTCTCGATGATGCTTATAAACAAGCCAACCGAGAAGCCATACGCAGTTTCAGGAATGAACTTACCAGAGGCCATATGAATCCCTCAGGTATCAACTCCTTTGACATAAATTTCATGAGGGCTACTTTCACTCTTACGAATGCTGTACCTCAGTTTGACACATCAAACAACGGACTTTGGCAGGAGTTTGAGCAAAAGATAAACGATTATGCCAAAATTACCTGTGGGAGCCAAACCCGCCAAGGAACCCTTTACTTACTGACAGGCAGATCTGAAAATGGCCTTAATGCTGTACCGAAGCCGCACGTTACGAACACATTTACAGTGGGACGAAGAAGAGTGAGACTTGAAACTCCTGCGGCTGTTTGGACGGCGGGATGCTGTGTGTGGAAAGAGCCCGGAAGGATCTTTGGAAACTTATGGAAAACTGAAAAGGCCGAGTCCTTTGCAGTGATGAGCAACAATCATTATGACAAAAAGCAGCTACACCAGACACAAATGAGCGTAAATGAGCTGGAGGCGCACTTGAAGGCACCAGCATCGACAACGAACGTGGATTTGTTTCCAGGAAATACAAATTGTGCTCGAAACAACAAAAGACTATAATCATAAATCGTCGAGAAATAAATCCTGGGAACAGGCTCTAAACATTCTAAAGAAACTGTTCCGGAAGCCATCATAAAAACAAAACGAAAAGAATCCTTCCTTTCGTTATAGAATCTTTTAAAACATGCATATAAAACCCTAATTTAAGACGAGACATTAGGCTGGAGGTTAGCCTTTTAAATTTATCAAGTAAAAGTTTTTTTTTCTATAGGCTTCAAGTTAGGCAAAGAATACTTGTATTTATTGCAGCAACATATCTTATTTGATTGTGCAGTAAAATGAATGTAACCTTAGCTTTACTTCCGCAACTTTGTGCGTGGAAAAGCCGGCGAAACCCATCTCAGTTTACTCCAATGCACTCTAATACAGTTTAATCGAACCCAAATCCTCTCTAATTCAACATACGAAATTCAAGTTAGCTCTTCCTGACCCTCACCAATCCAACCCAATCTACTAGTTTCAATTTCAAAGTACTAATTTCAAAGTACTTCAGGCAGATTCGTCAAGAAAATTTATTCCAAACCAGTCTAATCCACTAGACAGGGGTTAAGTTTCTAAGATACTGCGGTGCTGCGTCGGTGGGGGAATATAACAGGGCAATTTATAGTGAAATAGAGTTTATTTGCTTGGACTATGGTAAATTAGGTAATTTAGTACTATCAACTGAGTTGATAACGTAAATTGGCTATCGTAATGAATTCACTCCAAAGTACACCACCTTGCCTCAACTGCATTCATGTCAAGAATCGATAATCTCAAAATTCCCTATTTGGAATGGTTGTCAGCATTCCTAAGAACACCATTATTGAAAGCTTAAGCCTGAGCATTTTCAAACGCCTTCAATTAAATTTTCATGCTGCAATGTGGTACAAGTAACTTAAGCAAAATTATACTTACACAATTCTAAACAAGGGATGTCAGCCTACATACTCGCTCGCTACAACTTTTGAGGGATCAAAGAGAAACAAAGAACAAAGAAATAAATATGCGAAGCAGTAAAAAAAAAAAGTTGGAAGTTTGAATTCTAAAGAGAATCTACATTACAGTCATCAAATCCTTAGCTAATCCTATGTATCCTCGCAAATATATACGTTCAATTATTGTCATAACTTCGCCCAGGCATTCATGCTTTCAAGGAATCATTGAGTTTTGCCTTTTCCGGAACAGCCCACTCAGCCTATGCTCTAGACTGAATTCGGGCCGATTATATTTTGAGACTTAACCTGGGGCTTTCAAATGGAAATTCGATAAAAATTATCCAGCACTGACATAAACCTCACAAGTATAACTTTCTTTCTTTGAGTACTAAGGCAGCTAAAAAAATCGCTGGAACTGCGAAATAATACAATTATTTTCATCCATAGCCAGTCGCCGTCGCCAGAACAATACGGTGCTCACCCTAAATGAGTAACTCAGCAGGTGAAATTATTTATTACATCTTTAAAAAGCTAATTTCAAATTTATGCATTAAGAAGCACTTTACTGAACAAAGGAATTACTGAACGTCCGTCGTAAACATTTACAATATTTTGAAGCGTTTTTGGGACCTTGCACGACCCTATGGCGTTCCGTCGTTGCCGTGTTCTCGACATATTCCTCCTTGGAAAGTAACCATCGGATGCATAACCCTGCTAAATAATATTTACCCTCATTCGATCATGTACTTTTTTATAAGATTTTTGAAAGCAAAGCCGGATTCCATGTTTTCTTCTGGAACAGCATAACTTGCTTCTTTTGTAGAGGCATTTTACCACATTGAATTTCTAATATGAAGAAAGTCAGTTTTTGAAACTGCAGTTTATTGGCTCTTTGCGAACCAGAATTTAAGGCCCCTTGTCTCTACCCAGAGTTTCATTGTCACACAGACTACTGATGTTAAAAACGGTTAATATGTTGGTGGAAATTCACATCTCACGACAAATTGCGACTTTGCTAAATCCATATCAACACTGAACTCTTAATACAACTGTATCAAAAGCGAAATACAAAAAATCATATTCTACGATGCATGTTTTACGATATAAATCATACTACGATTTGAATCAATTTTAGGAAACATCTCAAAACGAGGAGAGTTTTCACAATCGTTCATTTACCGTTTATCATAATATAATTTCGAATGGACTTTATTTCGGTAAAGTGCATCCGGATTTTTATTCTTAGAGTAAGCAATGTATGTACGCGCGTCTCCCGATATTCAGCTTAAAAGTTTCCACTCATTAAATAAAATGTCTTACAGACGCACTCATTATTCATGCAAATAAAACAGTCGACGGGAAAACAAGCCAAATCGCCAAGAATTTGCCAGATAATAATAATTATTGTAACATTAAAAATACGAAATAGTGGCCTCATTACCTTTTCATTCCAGATGCAGTTCCATCTCTTTCTTTCATTTGTTTCGACGATTAGAAATTTCTCTCAATGCTACGTGCCCATGCAGTGGAAACGTTGTTTCAAAATCATTGAAAAGGGAAAGTAAAAAGGATGAACTTTATCGCTATTTTGCTACAGTTTCAATCACTGCCTTGTGGAAGACAATCACTATTCATTCAAAATCCTTTACCTTGCCATTTAAAATGTTATATGCTGGCCTGACCAATATTAAATCGCCACACTTGTTACAGAAAGAGAAGCCGGCGCGCGAGGATTAACTTTCTTACCACGAACGTTCTATTATACATGATATTAACTTCCCAAATTCCTCTTCGTTTCGATGAACGAATTTCCATTTAAATGGCCTTTAACTGGTGGAATAGCTTGATACCTGTTTGATGTCAATTTCATAATATAGTCACGGCGAAGATAGGGGGGGAGTTAAGCTGCAAAGGCCACATACTTGAGACAAACACCATACATCCAACGCCGTTTCGACTTCAATCTTTTAGGTAACAGCATAACCCGTAGAACATGTATAACTTGACTGCCAGAGACGATCCAATCATTGCAAACACATCAATAAATGTATTTTCGAGAAAAACAGCCACATCAGCAGAGTGCTTAGTGAGGTGGCTATACACGAGCGGATTTCATCTTTCTTTTATTTAATCCAGGATTCGAGGTCGTGCAGAAGTCTACATTTCTCTTGTGTTCTTCAACAAGTGTGGACGATTAATGAGTACTTCGGACTAGTGTACCAAACCCGGGATGTAAAAAACTCAAACATTCCCAAGTCAAAGATTCGTCGCATAATACATTGTATTTAGTGGTCTTCGTGTTTATGCATTTGGCGTGAAACCAGGAGTCACGTAAATCGCATTCAATAACGTTTTGGTTTCTCCTGTCCATAAAATCATGTAGGCAGCAAAAGCAATCACATTTCTAAACTTCAAAGCTGCTGTACACTCTACCGATGGCGGCTGATTTTCGTCTTCATTGTACTTCCGAGACGAAATAGAATGAAATGCTTCCCATTACAACCGCTCGATATGGAGAAATTATTCGCGTTGTTACCTCGCTTCTCTGTAGATTTCTGGCACTCCAAGCTGATGAAGAGAGTCAGTCAAACTCAACTAAGTAGGAACGAGAAACATTTGTTTTCCCCTGCCTTTATGCAAAATAAGACTCAGTTCACCTAGATCCTGCATTCGACGACCGGACCCGGCAAGGTGAAAACAACAATCTTTTGGTTTTTCGAATTTGCTATCTCAGTGTTACCTTTTACCGTATTCTCGAAAAGTATCTCCACTGGTTAATAAAAGCAATGTACATGTTTCCTGAAAGATTATATGCAGTCTTCAATGTTGTTGCCGAGCAGACACCCGTAATTCGTAGGATCCCCGGGGGCAAATTCCATAATGTAGGTGTCGGAAGCTGGTCTTTAAACTCTCCGAGAAAGTTACCGAAGGAGGATTTGATTCTCTGGGAAGGGTCGAGAAGATGACACTGTCTATATCATTGAACAGGACACGTTCTTGTAGCACATCCATAGCATCGTAGAGACGAAGATGGGTCCAATGCGTGGTGAAACAAATATTTCCAGGTTAAGTGAAAAAGGATCGTCTTCCGCCTCGTGTATGAAATTAACTTCTCTCCGGCATGGGGATGACGTCAGTACCGGATATACTTGTCACTTTCGTCGAACTCACTGAATTTACGGGGTTCGTTCAATTCTTACACCTGGGTCTAACCCCTAAGTTTTCCCCACATAGAGTTGAAAATCTTTTTAGCCAAAGAGCGCTTTCCAGGGTTCTTAGCAATCTTTGAAGGGTCGAATTCGATACCTTAATGAACTTTTTAGGCCACCAGAAGTTCTTGGCTTTTCTGTGGATTGCCACTCAATTATCCGCTGGGATCCTCTTTGTTAGCGCTTCGTGTTCACATAATCTCGGAAGAATTCGTGGATAGGAATGATTTGTACCCGTTCTCTACTGCTTCCTCTCAGTCTGGAGTGCAACACGAATTTCAATCAGAGAACGAATTTTAGTTAATTTCTTAACCTTGTTGTTAGTCTTTGACTGCCATTTCTATCATATACTGAAACCAAGACACTCAGGGAAATAAGCTTGGACTCGCCGTGGAACATACTCTTATTTCCCTCCTGTTTTATTTTACTTTCAAATATCAGTTCATTTCTTTCTTGTTAGAAACATGGTTAAAATATCTTTACTTTTTATTTTTAATCTAAACACCAGTTAAAAAAAGGAAAAACAATTATCCCACTCTTTATCATTCAAAATGCAATACCAGTTGTTATTGTGTAGAGTTGTTCCATTGGATACAGTGCAATAAATTACTCACTAAACGGCCATTTGCTTGCTCCTCTTGAGGTCGAAGTTATTTTTATCGAGGAGGTTGGATAAGAGAGGTGACGCACAATTTTCTGTTTCCGCGGGGTTTGACACGAAATTTTTAAAATGTTTACTGTATGAAATGCACACAGAAAAATTGAATTTGAGAGATTATCACCAGAACCAACCTATTGATGGATATTTATGTCTGTCTTTGCCTGTATCTGTTCTCCTTCTTCATCTGCTTTTCGGTTCTTTAAGTTAAGCTTGTACAAGTTTCTCCCTTTTATAAACACTAAACAGCACAACATCAAAGAAAAAAAAATTGATAAAAAAAAAAAGGAAAAAATATTCCCCTACAGGCTAAAACTAGTCACAACACATGCATAAGACATAAGCCCTTCTTAAGGCCATTATGTTTCACAACAGAATAAACAAGACAATTAGACAGGACATCTTTTATTAGTGTAACAATAGCTTTGCCGATGCGAAGCACTCACATAGTGGGGTTTTATTTAGCGCAGTAACACCAGCTGCTGACCACAAGTACACAGTTGGGTACTTCATGTAAGTGATAAGCTTGCGAGAAATTATTGACCTCTTAAGCTCTTTTCACAGTTTTTATATATATAAATTCCTTGCATTCCCATAAAATGAATAATGTTGTAACTCTTTAATAAAAAAAAAAACCAAACAAAAATAAAACTAGAGTTCTTCAATAAAAAAATACAGGCTAAAATAAACTGGTGGATGGCTTATTTCAGCTCTAAAACCAATTTGTTTGCTTATTCTAAAATGACAACACATCATTTAAGTAGAATTAACATAAACAAGATTGTTAGAACTTTTCATCTTTATTCTCATTGTGTAGTCGTGTGACATATCTGTTAAGGTCCCACATGGCAAAACATGATAAATTATTCAGTGAGAAGTTTCCATTTTCATAGTCGTGAGTTACCTGACTATTTACTGAGGAATAGCTTCGTGAAAACTAGGGGTTGAAACGGAAGAAGGAATTTTTACAACTAATGTGCGGTTATTGAATAAGTAATTTTTTTGCCTGTGGTTGGGGAACCTGGAGCAGTGATAGTAACCAATGAAAGAGGACGACATTCGATGGCAAACAGTGCTATTTTACATTTTTCTTTTATTCTTTCTTATATTTTCTTTTTCTTTCTTCAGGTCTACCTCTTCTTTGTTACAAACACCATGGATATTTATCTCAAGTTTTTATAACAATTTGATTACAATTTGAAAATACCAGTTAAAACGCATAAACTGGTGGTGAAAGTTAAGTAGAGTTAAGCCATTGGACACTACATTATAAGTTATTTACCAGAAGAAAATTGGCGTGCGGATCTTGTGATGTCAGTAGTTATTTCTTCGAGAACCCAAGAGTTGAAAGGTAAGAGTGTTGCCAAGTAATTTTGTTGGAGAAAATCAGATTGGCTCAGATTTTTGGTAATTTTGCACTACTAAATACGCGATAAATATTTGACATTTGTCTTGGAGATTTTCTAATCTTAGTTCTAGATAATTAAAAGTCGGCAATATTTATTCAGGTTGGTAAAGATGACTTTGAAAGAGTTGGTGATCTTTTGTTCATGGTGCACTAGATAGGTAATTTAGTAGTTGAAAAAAAATGGTAAAACCCATTATTTATGCGTACTGACTTTAAGAAGAGAAAGCATAATTCCAGTGAATTTCATCATGAGCATTTGACCACCTTTGTAAGATAGATCTTGAGAGTAAAATACTCCAAGCCAGAAATTGGTACAAAATAGTTGCGTCCCCTTCAACTCATAAAATCACCAGTAAAAAAACACAAATCACTTTTTTTTTTAACCGAAGTGGCTCATCAGGCTGTAAAAGAACTTTACTCGTTGTGTTTCACAATATCCATGATAAAGGGAAAATGTCTTGTGAAACAATTGACAAGGGCGAAGTGACCTCCGAAGACGAAACAATGTTTATCTCATTATTTTCAGACCGCAACTCGGACATAGGACATAAACGTTTCTTTACAAGTCCTATGTAGAATGATGTTACATGTTCATGTTAAGATCCATTTATCTAAGGCAGAAGCAAGGTCTGAACTTAAAAACGAAAGAAGAGAAGAAAAGGGAAAGGAGTTTTAATTCCTTCAATCGCTCGATTTCTCAAATTTGTTCGTTTAATCTATGTTTTTGTAGCGTTGAAATGATGGTAGCCATCTTGTATAATCTTGACTGGCCTGACGTGTACGTTTAGTCTGCGGGAACCACGACATAAATACCCCTATTAAAAAAAATGGAAGCATGTTTTTTTTGGGTCCTTGTAAGTTTGGAACTTCTAAGCTTGGAGAATTTTGACGGATATATATAGTCTTATCATGAATTACAGGAAAATATTTAAGGGAGTATGTGGGCTTCTCTTGTAGGACTGCTGTGAAGACGAGCGTCTTAGAAAAAGAATACTTGAAGTCTTCTTTTTTACTAATTTTTGAGCGCCAAACGTGAAATTCTTTATTCCAAAAAAAATGAACTTTTATTTACAGGCATCAACGGGCAATAAGAACAAGTAGTAAAAATTGCTTGAAGGTTTCCATCGGACGAGACTTCGTATAAGCAATCAATTATTCACTGAACAATAGTGTTATTAACATCACGTAAATGTACTCGTCATTTCTGTTCAAGAACTAGAGAGGACCGGTAAGAAGCGAGACATATTCTTTAAAAAAGGAAATCACATTTTGCCTACGTGAATTTAAATGTTTTCATAATTACTTGACTACTCTGAAAAATTCAAGGAGAAGTTCACCAATTTTTACGAGAAATAGGATATCACGTATCCCAACCTCCTCTATGGTATTAATTTCATCTGCTTTTCGTTATGGATTATTGTTTAATTTGAGGATATCAATATCAACGTTTGATCTTACTAACATAGCCGCTAAATTCTTATTAACGTCGAAAGTAATGCGAGCAAGGCTTTTAGCTAATAAACCTTGAAACCTTTTGTGATCTAATGTTATGTAAAAATCTGTAATTCATTTATATTGTACTTACAATGCAGATAACAAAATATCATATGGGAAAGGAGTGGCAGAAAACGTTGCTGCAGTTTTTATTCGTTGCTTTGATCATGAGATTTGATAAGTTTAACGTTAGGTGGGTGATGGGTTTTTTCCACTGTATGGCAATTAATCCGCGGGATAAGAGTTATTTGATTTCTGAAAAGACCGGGGCCAGATAAAGATGTTCGCTAGTGCTAGACTGATTTTCGGTATCGTATCACTAATTAGCCATACATTTTCAATACAAGTATTAACTGAAGTGTATTGGCAATATTACGTATTACCCTTTATCAAAAATTGACTGTCAAAGACTGCCTGCGGCCACTAGTATAACACAATTTTTATAGCATTGAAATGAATTAGAGCTCGTAAAATAACGCTAGAAGGTGGTGTTGAAGGATATTCGTCTCAAATGCAAAACATGAAACCTGCCACATCCCACATATTTATGAGTACCCTGTTCCAAAAGAGAACTAATTGACATTCAACCAATGCTTAAATGGTAACAAATAATAATATTAACTACAATAATTATAATAATGATAAAAAATAGTACTGTAATAATATCTTAAAGGGGCTACCTCGAAAGCTTTATAGTTCCCCCATCCCCTGAGCTCCAACAATGATTACCTATGCTACTTTCCATTTCGCCTGTTTACACTGCACACGGTATGTTATGAATGCACGGCCGAGCGGTACACATAAATAATTTTCTAAATTTATTGCAATTTTTCGTTTCAGACAAAGAGGCATTCCGCGTTTTAGGATATTCCGTCATTCCGCGTCTTAAGATATTCCGCCATTCCTCAGTTCCATCATTTTGCCGAATAAATCAAGGTATCGTATTTAAACGGAAAAAAAATTCGTTTAAGTTTTCATGATGTACCGATCGCATTCATGGACATATTTCTGCAAGGAAAAGTTTTGATTTAGACTATACGTCGGAGGATGCCGCTGTAAAGTTATTGAGATATTTTTTTCGTCTTTTGTTGTGTCACGGCAAGGAATGAAGAGATTACATCTTCGGATCTACATAATTTGCTGATTTAGACAGTAAAATGCTCTATCTTCAAAGACAAACATCTTCCTCAAGTTTCATGATACGTTTTTAATCGCGAGATCCTGAAATCATTGTGAGATGCTTACGTAGCGTCACGGCGTGAACTGTAAAGATAATGTGCTACCGTCTTTAAGCCAGAAATCACAAGAGGAGAGAACTCAAATGTGTATCGAGTACAATTGCCGAACTACTTAGATACTCCGAAAAAAACAATAAGTAGCACTGGGAAACATCAGGTTAAGATCGGAATTCTATTACACTCACTCACTTATCTCGACAATATATGTAGCTTCTCTTCCTAAAGGAAGTAGTAGCCGCAAAAACTGGATCATTGGATAACGCAGTTCATGAGCTACCATTGGCTTAGCCGTCATGACTTATGAGCCATTATACCATGCGCGCGCACGAGGAGGAGTTAAACTAAAAGTGTTTTGTACAGTGTAACATTCCATTTGTTCTTACTAAGTAAAGTTGGGAATATTTATCTCTATTTTGGGGAGTTTTTGATGCAATAATTATTCCTCTCTTTCTTGCTGTATATTAGATGATTATATCTAGCTCAGCCCTATGGCCATCATAGGCTATCTGTAAGGTTGAATTAAGAGATTGATTACGTAACCTCCAATATTTTGTGTGTCAGATACTACTAGTCCAATGGCTGCCCAGAGGAGTCTTCTTTCGTTGGTTGTTTTGCTTTTGGTTATAAACTGGCCACATGTGGAGAGCAAAACCTTGGACAAAGAGGTCTCAGGTGTCAACGATGGAGTCGCATTGAGAGAGAAGAGATTCGCAGTGGATCCTCTGAGCGCAATCGGCCTTGCTGTGAGTGTAGCCTCAGCCATTCAAAGCGCTGTTTGTACGTTTTCAAGTGTCTGCGGTGGTGATGAAGTCACTCAAGCGCTCGAAAGGATGGAGGAAAAGCTGGATGCCATACAGAATGACGTCACAAGCATCAGGCATGATGTGGAAGAAATTTGGAATGAATCAAAACGCAAATGGTACTTTAAACACATAGATAACATCATCCAACAGAGGAAGGCGGTTATCGCCGACTTAAAGAATAAAGACTACACACAGCGGGCTAAAGACAAGCAAACCCGATTTATCCATGAGGTGTTTGGTACCACATCAAAAGACGAGTACGTTGAAAAGGCACTTCTCCACATTCCAAAACTAGTCACAGATGAGGGACTGATCACTCATCACTTCGACGTCCAGATCAGAGATGGAAAATCTGTTAAAGAAGCTGCGAAACTGACATGGGCATTCATAAGGAAAATCTTTCGATACCAAGAAGATGGCTATGCCTCTATTGTCTTTGCAGCCTCCATGAAGTATAAAGATGATGAAGCATCTTACAACAGCACGATGTCTGAGGTCTGCGCTTGGTGGCCAAAGTCCACAGACCCCGAATACAAGAAGTTCTGTAAAAAGTTTGTGAAAGATACGACCGCCGAGAACCGAAGAAAGAGTCAGGAGGACTTCCTCTACGTTATAAGAGATCTGGCTCTTATTCCAGTTCAACTTGTGCAAACGGACTGCAGCAAGTTCGCGGATTCCAATGCGGTGCACTACTCCGAAGGTCATCTTTATGTTTCACAACCTGAAGTCAAAAAGATCTTGATCGTGGACCCAAAGACACTGGAGGTCGTCAAGGCCCTTTCGGTACCAGGATCTGAATGTGGTGGAAATTGCCATCCAATTGGAGTAAGCATTAAGGCAAAGGACAACTTGATGGCGATTGGTGCAAAGAGCAGTTTGCCTTCGGGTGAAAGCAAAGTCATGCTGTTCAAGATAAAGGGCGACCTCACAAAACCAAGTGGCATCAGCATCGAGCACTACTATACAATGCTTCAACTCTTTCCTGTTAATAGAAAGGACGCCGATGTAAGAGACGTTGCATTTTGTGGAAATCGCTTTGGATATGCTGATTACAATGGAGTCATATACAACTGGAGAATGCCTGACGAATTGTACTATGGCTGGAATGATGGTAAGCCGGTGCCCGACTTGTATGACCGCAACGATTGGTCACTCAGAAACCAATATAACGTCAAAAAAGACCATCAATACTACCTTGGATGTTCAAATAGCGGTAGAGACTGGCTGGTGGAAAAAACAAACCGGGCTACAAAAGGAGATGGAGTAGGTGCAGTACCGTCGGATTTCAGTGGGTCCGTAAGCAATATCTTGGAAGAAGGGGCGGAAAACGTGGTTCTGTATGAAAATTGGCATGATGTTGGAGATGGGCGCTCACGGATGAATAATTTGAAGGGATTAGCCATGGATAGCAAGAGAAACTTTTTCTATTCCTCTGGAAGGCATTGGGCAAATGGTGTCTGTGGAGTGTACCAACGCACCTACGATGGCAAACGCCGCTACATAAGAGAATGGAATAAAGAGAGCAAGATCGAAATGTTTGGCATGGCAGTAGATGAAAGCGGCTTCCTGTTCTCAATACAGAAACATGGCTCAAAGGGAAAATGTCTTTACAAGTTTCACCATGAGATCGACCTGGAGGATATCAACGTACCCTAGAAAGACGGCGTAAATATTTCAATCATTCAAGCTGCAAAATGCACAAGATAATGCATAGTATTAAACCAATAAAGATGTCCCAAAAAGGAACAGCCACAGTAATTTTTCTTCATTAAAGCCTTTTTCTAAAGGCTTAGAATCTCTCTCTGAGTTTTAGCATTCAAATTTGTCCAGTTTTGGTAGCTGTTAACACAGTGCAATTACCACGTTCATAATGATCATTCAAGTTTAACGACCCAGGTTACCCTTTGCTTTTATCATATTTCTCTTTGACAATCGGACGTTTACTCTTCCCTAGAGGAGTGCCCAACACGTAATGAACAGAATAATTAGCCACAAAGATGGGTGGAAGTTTTTACAATTCAGTCACCATGTTTACCATTTCTACATCCTCGGGTGAAAACTTTCGTAGCGAAAGGGACATGTTTTAGAGGTGTCGGGATCCACCACATTTTCCTCGTAGAGCAGTTGGTACATTTTGGTTTGCTCCATAGCAGCAATAATGTAACTTCGTCACAGACTTGGCATAGAGAACACTATTTCCCTTTACACAGGTATATGAAAAATGGAACAAGCTAGCGCAAACTTACAACCCGGGTTTGTATAAAGTGCATATTTTTAGCACTCTTGGTGATTCAACTCAGAGTAAAATTCAACCCAAGCTTCTGCTACTTGATTTTTTCTACAAGAAAAAAAGAAAAAGCTTAACTTTGCTTTAGAAGTCTCTGTAGACAATTAACCCTTCCACTAGGTTTATATTGGTACCCTGAGATCGCTTACTGCAAAGTTGCCTATTTTGGAACGTCAACAGTTTTCAAACTCTATCCCCCTAAAATCCCTTTAATCCACAGGGAACCTCTGAAAACACCTGCGCGATATTCAAACGCCGTTTCCATCCTCTCCAAGCTCCAAAAAGACCCTAACTTTTATTAGAAAGTTTCTAAAACCGGTTCCTCTCTTCAATACTACAAACAGAGCATTTTGAGCTACACTTAACCATGAAAGAAAAAAAGAAAAAAACCAAGAGCACTGCTTTGATCACGGTTAACATTTCCAGCTGTGAAGTAATAGTATGAATAAGAAATCATTTGGTAAAAGATGGAATTTTGGTTCGGTCGTACGAAAAGCTGATTCATTTCATATTGAAACAAGTAGTGAAAAACGTTTTAGATGTGTTCCAGTGATTCATTGTACTCGTCTATTCGGTTATTTTATTCATTTAGTTAATCGTTTATCGTTTTTTTCTTTGAGTTGAGAATCGAAGGTATTCACGCTGAGCTCATGAAAGTATTTTTGTCCAACTGAGCATTATGATGATGAATTCGTGGGTTCCTTAAAAAGGTTTATTTTGAACACAATAAACACTATATGAAATATTCATGTTACGTAGTTCTTCATAATATTACATAAAACAATCAAAAGAATCACCACTTTTTCAAGAGGTGGCTGTAACTAGACATTTGACGATCAAGATATGTTATCTTCATTTCGTCAGTTTTGAGAGAGCTGTATTGACACAGAGTAAGTGACCTTCTCGATCTACAAAGCATGAAAATCCCCAACGCATTTCTAATCCTAGCTATCTTCAGAATAGCCTCTACCATTACTATCGCGGCTAAAGTTGACGCTGATTGCAAAGTTAAGACAGGTCTGGGCCAAGCCCTCATAGGACATAGTTTCTCAAGTTTTACTGTGAAAGACTTTCAGGATTGCTACCAAGAATGTAAAGCCAATGAACCAAAATGTCGTAGTATGAATTACAATGGTGACCACAAACGCTGCGAGCTCAATAACGCAACTGAGACATCGCATCCGCAAGATTTGAAGGAAGTCCCTATGTCTGTATATTTTGAGAGCCGTCACCGAGGTAAATGAAACGAATGTAAAGGAGATATGCTGGCGTTTAGGTACCTTGCACAGTATAAAAACGTTACGAGCTGAAAGACACCTTTACTTTTATGTTTAATTTAAACAATGTGAATACTTAATCCACTGGCCTGTGAAACAGTTGAATTCTATTGCAAATTTTTTAAGCGACTTCTGGAAGTTATCAGCTAGCTAAAATAGATTGTATATTACGTCGGCAATCGTATAGACACTATTTCATATCTTTTCGACGACCACTTATTTTAGGAAAGATAAAACTGTGCAGAGTCGTTGTTCGTTAAGGAGATCAGAGTTTATTTACATTTCTCTGAACTGTTACACACTGGAGCAACAGTGAATTCAATTTAGTAGTAAAGCAAAATTTTATATTATAGATGATTTTTAATTTTTTCTGGTCTTCTTCTACCCTTGCTACGAAAAATTTACATTTACATGGGACGCACAAAAAAACACTGAAATTAAATAACTGGCTTAATTCAGGATAAACGTTTAAGGCTTTCCTTTTTTTTTCAATTATTAGTATCTGCAGGCTCTCAACGTCATGTCGCTGGTAAAACATGTCAGGAAATCTTATCAAGAGAGGAGTCTGCAAGCGATGGATTCTATTGGCTGAATTCAAATGATACAGAGGATCCATATGTTTCCTTCTGTAACATGACAAATGGAGGCGGTAATGTTTAAAGAAGATTCAAGCGTTATAATTTAGCAATCTGTTAAGTAAACAAATTTTCCTTCCAGGAATTCTTAAATGATTAAAATCATTCTTCGCATGTCGAATAATTGGCTTTCAAAAGAAAAAAGCCTTGGTCTGAAAGCTGCCATCAAAATTTTCACTCCCAAGATCTAATTAGTAATTCTCCTTACTATCTCCCATAGAATTCTTATGATGTTAGTTCAGAGAATTTGGTATTGGATCAACTAATAATCCCATAGTTGATACTCTTCTCTTCTCATTTATTGATATTGATATTGTATTGATATTGTAAGGAGAAATTCTGTCTTGGTCACTTGTGGTAGTGAAAGGATTAAGCACTTTGTGTCCTAGATTGTGGAAGATACGTTCGCCACATATGATTGATTTTTGAAAAAAAAAAGAAAAGAAAAGAAAAAACAGACGTTTTTATCCACTATGCATAGCCTATCATGCTCCTTCACAGTAAAAAATTCAGACTGTCATTTATACGACAATATTCGTAACACTGACTCAAAATAGTGAATACGCTCTGCTTAGACCACTTACTTTCTTGTTTCGGGATCATACACGATTACTGCGTTCACCAGGGTCGAAAAAGGCCAACGCTAATGGTAATACTTTCTTCGCAGACATCAGTGCATCGTATGACTTGATATTTCTGGACCGTAACACAACGAACTTCGTGGAACTGAATACCTCTTTACCAGACCTCTCCGCCTTCACAGTATGCTTTTGGTACAGAGCCTGGGCGCGACAGTTGGTTTTTCTGTCCTATGCCACCAGCAACATGACCGATGCTATTATGATGTTTCTTTCTGAAACCGGATTATTTCGATTCTTGGTGCTCAACAAGCAAACGTGAGTAAATAATGACTTCCATTATTTAATCAGTAAGACTATTTTCGGGGAGACACAGTATCCTTCCCCTTTGTTGGCGACTGAGTATCAGGTGGAAGGTTTGGGTTAAAAGGTTAGGATAATGGTTAGGGTTAGGATTAGAGAAAAAGCCTTTTTCTTCATTTAAGGTCATTTTTTTCTCATATAAAACTTCAAATCTTCTCAATTTTTTCCTTACGTTGTCGGGAGTCGAAGGTTGGTCAGAAATCAAATGCAACACCGAGAAATCATCTCAGAATTTAAATCTGCCCTCTCATGCATCGAAAACTATTTCTACAGGCACAGTCATACCGGTACCTATAATGATAGAGTGTGGCATCAAATGTGTGGCAAATGGACGGACAGTGATGGTTTTGTGCACCTGTTTGTAGACGGAGAGCTTCAGATACGCGGTGACACAACAATTCATGGAGTCATTCCTGGCACTGGAAAATTAATTCTGGGGCAAGATCAGGATACTTTTGGAGGTACTTTTGATAGAGAGCAGAGTTTTGTTGGTGAGATGAGCCACCTGTATCTCTGGAACACTGATTTAGAGGACAGCGTAATAAAAAGCTTGAGCATGCACTGCAAAGAGTATCCGCATCCAGGTTACATCTTGAGGTGGTCCGATTTTTCGACGGGGATAAACGGCAATATTACGAAACGTGACAATTCGAGATGTGTTACAAAGCAAGATGTTTTGCTTTAGAACGGACCTTGAAAAGGAAAGGGTTCGTGGCCTGTGAAGGTTTTGTATTGCTTATTTCAAGTCACTATAGAGTCACAAAGAAATACATTTAGGTGGAAGAAAACCGAACATTTCCTTTAGATGCACAAACAGTGACTAAGTTTCTTTCCCGTTAAAACTGGGAAAATCTATGAGTGGAAGTATGAAGTAATTCAAATCCATTTAGATTTGATTGTCAGTAAACCTTTGCACTGCCACCTTGTTATCTATAATCAAAATATATAAAAAACTCCGTAATCATAAACTCATAGTTTGTAAAGTTTTCATTTTTTCCGCCAAGTGCGATTGAACTTAATAAAAAAGGACAGTTTACAAAAAAGATAGAAATTTTTCATTTTGCAAGAATTCATGAAGTCCTTGCTTAATTTACCAAAAACCTTTAATTTCAAATTTGATTTCCTATACAACCGCCCTAATTGCTATTGGGTATGTACTTTCCTTTGTATGTTTCTTACGGCTATCAATTATTTACAGCGAGTGATGCTCAATTCTGTTGTTCACAGATATGACAATTTATAGGCAAACTACCTTTTTGACTGCTCTCAACTGACACTTAGAGGAAATATTGTCTGAAAGTATACTAAACTGTGGAGCTATGTAAATTATATGGACGAAAACTACAAGCAAGGAAGCGTGTGTATTAAAAGTTTTGCTCGGATAGAGTCAGTGCGGATGTTCAGCTTTGGTCTTTCCTATTTCATTTCATTTGCCAAAACCAAACAGAACCAGTCAAAGCCAACAAATAGTACAGAACAACTCCATTTACGAATTAGTTATTTGAATTCAGCTACAGTCATTTTAAACCTTGTAACTCGCACTCGGTTAACATGATCGAACCGAGCTGACCCAAACTCCCCTGTATGTTCATTTTTTTGTTTGCCGGACAGTTCGAGTTAGCGCGGTGTTCCACAGCACTGCCCACCCTAATAAGTCAACGCTTACATTCTTTCATGTAGGTACGTGCTTCTAAATCTTGAGTTAAATTTTTAGCTTCATTTAGATATTGTACCCATTAAAATTTAACCATCCTCGACAGAGCTTTTATCTAACAATATTCACTACATACTGTGGTTTAAGATTCCAATATAATTACAGAAGCGTTTAGACTTGTCTCCAAATGTGCTGAGTACTCGACTTCAAATGTCGCCATATTGAAAACTACTCAGGAACCTAGCCGCACACATGGCTTGGTTACTGAGTTACCAGATGACGGGAACTGAATGGCGAATTGAGACCTTGACGTGCGCTTCACCAAAAGCTGCAACTCTGGTTCACTAAAACATGCAAAAATTTTCATGCAAAAATTCCCTGCTGTGTAGCGTAGCGCCTATCTTTTCAAAACGATCGCCAAGAGCTGAGCGAAAGACGAGTAAATCGGGGTTTTGACACAGCAACCGGTTAATCTTTCTGGCCAAGAATGAACGTAACAGCACATTAAGGCAAATTTCATTTAGTTAGGGCCGTATTCCGAAGCTGAAAACGCTCTCACTTTGAGTCACAATTGTACATATAAGACTGAGACTATATGGTTTCTAGGAGTATTCTTCTCTTTTAAGAAACACTCAAGAAAAAGCTAAGGCCTCTTCCCCCCCCTCCCCCCTCTCCCCTCCCACTACCCTTAAGTGAGCCTTAAACGGGCTTGTTGGCTTGGCACGACTAGTAGTGAGCGCCCTTAGCCAGGTCATGTAGAACTTCCAAGAATGTGCTTTATGGAACGAACTGATCAGGTATAAAGTCAGAATATGAATGTGAAATTGACCTGGACTTCAAAACCTGGAATGATAAGTTGCTGGCAAACTTATTACGATTTTGTAAGTAAAGTCAATTTACAAATGATTGCGTCGCTCGCGACCTATTTACAGGTAGAGCAGCAGTGTCTTTTGGAGTTCCTACTGTTGCACCTGATCGCATCGAGCGAGGAGAAAGCCACAGGGCCTTAATATGCCTTCTGAAATCTTTGCTCTGAAAACAGTAGATAATTGGATTGGCAGCCGAGTTTAACGAAACCAGAACCACTGTCGTCGTGTGTACTACATCACCGTGAGAATTCAAACCGTAGAAATCAAGAACGTAGGCAATGAGGTTTGGAAGCCAGCATACAGCGCACACAACTGTCACGGATAACACCATTTTCGTGACACGCTTGCGTGATCTGACCACTGCAAGCTGAGGGAGGTCCACAGGCTGTGATTTTCTCACCCAAAGCTGATAAACAACTCGGCTGTACAGAACGGACATGATGGTAACCGGCAGAATACCAATCATGATGAGCCATCCCAAGCTGTAAGCATTCATGTACCAACCAGGGGGCCAGTCCTCGTAGCAGAAATCTAAATTCGCGTCGTATTTAACGAGCAGAAACAAGGGAAGATTCCAGCAGATGGAAAATAACCAACAAGCTGGGATGATAAATTTGAGTTTTTTTTTCGAAATACGACGGTTCTCGTCATGGGGATACAGCACCGCAAAGTACCTTTCAAACGCAACTCCAATTAACGATACAACCGACACCACTCCCCCTGTCCACATAAGGTTCCCACCAGTGCATAGTTTGCATAAGTACTCTCCAGTGAGGCCATTCGGATGGTTAAACGTATGGAGGAATATATATTGTGGTGCTATAAAGACGGCCACCATCATGTCAGCGCAGGCAAGGTTGATAAGCAGGAAGTTCATGGCAGTTCTCATCCGTCTGTTCCGCCAGACCACCAAGCAGACCGATGAATTGCCAACGAGGTTGACTGCCACGATCAGCGAAAACGCCGTGCGAAGACCGATTTGTGCCGCCTCAGAGTATGTAAACAAAGACATGGTGTACAGAAGATTCCAAACTTGACAGAAAGGAAACCGCTCAGATCTGAAAACAAAGTTTCAAGATATCAACAGATCGTATCGATTGGCACATGTTTTATCTTTTCCTACTAAGAGCATAAATTTTGAGTGCATTGTATTAAAATCAGGCATTCCAAAATATCTCAAATATGTCTTTGCTTCTCCAAAAAATTAATATGTCTTTAACCTCACCACAGTTATTGTTTGACAATGGTTAGTGACTTTTATACTATGCAAATGTTGCCGAGGTTTAAGTTTCTACGATTCAAAGCTAGTCGTGTTTAACCAAAATTGATTCCACACCAGAAAAAAGGGGCGAGATTGTTATTAAGCAGAGGAGTTCTGGATAGAAAATCACTGCCCCTCTCGTTGCATCCGTTTCATAGCCTACATGCCTTTGCATCTATTGAGAAAAAAAAAGTTAGCGTCTTTAACTTCACCATTGTTCAAGTTTAACATTGTTTATCTTAAAATCAGGTCTTTTAAGCTATGTCAAACATGTCTTTGCTTCCCCCCAAAAGAGAGTTTGTGTCTTTAACTTCACTATTGTTATTGTTTGACATTGGTTATTGACCTACCATGCAAATGTTGCTGAGGCCTTAGTTTCAACGATTTAGAGCTCGTCGCGTTTAAGCAAAATTGATTCCAAACCAAACAAAAAGCGCGAGACTGTTCTCAAGAAAAAAAGTTCGTGGAGAAAAAATCAGTGGAACTCTTGTTGCTTCCGTTTCATCATCTACATAATTCCAAGTTTGACGGAAAAAAATATAATTTGGCACGATTCATTTGTCTATCTGCGTTTACACAACACCGAAAAAACTAAATAAAACCTAAGAACTTGAAAGAAACCACCAGCCACGGAAATAATTAGATAGCTGTTCTTCGAAAAGGCTTTTCATTCATTGGAGAATTTAGGCTCAGCATGACATTCATGTCAAAATGCCAAAACTCCAAAATTGAAATTATTAGCCGCGTTTACTCTATGAGGTAAGAGCTTGATTTTTTCATTACCTGAGAGATGTGGATAACGTTATTCACTTTACATTACTGCACAAATCTTTTGCAAGTAGATGTGACCTGTAAAAAAAAAAACTTATGTCAAATCCTTTGTACAAGGGTAAAACAAAATAACAGCCAGGTTTGGCATCGAAGACTTCTAAGTTCAAACATGAAATTGAATGACTTATATCTTTTGACGTATGGCAATTTCTTCATCCTAAAACGTCAAACTCTGACTGCCAGTCAATTGAAATATGACAATTTCCTCTTCCGAACACTATAATTGCTAATCATGGCTCTCATTATTTGAACTGGGTGCAACAAAGTAAGACGTCACAATGTTAAGCTTTAAAGCCTTAAGGACTAAGACTGTGATAAAAAAAAAAAAAAAAAAAAAAAAAAAAAAAAAACTCGATAATTAGCCTTCTCCCTTACTTCAACGGACTCTCCTCTTTTTCCTGTTTCCATTTTTGTTTTGTTGCTTTTTATTTATTCGTTCTCTCTTTTTTCTCTTTTTTTTTTTGCTTTTCGTCTTTTATTGCTTACATTTCTTTTTGCCAAAGAATACCATACAAAGTACATCTCACTCGATAATGTGCAAAGAAGTTGAGGGCGATCGAAAACACGCTAACCCAACGACAATAATTGAATATAAATGAATTCCTGAAAAAAGGGCAGCTTTTAGTAAAACGGTCTTATCTGGAACCGTTCTGGCAAGTGGAAATTTCAATCTAACGTCTAAAAATTTGCGTTCGAGAGAAAAAGCACCACTTTAATTTTGTAGGCAATGATCATATTTTCCGGTGTAATTCTGGAAATCTCTTTACAAACGGAATGGATGTTTACCTTACACTACAACTTTCCTAAAATCGCAGATCGACTGACACACACCTTTTTCAGAAAGAATTATTTGTCAAAAGGCAGGGCGAAACCAATTTAGGCCTACTTGTTTGATTAAGGCGATTCGCTATTGACGGAAAAACGGAATCAAACACCGATGTAGCTTATAAAACTTTTTAAAGACTTCATTAACTCTCCCAGAAACTTGTAAGTTCGATATTCGATCCTAGTAAGCCCTGTTGATACAAAAATACTGCATATTTGCCTTTTAGAAAGAAGGAAAATACGGAGTTAGGATTGAAATGACTCTGTTGATGATGTCGACGATTAGCATCAATGAAATCATAACTTATTTTGATCGGTTACCAAAAGGGGATGATCGTGTCGAACTCTTTTTCATCGTCTAGATTTGAATCTCACGAATTGTGGACTGCAATTTTATCGTAAACAATTGTTCAATAGCCACCGTGAATTTATTTTCTAGGTAAACTGCTTTTGAAATCGCGCATCACTGAGCAAAATGAGATCAGTTTGTTTGCGAACTTAATTAAACGTAAGTATTTCACACACTACCTTTGAATAAGCAAGTAGAGTCTTTAGCTGTTGGCATTAACTGTTGTACGCTACTTTCGGTTGATAACTTTTTGTTTGCCTGCATATGCACTATGGGTCTCAGCTCAATGGGGGTGTTGTACGCTACTTTCGGTTGATAACTTTTTGTTTGCCTGCATATGCACTATGGGTCTCAGCTCAGTGGGGAATTTTTACCTCGTAAGCATAATATCCGTAATCTCTGTGTAAACGAATATTAGATCTCTCTTTCGTGGTTGAACGAATGGTGGCTTACGCATTACACAGCGATATGAAATCTAAACCTTAATCATTACCAAAATTAAGATCATAAAGCAGCCATATTGCAATATTACCTTAAATACGGTAATCAATGGCTCAAAATTGCATTTTATCAATTGAGAATCTCTCACTGAGTCTGCTGTGAGTATGGCGTATATTTTTCTTTTCGTTTAACAATAAGATAAGATACTCTTGATGATGGATTTTTGGCACGGTTTTCAAGCTCTCTAATTACCTTTTTTTTCACCAGTTAGTTTTAAAAGTCTTTCTTGTGTTTTCGTTTTAATTATCGACAAACACTTCTTTTCCTATGCCGGCTTCTTTCTCGTAAAAGTTTCGAAAGGCATAACTATATTACTGTATTTATCAACATCGGTGGAATATATCCAACCCTTGGTCATGTATAATAGTTCAGTTATAGAATAGGGCACAAAATTATCGTTTGTTTTTTTGATCGCTATACTGTTAACAAGCCAAATACAAAAAAAGTTTTTCGCGTCATCTGTTATCTTTCCACACCAAGTAAAAACCTTATCTCTCCGTCGTCTGATAAATAAATTACCATTTACACGATGAGATTCTGGGAAGTTTACCATTGTAATGATAATTCAATCAGTTTTCCTTTTAAGAGGCAAAGCTATAATGACATGGCCTCATTATCAGTTTTATCTCCTGGATTGCAAAGTACTGACAAGACGAAGCTCTAAATCTCTTAATAAGAATTGATGACACAGGAAAAAAAAAAGATAAATAAAAAGCACTTATAAAACACAGCTGGAATTTTCCACTTTCCCACAATGGTAATTTTAACTTGTTAGCCAGTGTATTTGTTACAAAATAATTCGACGGCCATCAACTAAGTTGGTAATGTAAATTGTCCAGCAGACAGGGTTTCAAAAGCTGACACTTCGAACGAAGTATCAGTGTTTCTGTTATTTGTTTTTAATATTAAATCTCAATAAGTTAGAGTAAACTCGAACTACACTTTTTTGCCCTTCGGTCCATTAATGATTATTCATGAATTAAAAGAGACATTTTAACGAGGAGTCACTGTGTCTTTTCATGGCGACAATCTTTTCAGTTAACACGCTAAAAGGTTGAGGAGAAAGCTGAAGATCTTAACATCATCAGCTTAGAATGACAACGAACACAACGTTCATTCGTCGGTTGAACTTTTAGAAATGCTTGAAAAAGATGCATCAAAATACCTCTTTGAAACGAAGCTCAAGATAGTTTTGACACACCTCGTTAGCAGTGAGCCTAAAACAAGTTTTAACACTCACCTTTAACACTTCATCGCAAACCTGCTCATAGGTGATTTTTAATTTTTTTCCTTGTAAAACCTTCTCCTCCGTTGCCTTCGTTTTACCGCACTGGTCAGAATTTGGTCGATACTTGCCTTGGAATAAAGTTAAGGAAAAACGAATGAATAATTGAAATAAAATATCTCATGATATCAATGAAATCACCACAACTGAGTTTGATAAGTTGTCACCATAGCATTACTTTATGTATTCTTTTCATTCGTCCAGTTTTAAACCTGTCGGATTGTGAACCTCACTTTTTGCGTTAGAGGTTCTCCTCTGTTGCCTTCCTTTTATCACATCAGTCAGAATTTGATCGGAGCTTTGTAGCGGCGTAAATTAAGCCTGTGGGTCTACTTAACCTTTCCTTTTTTGATGAGATATAATGTTTAGATATTAGGGACGTTAGGACTTGCCAAAATTTTAGTTATTAGAACCAGAACCGTGCGAAATGTAGGCGTGGTCAAGGAACAGCTTAAAAGAGAAAATGATTTTCTCCACCTTGCCTTCCACTATGCCGACGTGGAATAGCCATTTCACTCTAGACACAAAATTTTGTTAAAAAACGAAACATTAATTCAGGTTGAAAAGATGTGGATGTTTCGAATCTCCTGTTTTATCCACTAATATTAAACATATCACCTTTTTTGATTAAACGAAATTAATAACCGAACAAGTAATGTGTAACATGGCAACAGAATACTTTTAGAGCTGAAATTGTTTTCAACAGTTTTTTTTAATTAAGGAGATATTGGAAAGCTGAAAATGACCGTGTAGATAACTGCTTTTTTCACTTGCAGTTATCACACGCTTATTCCGTTGCTTCCTGTTGAGTGAATCTGTGCGGGAACAAAAAAGAAAACTGAGCCATGCAAGTAGAGTACCACCAAGTTATCCTTAGATAAAAAAAAAAATTGATGCCCTATTAAGGTCCCGTAGATAAGCTACCTGCTGTTGTTAAAAATTGCATCAAAAGTTATTTGTTTTCAAATATCTTTAATCACAACATTACCTTTTGAAATTAGCACCTTACTAACGGGGATATCGACCCAATGTTAAAATGGTAAAAAGCTCTTCTTTAAAAGCACAAAGTCATGTTGGTATACCCGGTCACCATGGCATCAATGTTAGTGATCCTCAATGAATAGAACGTTTTAAGCGCACAGTAAATGTATCGTGTTTAAAATTCAAAAGTCAGAAGAAATTCTAGTTTTTTATTGATATTTATGTCATAAAAGCGCATCATAGGTGAAAATTTTCAAAGCAGTTTACATTTCTACCTAATGATATTAGCAGTATATTTTCGCTCCTGCTTCCGGATGGAGCACACAGAAACAAACCTTTTGTTTCTTAAGTTTTTCGATCTCAGACTAGTCAACTTTTAGGATACTCTAATGCTTAACAGTCATGAAGTCAAAAATCCAAATGGCTTTCTTGAGCTTGGGAAATTTTTCAGTTTTCCAAAATGTTCTCAAAGATAAACCCGTTAAATTTTTCAACAGATAAATATTACCCAAGAGCATCGAATATTTATAATAAAATGTATTGATTTTTTTATGTGTTCTAAAATTACCTCCTTGCTCTTCCTATAAATATTTTTGGTTGCCTTTTTCAGTTTTCCAAAATGTGCTCAAAAGATGAAGCTGTTAAATTTTTCAACTTGATGGTACACAATACATATGAAATTGCACCTGTCAGTTTAAGGGTGTCTTTAATGGAAAAAAAAGGCCAAAAAATAGTTTTAAGAGGTTATTATTGGGAAAAACTCTGCCAAGCAACCATTGACTCGAGACTTTTGTGACATCTTTTGTTGAACAACTTGCTTTTAATACTAATAAATGACAGTGAATGATACAAGCATATGTACAGTCAAAAAATATGTAAACATCTTCAAAGTTAACGTTTTAGAAACTTTAACTTACTTTTACTTTTAAAAAGTAGTAGTATTTTCCAGTCAAGCTACTGGGCATACAGACTGTGCGACTATTTTTAAGATAATCATTGCTGAGATGAACACAAAAAACAAGTATTAACGAAAGTAAACTGCACATTGTAGCTGAGTGAGCCACACACGAGAGGGACTGCAGGAGTCACCATAGGTTCTATAATTTAGTATTCATCGTTAGCATGAATGACTGTAAACTAACTTATTATCAATAGCTATATCAGAAGTAAAAACTGACCAATTCTAAAGATAGTTCCTAATAAAAACTGAAAAAAAATGTTTCTGTACTTTTACATTATAAGTTCTTTTCAGATCACTGGATTGTATTCCAAATTTGTCACAAGAAATTCTATAGGTAATTGACAACAGTTTCCCTTGCCTGGAAAACACCTTGTTTTAGCCAATCAGCAATTCATATTACTGTTTTAAAAACATGTCCAACTCTGTGAAACAGTGTAATTAATGAGGGTCTCACTTCTGAAAGCCCTCTGACAAATTCCTTCTCAGCATTTTTTTGTTTCATGATACTGAGATATATAATTTTGATGATTAAAGAAACAAAGAGACATTAACTGGGTCTTGCCTCAGCTACAGAACAGCTAAACTCAGCCAGAGCTTGCACTCAGATTGCTTTCACAATTGGCATCCTGCATAAATTTACATATTTAAATGAGATATGTGTCTAAAGTAACCTACTAAAATGTAAATCTAGTCTAATATATATTTATGGTGCATTTGTAACATAAAATTAACCATAAAATTAACCTTTGTTCCCCAGCTAAACTTTTCTTACCTGTTAAAAATCATCAAATCCTAATTTAAATTATGGGTGTACTTATTTCTATTCTTTTCAAATCAATTAAGGCTGTTATGTAAGAATTAATAATTGTATCAAAGTGCATATACATTCAAGGATAAATTTGGTTCATTGTGCCATTCACTCCCAAGACTCCTTACTGTCTGGCATACAATTCTAATGATGTTAGTTCAGAGAATTTGGTATTGGATCAACTAGTATATCAGTGCTTTTTCTCTTTATTCTCAGCATCTGTCTCCTTGACATTATAATAAATTGTAAGGAGGAATTCTGTCTTCATAACTCATGGAGGTTAAATGTTTAAGAAATAATATCAAGCACTTTGAATTTTAGCCTTGTTATTTCAAACCAAATGGTAGTAAATGATTAAAATCAGCAATAGAACCTTTTATAAGCAGAATGTACATAAATAATAAAAACAAACAAGAAATTTAATATGTAACCAATTGGGATGACACCAGTGACTATCCAGTATCCATCCCTTTCCCTGTCTCTCCATCTCTTACTCAGTTTCTAATTCCTGTGGAGAGTATGGTGGTGGTAACTCTGACACATCATAAGATGGTGGAGGAGTAAGTGGAGTTTGGTTGATGGATTGACCTGAAAGAATAAAAATTAATCAGGAAATCTATTTTAAGCTGCAGTTTTAGATGGCTGGGTGCAATCTTGACCCTTTTTTCATTTCTTTGGTATTGTATAACCTTTTCATTAGGGATGGTTGACCAATATCTTTGTGGACCATCAATCACTGATTTCTAATTGCAAGCCTTGACAAATAATATCTTCCAAAGGAAAAGATATTGGAAACATTGTCAGTTTTCATGGTCAATTGTCATCTAGTGCTCATGTGCCTGGCAAAACAGTTGTACATATGTAAAAGAACCACACTGGCTAGTGATTCCTTCAGATATTTCAAAAATTTTGAAGGTGCCCCGAAGAGTTATGGCTGTCTCACACAAACTCTTTTAAAAAGCTCCACCTTCTGAATGGGACTTTTTTTAGGGAAATATGATTCTATGCAAAGACTTCTCTTTTCTTTTATTGGTTTGTGCCTATACTATTCTGTAAATTATTAGGAAATGTGTCAGTCAAGGCATAATAGAGCAAGTTTTCAGGTAAGGGTTTGGAAATAGGTCAGTAATTTTGTATTGGTATGAGACGGAAGTCAAGGCTGTGTGTATCATTCAGTACCAGGTTTTATAAGGAAGGGTTTCTTCAAGTTATTTGTCAAATTAAAGGTGAATGAAGAGTCTTTGGATTTTTTTTTTTTTTTAAGGACAATGCATTCACATCACATTCTCATCTCTAAAGTTAATAAATTTATCTATTCCTTTACTGAGCACTAAACTTATCATTTTTCTTACGTAATCTATTTACAAAGATGATGCTATTGTCACATCACTGATCATAGCAGTATGCAGGACATGTCATATATGAACTTCGTAATGGGCCTCACTCACCACAGAGTCTCTGTAGCTCAGTAGCAGAGCATTGGAGTGCAGAATTGACCTCCCTCTTAGGGACTCAGAATTTTTTTTTGTCCCACGCTTGTGATAAGACAGAAAACATATTTCTCTATATCAAGCTCTTTCTGCTCAATTGACTATGTTTGCTCTAGTGAAACAGGGTCTACTGAAAAGTCCCACTGCAAAAGTCCTGTCTAGCAAGATTACCTGGTTGTTGATCATGTGTAGGTTCTATCTCATCTGGTGGAATTGGAGCCCCAGGATCTCCAGGTCCTGGTAAATTGTTTAAATCTACTTCACATGTATCTGGAGCTAAACCTGTTACCATAACAACAAGCTTTGGATCATCACATGGGGGAGATAAGCCTCCATCTAAATCAGGTGGTTCTGTGGGAGGTAGCTCTTTAAAACCTGCAAAGTAATAAATATTTTCTCCAATTGGGACAAAATGCCTGTGGTTCTTGAATATACATGTACTTGAACTGGACAGAGTGGGCTCACTTATGATTAGGCTCACACAGGTTAACAGATGGGAGCTTATGCTCTAAATTCTGTCACACTTGGCCACATCAATGCATAAGGTTTTCCTCAACCCAGGGACATGGAGACATTAATCAATAAAAGAGCCCCTAATAAGTCAAAAACGTAGCATTTATTGCATCAGTTAACTCATTGAAAATTGAAAAATTTTAAGCTTATGTCAATAATGGTAACACTGGACTGAGTGGAGTCCAATTCAAGGGAAATCAAGCCAAAATTTTTCGAGTAAATTTTGGTTACCATCAAACTTGGAAAAAAAGGAAGTGTTCTTAATAACGTGTCCCTTATTTAACCTTGGCTAAATAAACTCAGCTAAGTTGAAAAGAGAACTTGAACAGTCGTGTAATTTATTCCTAGTTTTAAAGGGATGATATCAGAATTTGATATCATTTTCACTAAATCAATTCATTGAGTACCAGTTATAGTTAATCAATTTAGATTAAAGCTTTAGAAGTGACACTTAACTACCACAAAAAAAATATTGCCTACTATAATCAGCTTATACGTTATAATTAAAACGGAAGTTTAAAATATGTTTAAAATTTGTAAAGAGGCTTACTTCGCTCTTGTTTCTTCCTATCAAAAGTGGTGAGGATAATGTCTAATAAATATTCTTGTCCCTTGCACTTCTTCTGAATAGCAAAACACAACTGGTCAAAAGCAGTGGGACCTTTATCGCCCAGAATGTCCAAGAATTTTGCTCGTTTCTTGGTTGGAGTTCTCTCTGCTTCAATTTCATCGCAGTCCGCTCGATCAAATACTCGCTTAGACCTCAGATAGTCCAAAGTTTTCTCATATTGCAATTTGTCAACAAGCAGTTCCCTCAGTTCTATTAAAACTTCATTTTTTAAGGACCAGTACACTTCAGACTCTAAAGCGGAAGTCATAACGTTGAACGCCATGTTGGAATGTTGAGAAAGCATTCGGAATCAAGGTATACACGACATACTTATGGCTTTCTGATGATATCCGCAGCGTGATCTTACCGAAGACTCATAAGCAAAGATGGCGGAAATGAAGGCGGAATGCGCTAAGTATTAGTGACTGTGAGACTTGAGTTGATTTTCTGGGAACTTTGAATAATGGGCTTACCAAATCTAACCGCAGAGGAGGAATACCTTCTTAGAAAGTTCGCTTTGTTGAAGAAAAGGGTATGACATCTAGCTCCAGTCCCATATATTTAAAGAGATTGTCATTGATTTGAAATTAAAGGATCTCAGTCTGAGGGCGAAGGTGCTTTATTTCATTCCAGAAAAAGGCACTGCAAAAGTCTAAGGAAAAAGTCGAAAATCCCAGCAGTATCAAGCCGGGTACGAAGCGTGGTAAGAGATTCAACATAAAGCTTTGATACTGTGTGTGACCAGGAAGTTAAATGACTTAGGTCGAGTTAATTTTGAGACAACCTCATAATCTGAATCTTTTAGGGGTCTATCGCAAGTCTCTCGAAAGTCCCAGTAACTGATCAGGTCCGTAGTCATATTTTTAAATCAAAATTTAAAGAATTAAGAAGCAGGTTCTGGCGCTTTAACCAGTTAATTTTGTTTCTTTAGCTAAAAGTTTTATTGTATGATTTTCAAGACTTATGAAACCTTATCTAGATCTTAAATGAAAACAAAACAGCTTTGCAGGCCTGTAAGGTTAACAGAACCTTTTATGGAATGGGCCCCAGGTGTCCTAGGTCTCAATATGTAAGGTCCAGGTTTTTCATTACCAGGTGTTTATTAGTTGTGGTAGCCTCTGGTGTTAATTATCAGGGAGGCCTATTTATACGTGTATACAATTATTATTATAGTTTTCAAATTAATGTCTCTCTTGGTGCAAAATGTAACCTCTATCTATTTATTTTAAGTGTGTGAGGTTAAAGTTTATCCCCCAAATTGTCAAATAAAAGTAGTTTTGGAAATTTTTTCATTCCAGATGCTCCAGCAGAAATTAGCCACGATCCACAGGATGCAAAAGAGATTGCCAAGAAGCTGATTGCCTCAGGGGTATGTTAAATGTAGTTTACATCTGTTTCACCTCTAACTGGAAGGCCATGAGGGGGAAAGCTGTCAAAGACTAGCAGTAATTGAAACTTCATCATCAGTACAATTAATTAGTCTGAATCCTACATCATAGGACAAATGATCAAACCTTTATTTATCTATAGAAACCATGATTAACAACAGCATTTTCTATAAAATTTTGTTTACTTTAATCCTTTCTCTGGAATATAAATAACAATACAAATTTGTGATTCCTTAGTACCCTCAACCACTCTAAGAATTCTAGGTTGATTTCCACCTGCTATCAGTCTGATAATTTTTTGAATACTGTTCACAAGTTGTCAGTAATTGGAATTCTCCTCTTAATCAAGGAAGTGAAGATTAAAAAAGATCCTGTCCATAGGGAGTTCAAAAGGGCTAAAGGAGGAGAAAGAAGACAGAAGGTAAGATAAATTTTAAAGATCATTTTAAACTAACATTATAAACACTTAGGAGCAGGGATAGCACAGTGGGGAAAGTGTGTGCCTCCCAACAATGTGGCCTGGGTTTGATTCCTTGAGTTGGCTTTACTTGTAGGATTTTCTCTGGTTTTCTTCCCTCCACAAACACAATACTCCAAGTTCTGATTCAATCTGGAAACAATGGACAAGAAGAGGCACTTAGTGAAATCTCCATTGTTTAATTCCCATTTTTTTTAAAAATATTGATTATTAACTTGTAGAGTACATTTCAAATTGTTTTATTACTAGATTTCACCCTTTTAAAGTATTGGTGTTGAATGACACACTCACCTGAAGGCCTAGGTATTACATGTTAGGTTAACTATGTACAGTGTATGAGAATACCCCGAGGCAAGTATAAACTTGTGTTGACATAAAGTATGTTTTGCTAATTGTTCATGTTGATTTTTTGATCAATGTAGGATTTCTCACAGCAACCAGCATCTAACAGGAATGAGCAGCAGGTAAATATTGCCCAATAGTATCAAATATTTATGATGAAATATATTTAATTTTTTATGTGTTTCAAAACCACCTCATTGCTCTCCCTTTAAATGTTTTTAGTTACCTTTAGTCCATGTTAGGGGTTAATCTTGACAAAAAGGTCTTACACAGTCTTCAAACAGGTCATCTCTCAAGAGTGAAGTTTTAAAATCAGTTGAACTGTTGTGGTTCTGAGTACTGTGGAATTTTTCGCAACCAAGTTATCTTTGGCATAAATGTCAATCATTTCATTAATTTTTATCTTTTTTTTGATTTGATGAAATGAATTAGACCTTAACTTTTCACTTTTACCATGTAAGAGATGTATTATATTATGTAATACATGATCCATGTTCTTTTTTGCTCTTTTTTATAGGCACGTGCTGAAGCAATAAGAAATTTATATCATGAAAGGTAAGAATTTGAGGCAATTATAACTGTATCAGTGGCATATATTCCATCTTTTTTGGTCCTTTGAAACTTTCTATTTAGGTTTTTTGTGCAATTTTGATTGTACACTGCTCTCTCAGAACTATTTATGCCAATGGTTGCTCAGCTTTAACCCTTTAACTCCCAAGATTTCATTTATCTAGTAATTCTCATTACTGTCTACCATACAATTTGTTATGTTAGTTTGGAGAATTTGGAATTGGATCGACCATCCATCCCCTAATTGATATTTTTCTTTATTTTTATTACTTATCTGCTTTATGTCATACTGATAATGTAAGGAGAGATTCTCTCTTGGTAATTAGTGGGACTTAAAGGGTTAATTACTCTGTGAGTACCTGTAACAATGTTGTAATTGAAATGTTTGTTATATTTTTGTTTTTTCCTTTTTGGTTTTGATTAGCTTTATACCTTCTTCTACCTCTCAAAACAAGCGCTTCTCAGGAGGTATTTGTTTGACTTTAACTCCTGTTTATGAATGTTTATTTTAATTGTTTATCTTTGTGCCTGCCTTCTTTGGCTGTCTGTTTGTCTGAAGGTCGATTAAGTATCTTGCAGCTTGTTCAGTCTAATTAAGTGTTCTGCAAATTTTCTTTATTTAAAAATCTTGTTTACCAAGGATTCTATTCATTATATACATGTATAATAAAGTATTGCAATCCCTTTTCTTGAATCATTTTCAATTTAGGGCAAGGATCAGGTAGAAGAAGTTGGTCTGATGATCAATCAAGAAAGGTAAAAACAGGCTGATGGCTTAAAATATCATGCTGTCAAGTACTGGCTTTGTTCTCTGTATCAAAATTGGTCAGTTTTTTTTTTTAAAGATGTACATGTAGAAAGTTTGAGACAAGGTTCATTTTTATCTTGTTCTGTGATGATACGCAATAATATTTGAGATCTTAAAGTGCATCCATATAATTACATATATAATTACAATACTGTCCTCACCACAAGGTGCTGGAATTTATAATCAACAATTTCTGAGGCACCCAGGAGTATAGTATTACTTAACAGCAGTAGACAACTGCTGTGGCACAGGAAAGCCAAAGATGTGGCTTTTTTTACAATTGGTTTATTGTTATTTTGCTATCACAGTCACACTTCGCATGTTGACTGTTTGTATTGCATCCCACAGGGAAACACGATCTATGTTAATGGATATGGATTAACAGAAAAAATCCTCCAGGAAGAGTTCACTAAATTTGGTGAGGTTACATGTAACTCTTAAACCCCTAAGAGTTACTTACATCTAATTTCTTCTTGCATCATCACCCCTGAATCACGCATTTTGGTCATGAGAATAATTCCAATGATCATCAACTTAAGAGACCCTTGACTATTAAACAAATTTAAACTTAATATGTAAAGTTATATTTCAAGCACTCCCCCTCTTCCAGCTTGATCCAAGGAAAAAAAAGGAAAAACTTTGCTAAAGAAACTTAAATGCTGATTTTTAATATTTTGTGTTTGGTGAGCTAAGCTGGAAACTACACTAAAAGAGACCACTCAATGAGTCATATTCTAAGTTCAAGATGGTATATGAGTTTTCAATTCCCCATGTTTGGGTCATGTCACTTCCATCATGTGTAATTCATGCAAATTGGAACCACTTATTTATTCTAGAATATGTAGGACAATGACAGGTATGCAAACCTAAAACAACACTATTTACAAACAACACCAGTGCCACTGCTACCACTGACATGGTTATGTTATGCCATATTTCCTCCTGCTGTTTGACAAACTAGTAAATCTTCGTAACTCGCAATGTTTTCAACCTTTCTGATTCTGCATCCACTTAACTTTGCCTCCACTACCCAACCGGGCACACAAAGTGTTGATGTTGTTGGCCAGCCAAGCTATCGTACTGCTTATTTAACACCAATATGCTTACAAGAGTTTATCATAATTATGACTGAAGGAAACTAATTGCGCCAAAGCCAGACAGGAAAACCCCTAAAAACTAGGAGCTGGTGAAAATGGGGAACATGTACCCCCAACCAGGGCAGTGGTGCTACCTTCAGGGTTTTAGAGTATGCTTTGAATAACATGATATACATAAGTAGGTAACAGTTACTGAAGGAAGTATGCAAGTACAGATCTAAGTAAAACCTGATGTAAAATGACAATATTTCAGGAAATATAAAAAACTAAATAAATAAATTTAAATGAAAACAAAACTGGCAAAATATTAGCTTATGCTAATTACAATTGTCACAAATTACATTTTTAGATGAGGGCCCAGGTCGTGGCATATAATTTTCTTGGTGCAAAAATGAACATTGTGTTGGCTCAATCACCTTCTTAGCCAATTGATATTACATGATTCTGAAATTTTTGTGCTACTCACTCAAACATGTAAGTGGCAAATTGGCTTTGTCCAAGAGTGAACAGCAGCTTTTATAGAGTTGTGGTAAACCAGTATATAAGTGCCATTAATTCTTGCAAAATGAACCCAACTTGTTTTTCATTTTAGTAATTCTTTCTATTTCTCTTTTCAGGTAAGGTTCAACATGTTAACTTTGAAAGAGAAAAGAGGTACAATTGTGTATTTATTTGTCACATCAGTCATTTTGAGTAAAAAAAGATCATTTTTGATTTGATTTCCTTGATTTCATCTAACACAACTGATCTCAAATTATGACAACTGTTTTTCAAAGCATTTTCTGTCATATTTCTGCCCCCTCTTTATCCCTAACACCTGTAACTTGGTTGAGGGACTGGTCATTACTTATTGCCTGGAGAGGGGATTGGAGGATTTTGGTTGTTGCACAATAAATTTTACCTGACCCCCTCCCACAAAGTGCTATTAGTGTTCTAATGATCCCCACTCATTGGCAGTTGTAATTTTCATGATTTCCCCCTCCCATGGCCGCTGACGTTATGTGTAAATACCAATATTAAAAAATCTATGCTGGTGTTACAAATTTAAACCCTATCACTTTTAAAAGGGACTTTTACCCTTGTTATTTCAATTCTATTTTGAAGCTCTCATTTGATGTTACTCTGAAAAGTTGTCTCTAATGTTTTTTTCTTTTATCTACATAGCCAAGGTTTTGTTACACTAGACTCCTGTGAAGCAGCTGAAAAAGCAGTTATTGAGGTATGCAGAGGAGAGAAAAGCACATTACTGTCGCTAGTGACCTTGACCCTTTCAATCCCAAGATCTCATAAGTAGTTCTCTTTACTGTCTTCCCATTGTGTTAGTGCAGACAATTTGGTATTGGATCAGCCATTAATCCCCTAATTTATGTTTTATTATTATAATAGATATTTTTCTTCATTCTCATAACTTGTCTTGTTTTTGAGAGAGAAATCCAATTATGTGTGTATCTAAGTGATTTTGATTTCACTGACTGCTGGGAAGCTCTACATAATTTTAAACAAGGCGACAGAGCTAGGGAAACGAGCGGATATTTACTTTTGACGAAACCAACCTTTTTACTCTACACGGTGGCCTTCAAAACTTGCAAAAATCAGCCAGTAACATGGGAAAGTTGATTGTCAATGTCTCCCTTTTTTTCTCAGATGAATGGTATGATGGTGTCTGGTGTGCATATCAAAGTAGCTTTTTCCAGGAGGCAACCCAACATGGGAGACACACAAGGATATCGAAGACCTGGTCTGGGAAGCAGAGGTTAGATTTGTCACAATTTACTTAGGTTCTTTTTTTAAAAAGACGTTAATTGTTTCATTGTGTGGCAATCCAATGAGTCTATATTTTGATCAAAGGGGGTAAGCTTCTTAAGAAACTGGGGTGCTGCGTCAGTAGGAAAGTATAGCAGGTAATTTAGTGTTAACAACTGAGTTGAAAACGTAAATTGGACTCAGTTAAGAGTTAAAGGGCTGACGTTTCGAGCGTTCGCCGTTCATCAGAGCGATTGAAAGAATTGTGGGTTGTGTGTGGGTTTATATGAAGAAAATGGAGCTACGCTATTGGTGGGAATAATTGGTGACGAGAAAACAAGAATAAGTTAGTTGAACGAGAAGCGCTCGTTGATACCGTGGGGATTAAGAGTGCCGATTTGGAAGAAAAATTAGATGTACGGAATGTACGGAAAGGCCGCAAAGGCCGCAAAACGCTATAACAAAAATTTATCTTCCAAATCGGCACCTGGTTCATGTGCGTAAGGCGATTTGCGTAGGTTGCGTAAGACCTAATGGTCAGATCAGAAATGTGTCGAAAGTGTCCTGTGATTACAATGGTTCCTTTTTATTTTTTGCAGATTCAAGAGGGCACAGTTCAGGTTTACAGTCGCGGGAAGCCAGAGAAATTGTTTCATACGACGACCTTTAGTGTTAAATTACATCAATAGTGATATTCGATAAAGAATAGCTGCTGTACCTATTCCGAGTGGCAGTTCAAAAATTTTCAACCATGATAAGTATATGAAACCGTTAAGAGGGCTGATGCAAAAATTTCGACTGAGTCTTTTGGGTCTATTATCCACTTTGGCTTATTTTCTAGCGAACAGAATTTTACCTTTGAAATATTAGTTCACTGAAAAGCATTAACCCTTCAGATTTGATGTAGACAGCGTGAGCCTTTTTTCATATCATCGTCTTGAACGCCCCGGTGGTTCCAAACAGTACCTAAGCGGTTAAGCCTTTTTCACTATCGAGCTCTCTGTAGGTCATCGGAGCGCCAGGTCTGACCTTTCAACTGCTCTAGGGTACACAGTCTTTTCTCGCGTCCCACGCTCGTAACAGAGCAAATACAATTCTCTTAAGAGGTTCAAAAGTTTTCGAACCAGATAGAGAATTAGACTGTAACATGTATTATAGGTTATCAAGATGTCTGTAAGGAACCTTTAAATTATATATTTAATAAAAGCTTTAACGGACAAGTAACTGAAAGTAGTGTGGATGTTAATATCACCACGAAGACTCTCTTAAAACTTCGAGTCCTGTAACTGCCTTCATCTTTGAATAACTTTGAATGGCCACCCTGGGCGTTCTATTCACCGACTGGAGTTTCCCCAATCAGTGTAAGGGAAAGGTTTTGAGAAAATTTCTTTAGGTGAGTGAAATTTTTTTCAAGTCTTTCTCTGTGTCATTTCTGGGTGATTGTGGGTTCTTAGACAATCCATACTTTGTATGTTCTCTTAACTCTCTACACCCTAACATCAGTATGTGCATTCTCCAACCGGTTCTCTATACATTTCCTGAAGTGCTGACAAGGAGAATTTCTTCAACAATCAATAGTCTCTTTAGTTGTTTATCATTTCCTTTATTCTCGAGACCTTCATGTTCGATTCAAGAGTGAAATTGGAGGAGAAATTAGATGCTAGTGACTCTTAAGGGTCAAAGGGTTTAAGTTAAAAACAACCCTCTCTCGAACACTCAAAATACCAAGAAATGGACGAACACTCGATTGCAAAAAAAATTAATTTGCTAAAGTTACACCTTTAATTAACTAAAAAGGCCAAAGATATCGACATTCTAGACTGAAAACAGACCAGATAGAAAACATTCTTTTAGTACCACGTTAAGACACCACGACAGTGCTCTATATACAGCTTTGTTATTAATGTGGCCGACAATATAATTATAAAAGCACATCCTCCTTGCATGGCGTTATTACACTTCGTTCTTTGTGGGAATGGGGTTTACAATGATACTTTCAATACACTCGAACACGGTGTGAATATCTTGATCGGCGTTGATGTGCTGCGCAGACTCCTCGTAATACTCCGCAATCTCCTCGATGTAAGCCTGGTACTGAGCTATTCGTGAGTTGACCGCTGATTCTACGTCTTTCGGACTCTGATAGGAGGTAAAACACAATTTACTACATGGCTGGCTCCAATGCCGGGCAAGGTAAAGAAAACCATCTGTTCTGATTGGCTTGCCGAGAGACCTTATAGTGGCCTATCTTGCTTTCGAAGAATTTTCTCCGCGGTCAAGATGGCTGTAAATTTGCAAAGTTTTTCTTACCGAGGACTGATACGATGCCAAAACGTACAAAAACAATCTGGTCAATAGCCAATAAACGGCCAGTATCGAGCTATTGGCGATTGGCGATTGGCTAATTATACCTGCATAACGGGGGTAGATCTGGGAACTCTCGATGGGTAAGGGGGTCCAAACTTTTATTCAGAAAGCACAGATTTCTTTTTTTTAACTTGAGCTTCAATACGAAAAATTGTGTTCCAGAGATAAGTTACTTTTAAATACTTCAAGTTGTGGGTAATAAGCTATCCTGTCGTTGTGATAATTTTGGTTTCAGGTAACAAAGAAACAAAGAACCCCACAGTGTATGGTGGGGGGAGGGAGAGGGACCGGATCCCCTGCGACCCCTCTCCCTAGATCTGTCGCTGTAAAATTCGAAGCACCGGTTACTCTTGTGATAATGACGATTAGTACAGCAATAACATATGCTGAAAACTTACCGTGTGCAACCTCTGCTTTACTTCGTTTGTGCGAGGTGGATTATAAATTAAGTGATACCTGAAGAGGAAAAGAGACATCCCATTAGACTTGCCTTAGTTGTTGAATCCTCCCTCATGGAGGTTGTGTCAGTACGCGAAAGCTAAATTGTGCCCTTTTAGTTTTGCGACAAAAGATTAGCATTTCCAAATTTCGGTATTTCACTGTATTCTCCATTTTGACCAACAACAAAAACGAAACGGCACCGAACAACACTATAAAAGGATCAAACAGAAATATATGCGATGAAATTTATTAAATAATAATAAAATACCTCAGTGCCATTAAACCTTAGGACAAACAGGAGACGAACTTTGGAACGGTATTACGGAATTACACCCACCTTTCACCGGTGACTGGATCTACACTGCGCAGAGTCAATCTTTCAAGAATGGTGTCAGTTGGAACGTCCATAAAAATCACCCTAAAATATCAAAAAAACCGCTCTAAGAAATAGCGCGAAGCTAATAATTCGGAAATATTCAAGTATTGCTCAATTTGCCTTATGATTAATGTAAAAACTTAGGCAACCTGGACTCTCGAACAACCATTGCACAGATATAACCAGTCGTGACTATACACTGGCGTTTTTCAGCGCTGCAAGCTGTATCCTTGTTCAAACTCTGCGTTCTCATTAACACCTTTTGAAGTTTTTTTTTTACGAATGGCTGCCGTGATTACTTTGGTTTGGTTTTGTGACACTTAATCTAAACGTGCAATCGAATGGAGCCGTTACATTCTGTCTTATCTAATCCTTCCGACCCTTCCAACTCTTCCTAATCCGTCTTATCCAACAAATCCGATCAGTTCTCCCAGGCCACTCAATATGGTTGCAACAAGGGAACATACAGAGTTTCCGTGATGGTTGGTATTTTCATTACCTATTTGCTTCATAGCCAGCCCTAGCCAGTGACTCTGCCTGTTCTCTTGTCTTAGGAAAGCCATGAATGACCCAGCCTTTGGTAACAGCGTCCAACTGGGCCAGGCGAGACTTGAGTAGTTGAAGAACCAAATCATCGGGTACTGTTAGGAAATCACAAAAAAAGCAAAACAAAACAAGTATGAACATGTCTATAGGACATAACTTGGCCATACATGGTGACGAAATTTATCTGAAAGCGTTGATTACGAGGAAAGGAAAGCTATACTCATGGTTGTTCCTCCGAAAAAAAAAAAAAAGGAAGATCCACCTGGCTCGTGTTCAAACTTTGCACTCTCTCTTTTGCTTGCAACTTCACGAATTGCTAGTTCCATGTTGGAGATCACTTTGTTGGAGACAACCTTAACATGCTTGTCTGAGTGACATCATTCCAGTTTTGCACCTACCCAACATGTGCCGATCAATATACGGCCTCACCGCTTCACCAAGTTTAGAATCGTCTACCAACGATTGTTTGATCAGCTCTGTGCAAGAAACTAACGGAGAAATAACATCAATGGTTATGCTGCTGTATTGAGCAAACTAAACTCCGTAACCTGACTGTGCTGAGTAAATAGAAATCGAAGTGTTCACATCTAATTTCATCGCAAAAGTGCTTCTCAATTCATCAAAATTCTTCTTTGCTCGTGTTTGAGTCCGCGAAAAAGGGGGTGGAAAACAATCATGCAACGCTTCATTAACTACGACCCGGCCCAGGTTTACGCAATATTCACTCAGGGTTCCTCTTTTCCTGCAGATACATCTCAAGCCAAGGGCAGTTCGAAAAGCGAGTTGTTTGTTAGATAGAATTTTCTTTTGTTCATCTTAGTTCAAAATATAAATGAAATTTTAATCGTTTGTCTCACGATACAGTCATAACAAATTGTAAATCGCACCGTTTCGACAACTATACTGCTGGTTTCAAAGAGAAGTATTATTGTTTGTCTCACAATGTGGTCACTGCGGATGTGGATTGCAACGTTTCGACTGCATACTGCTAGTCTTCTTCAGGCGATGAGGTCGATTGAGTACGCGTCACCTGTAAACTGTTGTGCTCAGCTGCGACACAACTGATTGAATCATATTGGGCGTTCAGTATTCTCTTACCATTAACAAAGCCATATTTACTGGCCAACAGTTCCGCCTGGACACTCTTGCCACACCCTGTTGGGCCCAGGAGAATCAATCGCGGGGTATGAGGGGCATTATTTCGATTATTCATCTTTAGATAGGACAGCACTGAAAGAACACAATAGTCAAGGCTGTTATGAAATCTTGATAAATGTAACTCCTTAGAGCAGTAAATGTTCATTGAAAGGTTGGGCAGGCCAACCACAGCAAATGGGTGGTCAAACAGACTCTAAACACTTATTTTGTGTACAAAGTTAAAAGTAAATAAAGTGCATACACAAAAGGGTGCATTGCAATACAAAGGAAGTAAACTAAACATTACTCCTGAATAGATCTCTCAACAGTAATTTAGCCAGTGTACATCCATTCCTCACTCCTAAACCGATAACGATAACTGCTCAAAGGTAAACATGTTACACGTACTTGCTGTAATCTGCCTTATCTCACAACTTTTGTTGATAGGTGATTGTAAAACAAAACTAAGAACATTGATTAAATTACTCCTCTGCTTCAGCCACATCTACCACTAGAAGTCGAAAATAAAACTATAATAATGTGTACCTTGTGAAAAGACATCTGCTTTTGGCTGATCAACGTTTATGGACTTATGAATCTTTTCGAAGCACATCAAGATTCCATCAATATGCCTACAAAGAGCAAGAGGATGAGAAATAAGGAGTTCCTTTGACGATAATCAATGACCAATCAGATCAAATGTAACCACAGCAGTGAGCCGATAAAAACTCAAAGCAAATACAGCTGTGCATGCAACTGGCATCATACATGGAAAAATGCGAGGGACTAAGACACAGTTGGTTGTAATGAGACATCTGATTGGCTAAGAAGGAGGGGCGATTTTGTAGACCATTTATAAAGCAAAGTAAAGCAATCCCAGATTTAACTCTCAAGACTCATTCCAAATTGGATTTACCACAAATTTGGAATTTTTCTGTTGACTTACACATACCACATGAGCACTTGCTTTTAAGAGGTAATTACCTGTGGTACTCCATCAGTCTCTGAATCATGACTTTCTCTGAGGATTTAGAGTCTGGTACGAGACGCTGCACAACTGCTAGGTCACTGGGAGGGTCAAATGTTGAATGATACACATCTGTTGAGAGAAAATATTTTTTAAAAAAACAAATAAAATCTCATAATGTATCTAAGATTTCTAAAAACAAGGCCAAAATAAAAACAGAACAGGAAAACCTTTTTAAAAATGTTTTTGCAATTGTTCAGCCCATGCTCCTCTTACATGTAGGCAATCATGTCCTATTTACAAGTTGTTTCAAAGATAATTTCAAAATCTGTAAGACACAGTGCTCAGATGATAAAAGACTTTTTGGCACTATGTTACTTCCAGCCCTACTGTTTAATATTTGTCTCTTTGTGTTGACTAAGTACTTCATGACTTCAAGCCAAATGTTTTTCTGTCCAGCCCTCCTACTCAATCAATGAGTACATATTAACCTCTTCACTCAAAAGGGGAGATAAACCAGAAAAGTCTCCGTGCAATATCAATATGTGGCACAGGCAAAGAAAAGGCAATAGATGTATGTCAGGCAGTAAGAAAATTGACATTGTGTTTATGAAAGTGAAATGGTTTGTAGACAGTATATTTAGAATAGCTGTAAGTACTTACCACCAGTCTCTGGATCAATTCTCTTCCCCATCACTCTTTCTATCAGGACTGTGTCTGGAGCCTCCAGAAGAACTATTAAACAAAAATCATTAAATCAATAATTAACTGACATTACTAATATTAAATCACTTCAAATTTATTTCTTGTACATAAATACAGAAAATTATCTTGCTGTTTCATAACTTATTGTATCATCAACTTTTATTAGTTTCCTTATTCATTTTCCTTCCATTTGGCGACTGATGCTTGTTGATCTGTTGACATTGGCTGATTTATAAAAATCAATACCATTTACATGGAATTAAAAGCATGCATATGCACAATAAAAAAAAAGCCATCTTTCTTTATAAAAGGCACAAACAGCACCAACTTAAAAGCATATCTTGGCAGTAGACAGTATTCACCAAAATGTCTTGGGTTGATTCCCTCTGCTTGAAGTGCTTGGGCCTACAAGTACAAGAGAGACTTTTTTTGCTAAGAAAATCTTGTTTGAAATAAACATATTGTTTCTTTAAGAATTTATTTTAAAAACCTTTTAGTGATAGTCATGTGACAATTAACATTGACAGGGAGGAAAACAAATGTATGCTTACTACATGTAGATATGGTTAAATGTTATTATTAATCTCTCAGTCACTCAGATTTGCTACTATAATTAATTATCTAAATCAATCTATGCAACAGAGCATAATGAAACCATTGTCAAACCTGCTCTCTTGTCTGTGGAAAGGCTTCTAGCAACCAGCCCTGAGATACATGTAAAAATGAAGTAGACTTTAGTTTATTCATCCTTTTGATCCTTTCAGTACTGCCAAGATCTCATTAGTTATCGTCCTTACTGTCTGCTATACAATTCTTATGATGTGAGTTTGGAGAATTTGGTTTTGGATCAGCTGATAATCCCCTAATTGGTGTTTTGTTTTTTGCTTTTGAGATTTAGCAAAAGCACAATGGTAATAATTTTTCCTCTCCTGCTGAATACTTGTGGACAAAAACTAAGAGAAAAATAAAATATTTTTTTAAGACAAATATGATGACTAGCAAGTATAAAACAAAACCATGGTGACCATGATTAAAACTGTTATTTAATGATTCAGTTAAAAGTGACTTTACCTTACTGATGCAGTCTTCCTTCTGTAGTCTCTCTTTGATGAGACTGACCCAAATATGAGTAGGTACCACCTAAAATAAAAAAGTGATAAACATTATATTCTGACCTCTGATCTAAAGAAGCACAAAGTATATCATTTCTACTAGCTCTGAATGGACTTCAAACTCCTGTACATAAACAATTTTCATTTTGAAGTTCTTTAGATTACCATTATTGACTTGATTACCATTAACAACTGATAATTCTGAAAAAATTTACATCCCCATCCCCAGTTACTTAATCCTCTGCGTGCAACTGAGTCAACAGACAACAATAAAAAAAGGCAATCTATTAAAAGTTTCAATTTAGAGGCTTAGAGCATCAATCTCATCTCCTTTAAATTTCATAAAAAATATTAATGATTACCAATTGTTCTAAATTTATAATTTTGATAAAATGAATTAATTTCCTCTAAATATTAAGAAAGTAGAAAAATAATTAATGACATTTAAAAGTAGAAAATTTGCATTCAAAAACTAAAGATTTGCTTTGTGTTAAATCACTTTGTTTTAACAAAAAAAGTCTGTACTCAAGCCTAGTGGCCCACCCAACCAAAGCTTATTCCAGTTTCCTTGGCATGAAGTGACGAGAAGTATTATTCCCCCCCCCCCGGATGGGATGCTAGTGCAACCTAATGTTACCCCCAGCATCTCATCCGGCTTCCCTAACAATTGGCTGGTACCATTTTATACTCTAGGGTGTAGAGAGACAATGTGACAATTCTCTAGTACCCATTTTATACTCTAGGGTGTAGAGAGACAATGTGACAATTCTCCAGTACCCATTTTATACTCTAGGGTGTAGAGAGACAATGTGACAATTCTCCAGTACCCATTTTATACTCTAGGGTGTAGAGAGACAATGTGACAATTCTCCAGTACCCATTTTAATACTCTAGGGTGTAGAGAGACAATGTGACAATTCTCCAGTACCCATTTTATACTTTAGGGTGTAGAGAGACAATGTGACAATTCTCCAGTACCCATTTTATACTCTAGGGTGTAGAGAGACAATGTGACAATTCTCCAGTACCCATTTTATACTTTAGGGTGTAGAGAGACAATGTAACAATTCTCCAGTACCCATTTTATACTCTAGGGTGTAGAGAGACAATGTGACAATTCTCCAGTACCCATTTTATACTTTAGGGTGTAGAGAGACAATGTGACAATTCTCCAGTACCCATTTTATACTCTAGGGTGTAGAGAGACAATGTGACAATTCTCCAGTACCCATTTTATACTCTATGGTGTAGAGAGACAATGTGACAATTCTCCAGTACCCATTTTATCCTCTAGGGTGTAGAGAGACAATGTGACAATTCTCCAGTACCCATTTTATCCGCTAGGGTGTAGAGAGACAATGTGACAATTCTCCAGTACCCATTTTATACTCTAAGGTGTAGAGAGACAATGTGACAATTCTCCAGTACCCATTTTATACTTTAGGGTGTAGAGAGACAATGTGACAATTCTCCAGTACCCATTTTATACTCTAGGGTGTAGAGAGACAATGTGACAATTCTCCAGTACCCATTTTATACTCTAGGGTGTAGAGAGACAATGTGACAATTCTCCAGTACCCATTTTATACTCTAGGGTGTAGAGAGACAATGTTACAATTCTCCAGTACCCATTTCTATACTCCAAGGTGGAGAGAGGCACTGTGAGAGTAAAAGTGTCTTGCCCAAGAACACAACACATTGATCTGGCCTGTACTCAAACCCAGACCTCCAAGCCCAGATTCCAGTGCACTGACCATTAGTCCACTGTGTCTGACAAGTTATCCACAACTAATCAGAGCTCATAGATCACCTAAACCTCCCAATTTGAAAGAAGTGAATCATTACAAATTAGATTAAATAAAAAGTAACACTAACAATACCTCTTTTGCTGATATGTACTCCTGAGCCTTAAAACAAGGGAGACAAATCAATATTAGTCATTTTAAAATCTACATGGTTAAGACTAATTTAAAAAATTTCTAATTTTTTAAAATTTTTTAGTCAATCCCACCTAACACTGTTTAGAGTAAATCATTTGTTCTTTGTGAGAATTCAATTGGCTAAATATTTCATATACAACCCCAAGCTGTAAGCCAGGTGGATGCAAAATGGGTTACAATTAAATTACCTTCTTTGCTGATTTTGAATCTGACTCTGCCAGGAGATTTTCAAGTGTGATATGGACACAGTCAAAATGTTTTGCTGCCATCACAGACTAAACAGGAAAAAAGCTAATAAATTAACCAATTACATTAACATACTTTTTCATTGACTGTTGTGACACTAAAACCAAATGAAAGTCTAAAAGTAATCACAAAAACCAATCACATTTTAAGCATTACAAGGAGCCAGTGAGATCCCAAAATTAACTAATCTAACCTATTTCAAACCTGGAAAAAAGGTGTATGAACAAGTCTAAATTGTTTTGAATTTTGTGTCTGATTGTTTCACCCTTGAGTCCCTGAGGTGATTAAAAATTAACTTCTTCCTATAATATCTGAACATTTTCTTGCAAAAAAGGAATGAGAATACCCAAACTTGTCGGGCCAAAGTTGTTATCTTGATCTAACTCCAAATTCTTGTAACTAATTTACAAGGAAATGTGTAGCAGCTAGAGGGAAGAATTAATAATAAAGGGTTGAGAGGCACAAGTCTTTAAGACCAACCACAGAACCAGAAAAACCTGAGCCAATGCAATTCTTGATTGCTTTTGAAAACTGCCTCAATTAAAATTCATTTTTTGGAGGCATCATCATCTCCACATGACTGAAAAGTGACTCTACTCTATAGGGGGCTAGTTTCTATCATAACCTTTCAAAATTAGATGAATAATAGATGTAATAAATAGTGCGTAGGTCTCAGGGTTAATTACCATTTTCTCAAAGGAGGCCTTTCCACATACTAGCGCAGGGTTATCATAACCTTTCAAAAATTGCAAACCCAGTAGAAATCAAACACATTATGAAATTACCATTGTTCTCTTTCCTGCCGCTGGAGGTCCATGAATAATGATCTGTGGAACTTTATGATCATGAAACAATAATCTTGAGTGCAAAAGTGATACAATATTTGATTCAAGTAACATTAAGCAGAAAAACCTTTTCATTTCCTCTTAATATGCTGTTCCATCCATTTTCCCTCTCCCGTGAGATTGTCTTAGGAAACTATTGGGTTTCAAATGCTTTTAACATCATTAATGGCAAGCTGTTTGGTCATGAGCTTTAAGTCAAAGAAAAAATCAGTAGGGGCAACACAAATTTTTGTATCTAATGATAGTCCTATAGTTGTCTTTAAACTAGAGAGCAAGTTCTAACCTTCACTTTCTTGTTCCAGAAGACCTATCATATATGTCAGTGGGTCTGCAGGCTGTTCTATTATCAGTTTTGTCAGTAGGGACTATAAATACAAAACAAAATTAACTTCAATGTATTCATTTTTCATTAATTCCTCATTGCATAACCTGATGGAAAATATGTTGTATACTTAACCCTTTTACTTCCAAGATCTCACTAGTAATTCTCCTTACTGTTTGCCATACAATTCTCATGATGTTTTTTCAGAGAATTTTGTATTGGATCAACTTATAATTTTCTATTACCAGTAATTCTTTCTTTTTTCCCATCACTTGTCAGTGCTTGATGTTGCATAGATATTGTAAAGAGAAATTCAGTCTCGGTCACTCACGGATTAAGACATCTGGGCAAGCTTCTCATGCTCAAAGATGTTATGTGACTTAACAGTAATAACATGGTATGGCCCAGTTGGCAGAAACTCTGACTTAGTACATGAGTGTGAAGCTGCAAAGTTGCAGGTCAGGGTATTTCACACATACACTAAGGTCTCAACAAACCAGCCCAACCTTATGTGCACTTCCTATTTCAAGGAAAATGACAGAAGCAATTAAGTCTCACTAGCAATTACCACTGATATACGGGTTTGTCTCATGACACACCAATAATTGTAAACAAGCTGATGATACCGCATCATTGCAGCTACTGGGGAGACTTGATGCATGAAAACTGTTAAGGCTGCGTTGAGCAAATGAATTTGAGCTTGATTTTCAAAATTTCGCACTGTTTCAATGTTAAAATTGTCATTGTGAATGATGAAGGGAGGTCAAAACGTAAACATTAGTGAATATAAAGAAGCAAATTATGCCTACTTTAAAATCTTAGGCATAACTTTGAAATGACTTTCATTTGGAACACACCCTGGCCTAGAGGCCCATCAAGAGTTCAGCCCTTAATACGTGAAACAGAAGATCTACTGCTCTTTTCAATAATATCTCAGTTACTTAGGGATTTCAGCAACCAGATTAACAGAAATTGGTCTCAGGATACTGATCCGGGCTTGTTCAGTTAAGCTCTGAGGCATTATTTGCCGATAAAAATAATATGAGAATTTGAATCTTCGACGCAGTCACGAACTGTTACCAGTCTCTCACCTCATAAATCTGAAAAATACCATGTTTTTCAGCATAATTTGAGAATTCAGGTGGAATTAACAATGGTTTCTTCGTTGCATCCATCTTGAATTTTCCCTCTCAGTTGCTACGATAAACAAGACGAGCCTGCAGTTCCTTACTCCAGCAGCACGGATTTGGCGTCCATAGCAACTGTGCGGATATATTCATAACTCGCGTTACAACAGATGATCGGTAAATGGAAGGTCATCGAAAATCATAAGATAATTCCGTGAAATCTTTTCTTATAGAGAGGTTATAATCTGTTCAAAAGGTATGTAATTGTTTTCTTAAAAGTAATGAACAAAACGTTTTTGAAAACCGTTATGATTTCGACGAAAGTAGATCGCATTTTTACTTCGCGTATTTCCGCGCGACCTGATATCGGGTTTACAAGCAGAGTATGTTACAATCTGAGATACGGACTACAGAAGAGGTCTGTCGATTTTAAGGCTGTCTTTCTATATTTGAAGATTCAGTTTGTTTAGGCTTAGTTGTGAATAATGTGGAAAAAAAAGACGGGAAAACTAAGGAATAATTTTGTGGAGATCATATTTCATGTTGGCTGTCGTACATTCATTTTGCTGTGTAAACAAATTTTCTTTTGTAATCAAAATCAACTGTAATCTGGTATGCAGTTAGAAAGAAACAAATATACATATTTTTTTTATAATTCTTACCTGTAAAACGCTCTGAGGTTGAGCGAGTAAACTTAGAATCTAATTCCAAAAATGTTTTGTGAGGTCGTGAGATTACCTGTGTAAACAATGTTACCCCGATCTTGAGCAAACAATGGGTTTCAATTTTCGAAATCGTGTGAAATTACGCCCCGCTGATCTCCCCTACATTCCGTACTCTTGGTAGTTTTAGGGCTAAAAATTCAAGATGAGCAAGGACTATGTTACGCTGGGTGTTCAACGAGAATCTCTGATAAATAATCCTCTTCTACAAAAGGTAACAACCACTTTACATGTATTGCCTTTTTTTTTCCTATAATCGACAAGAGTTATCAGGGGTCATTTGAGGGGGAGGTGGTGTACAGCAGCTTGCAAGTGATAAAATGGTTGAAATACTAGTGCAAGCTTCAAATGGACAATACCCAAACAAAACGTCTCAAAGTTTTTTACTCAGACATGCTCATTATTTCCCCTAGGATGTTCAAAGAGGGTGGGGGGGGTGGATGGGGTAGATGCAATTCAGATCTTAGCCTGAAGTATGTTTCTTGGGAATTTCCTGTAATGCAAATTGTGTTATTTTTCCTGGACACTTGGGCCATATTTCTATGTGATCATCTGCATCATCCCAATCATTCCTGTTTTCTAGACAACTGAGACAATACCAGCAATCATATGGAAAGCAGCCTAAAGCATAAACTCTGTTCAGTGTAGAAATTTCCCTTTGTCATGTTTTTTCTTCCATTTATTGTGCCTGGTTTCCTGGTGATCACTGCATTACCAACCTGCATTATCATGGAGAAACCAGAGCTTTTTTTGTCAAAAGATGGAGTGGTGTTGTGAGGATTTCATTATATCATGAGTATACCTAATGTAAATCTTTTGCCATTATTTCATAAATCACAATTTCTTTCAAGTCTATTTATACAAGCAATATAATACTTTTTAGTCTGAACTTGGAAGACCACTGCGGCGTTGCTTTACCCTTCCCCCTGATGGGTTTACTTATGGAAAGCCAAATGAAGGAAAGGACAGCGGTGCCGCTGATGGTAAGTACATTTACACTCCACTACTGAGCTCTAGCTTGTTTACAGCTGTCCCCTACCCTCCAAAGAAAAATTGGGAGGGTGGAGGCGAGGCTGCATAGAGGTCATTAAGCTCAAAATTTACCATATTTTACCCTCAAAGGTTACACTTTATAAGTTATATAATCATTGTTGCATTATTATTAATACTAATTCAGTGGTTACACTACAAGTGCATTTTTTTTCTCTTTTAGCACTTGTATGGAGGTCTGCCCCACTGGCTCCCCTTTATCTTAAGGAGAAAAAAGCTCCAAGAGATTTTATTGGATTAAATAAAGGTGCAGTTCAAGCCGGCCTTACAACAGCTCAGGAACATTTTCAGTACCGTGCCACACATGACATGAGGAGGAAAGACTCTGGCAATGAAAAGACATCATTAAAAGTTAAAAGAATCCCACCTACAATGGTCTTTGGTATTCCTACAAAGTATGTTTAACTTATTGAAATATGGCCATGTCTCAAAATTTAACAAAACATTGTCAGATAATTTTTGGTTATGTTTTAAAATGGGAAAGCGATAAAAGCTTGTGTTTCTTAGATCACTTTTTTCTGTTATTCAACCACTCACCATAATCCAAAAATGTAAACCTGAAATTATGGAAATGGTTTGTTATGTAGGTTGTTTATAATTATGAAATTGCTCACAAAATGAGTAACCACCTCACATCAGTAGTTTTTTCTTGTTATTAATAAAATTCGAATTGTCTCTATGTAGACCTTCCACTCCAGTTTATGATCTTCTGGGACATAAATATCAGGACCGCTGGATAGAAGAAAGACGGAAAGCTGAGGGAGCAGCCAGAGCAAGGCAAGAGCAGAAGGTATTATGCACAAATGAACAGTTTTCTGTGTTTTTATTTCAAAATTGTACTTAAATTCTTTAAATGTACTTCCAACTCCTATTCTGAGGCATACAGTAAACAGCTCATAAATTTAGGTTCTAAGTATAAACTTAACGTTATGCCATCAAGTTGACCAATTTTTTGTTGTTTTTGTTGTTTTTGTCTCTAGAGACATGTTGATAAAACCATCTATGAGACAAGGACTTCACTGCTTAGAAAATACCAACCCCCTGTGGATCCATCTCCACTATGGCACATGAAGAAGTTTGAAAAGGTAATTGTTTAAGTTTGTAATATATAGTTTACTGTGACACTAGTACATACACTGCATATGGTAAATACACTGCATATTATGAGAGTTCATACATGAAAACTCTCAACAATGAATGATATGGCAACTCAGAAGCCTAGAAAAAAATCAGTCTACAAGCAAGCCCTCCTAATAATCACTGCTGGACATACATTTCTCTTCCTAAAGAAAGATTTGAGATGAATCTGAAAGAGGTGCGGCATTTTCAGTGCTACATGTGGACCCCTTTCATACCTGTTGTCAGCATATATTGCTCAAGGTTTCAGACTTTCCCTCAGGCAAACAGAGTTTTTACCCTTTTTCAGAAACAAATTTCAAGGACTTTTCCAGGACTCCAATTGATTTCCCCATGACTCTAAATTTCACCTTAAAGCCTTTCATTCCCTAGATTTCAAAATCAATTCTCCTTACATACATTGTAAATTTATACATTACTGAGAATGTAAATTCTGAAAACTTTACTGCTCAAGATCAGCAAATTTCCAATACTTTCCAGGACCTCCAGTCTTTTTCTAGGACTTTCCAGTGCAAGAGAAATGTCAAATAAAATCCCAGAACTTTCCAGGTTTTTCAGGACCTGTACAAATCCTAGCAAAGGAACACATGCTGGAGTGCTAAAAATGAGTACCTACTCATTGGAAAGCTTGCAAGGAACATTTAACCCCTAAGAGTGGCTAACACCTAATTTCTCCTTACAACATCACCACTAAATCAAACATTAAGGTCATGAGAATAAAGCAGATCACCAACTAAAGAAGCTATTGATTGTTGAACAAATTCTCCTCACCAGAACCCTAAGAAATGTCTAGAAAATAGTATGGAGAATATGCATACTGATGTTAGGGAGTACAGGGTTAAGGGACCTTTTACAATAAGTCAGTTAATTTGTTTTGTGACTTTCTCCTGAGTCAATTAACAATTGAAATTGTCTCCACAGATCCCAGCTTATCTCAGCACCTTTAGATCAGATCAAGCTAAAGATTCTGCTTTCAAACACCATGCAACAGACAGCACCTCACGACAGGGAGTTTTTGGTCATGGAATATACGAACCTGCTAAGAGCTAAATACCAAAACAACAATTTTCATCACGTTTAACCTTTAAAAAAAAGAGTGGACAAGACATTTTTAAAAATATTTTAAGTTATGATTCTACAGATGACTTAACCCAAGAGTGAAAATCAACTTTTTTTTTCTCCATCAAGTATCTCCTAGAAGTTTTTTGAGCATTATTGTTTTATGATCACTCAAAGTTTTGTGCCTGTCAAGACTTGGAAAAAAAAGCAACCTGGAACCAAAGAGCTCTTTTCAGATATGAAATGGTAATAGCACATACTGAAAAAAGTGCAAATGAATTTTATTTGTACCCTTTGATTCTTAATCGATAATCTCAATAAGTAACAGAGTTACACAAAGTCTGTTGCTGCTCAACATTGTTCACTGAGAAACAATTATTTTTCCTCTTGCAACTGTTGTTTACAAATAAAAACAATTGATGCACATCTTGCCTTTAATAAATGTTTTGTAAATACTATCCACAAGAATAAAAAAATTGAGAGAATAAATGTATCAGGCTCTCATGAGTAGACAGCTCTACAAGTCAGTTACTTAGTTGTAAAAAAAATGAAACAAGAGCATGTTTTATCCAGTCGATAAGATTGCAACTGCATGCTTTATATAAGTACCATTACGTTAAACTATCACTGCCAGAATTTTGCTTTCTTTGGAGATGGTTCTTGTGAAGTCTCTCCCTCGTCTAATGCTTTCTCCTGTTTCAAAGGTGATTTTTTGAAGTATGAAAATAAAGTTCCTTTAATAGGCTTTTCTTGTTTTTGTGTCCTTAAAAAGAAAAAAGAAATACCTTAAATTTTACAGCAGCAACAACAAACATTTCATCAAAAGCCAGTTACCAGCAGTCTATTGCTACCAGTTTAGCTTGCATGCAGGCTCCCATGTTGGGGTTTTGCCAACATGGAAGAAAGTTCCTGGTGAAACTCTTGTAAAAGATACAAATCACTGAGTATGTAGTGGTGTTACTTACAAGTCGATTGGCTTGATGCAGTCTGGTGATTTATTCCTAGAATTATTCACAACTGTAGAGACTGGATGCCACTCCAAACAGTCTTTGGGTTTTACAAGGTTTAGAGCCTACCATAGAACACAAAGTAAATTCTGTTAAAACTAGATGCAGGTCTGTACACTAAGCAAATAGGCTTAATGATTTCAAGAGTACATTTAAATTTGTCAAAATAATTTTCAATAGTACATAATTATTTGGCACCTGTGAATTACCTTTTGCCATGGAACTTCTCCAAAGTCTAGCCAGCGGCCAATCTCTTCTTCCCCTTCTAGAATAGCCTTCAAACAAGAAGAGAAAAATATCAAGTAGGGAGATTATCAGTTGATCCAATACTGAATTCTCTTAACTAAACTCCAAAGAATTGTATGGTTGATAGCAATGAGAATCACTAAATAAAATGAGATCTTGGTGGTGAAAGGGTTAAGATGCACTGATTGTACTATGGACACAGGCCTTGCCTCCATAATAGAGCTGTGAAATATATGTGTATTCCAGTAAGGTAGTAAACAATGTAATAATGATACACGATTGTAGAATCAAATTCATAGTAACAACTGTTAAATAGAAATTCCAACTTTAAGAGATAGTAATTTAACAAGCTGATATAAAAAATGTAGTTAGTGATTCAGAGAGCCTATGCCCAACCACAAGACCACTAGCTGCCTTTTAAAATCTAAGTACAACTGATTTTGTAAAAAAGCAAGAATAAAAACTTCTGACTTTCTTTTAGCTGTACATTAAAACATATTTTCTTGATTGAAAAACTTGGATGAATTTGCCTCATTTTGATATAAAAGGATATATACTAAACATTACTCACTGGCATTCTGTGGTGCAGCCATCTTAGAGATGGAGATGAATCCACTGTGATGATAGTATAAGAAAAGAGTTCTTCATCTTCATTACCACTTCCCTAGCAACAAAATTAAAAGAATTCTGACTTGCATTTCTGCTTTCAATTCCCCCTCTTTAACATTGTTCATATTATCCCAGATAAAGTTTCAGGCTAGTTAACCCATTAAAGCCTTGGAGAGACCAGCATCAAATTTTTCCTTACATATATAAATACTGCTAAATCATTCATTGGGATCATGAGAATAACGAAAATGATCGCCAACCTAAGAAGCTTGGATTGTTAAACAAATACTCCTTGAAAGTACCAAAGGAAACATAAAGAGAAGTATAGAGAATATAGATACTGATGTTAGAGTGTAGAGGGTAAGACAATAATTTTTCCCTCACCATTGCACTGCTGAGTATGTTATAGAACTTTTAATATCTAGCAGTGACTAGAAATTAATTTCTATACAGCCGATGAATCACATACATTTGGTGGCTTCCAACAATCAAACAAGCCTGCCATGGTTAAGAGACGCTTCTCTCCAAACTGTGCGTCTTCTTCTGCTTTGACTGTTATGGATTCCTCTGGTTCCTTTTTAATGTGAAAATCCTTCACATCTGTCTCCTTTTCATTGTTGTTTTCTCCTTCAATCTCTGTCATTGTTTTGTTTTGTACTTCTATCTTTGTGTCTTTCTTGAGGTAGATGTAGTATGGCTGTTTCTTTCCTCCCTTCAATGTCTCCCACTCAAAGAATCTGTTGATGAAAAAAATTTTACTTTTAAAGCACTACATATTGGTCTGAATTTATTCTATGAAACACTTTTCTAATTTAAGTCTGAAATTATTGGAACAGTATTATTTACTAGGTAACAAGTAGGCCACAGCGGTATCTTAACAACAGTCCTATTTCCTAATACTTTCTGATCACATTAGATGGTAAAGCTCCTATAAGACAGGGTACATGGGCATAATTGGACATGTCAATCACATCTGTAAGAAATTTGGGGCAGCAGCTAAGTCTGAATAAAATATAGTCAGTAATCTGGTAAACACTTTTTTAACCCTTTCACCCCTAATAGAGAATTGGCATCTAATTTCTCCTCACAATATCACCCCTGAATCACACAACAAGGTCACAAGAAAGAAGGAAACGATCACAAACTAAAGTAGCTCTTGATTTTTCAATAAATTATCCTTGTCAGGACCTTAGGATATGTATGGAGAACAGTAAGGAGAATATGCATATTGATGTAATGTTGTAAAGGGTTAAAAACAAGAAAAAGAAAGAAAATATAAGGTAACCACTCCACTTTGGTTCAGTTACTTACCCTTCAGCTAAAACAACACATCTGTTACCCTTCTCGAGAGGAGATTTGAAAGATCTTTTGTCCAACAGAGTATCACTACGAGCATTGCTCATATTGTAGGTGAACTCTTTGGGATCTCCACGGTGCCATGATGGAATTAAACCCCATCTCATGGGTTGAAGAACCCTTTCACAAGGCTCTTCTGATGCTAAACTGTTAAAATGTTGACTTGACAGTAACACTGGACTAAAAAATAAGAAGGCATTCATTCAGTTTATCAACGAGATAGATCTGCAACTACATGTAACTGAGGATAACCATTAGCTTAAAATTAAAATTATAGGTGTTGAGTGATCTTGACTTGCATCCTCTCCAGGAGGGAGAAACATTACTTTTGGTTGCTTCATAGTACAGCACCAGGATAGGCAATGGCCAGATAGGCCATGGGGCTGGACTACAGACTTAACTTAAATCAGTTGGTGTTGTATCACAAATCCTATGATCTGATAGGCTAAGCTGCTCAATATCCAATTTATGATAATGAGTTGAGTGAATTACGGTCAAGTCGCCAACAGTTCAACTTGCCAACGCCAAGAATTAAAATTGAGGAGGAACATCGGCGAGTTAGTCTTCAATCCAGTACAACTTATTAGAAGTTAAACATATAGAAAAGTAAAAGATATTTAGTACAAAAACAATTTTTTTTCTTCATTAAAAGGATGTCAAGGCAAATAAAGCAAGGTGAATATTGCCAATGACCAAAAAAGACACAAACAAGTTCTTGTGAAAAATAAAATTAAAAAAAAAATAAAAATGGAAATCAAAAGAATTGTTTTTTACTAAAGATCCTGTCTAGAAAGCCAACTTTTCTGAAAAAAATCTGACCGATTGACATGATGAGTCTTTACAGTGTTGTTGTCACACAATAACTCCTTCGTGTCTGAAGCTTTTATTGTCATTGACAATGTTTACCTTGCTTTATTCGCTCTGAGATCCTTATAAACTTTGTTGGAAGAAAAAAAATTGTTTTTTTACTAGAGATCTTTTACTTTTCTATACGTTTAACTTCGATTGAGGACCAACTCGCCGACATTTCTACTCAATTTTACACGTCAGCGAGTTGGTGTTGGCAAGTTGAACTGTTGGCAACTTGACTAGATACCAGTTGAGTGAGTAGCATATCAGTCAGCAGTTGTAGAGAAAAAAAAAACAAGGAAAAACATGAGTCTGTCTCATTGTTCAGTTTTTGACAAATGGTAGATTTAAACTACACTGATTAGATTACTTGAGTAGGTATACCATCAATCTACATAATGCTGATCTCTTTTGCAAGAACTTTAATTGTTCATTGAAGAAGGAAGCAGATGTCCTGCAGAGTAACCAGGTATGTTTACTGTTGTATCCTCCTAATGCATATACTATGCCTTGGATTCGTACAGATAAGATTTACACACTGATCAACCATGTGCTTTCTCTTTTATTACCTACTTCATATATGAGTACATGAAGCCTGTCTGCGCTCAGTACGTCATGTAATACATGACATCCCTCCTTTTCTTGAAGAAAGAAAACAATAGTCCTTAAGACTTAATCAAAACAAAACGTGCGAATCTGAAAATTGGACGGAGAGCTGGTAATAACTAATTCGCTTAATTTCAACACGAGATTCACCGGTTCTAAGCAGTCCTTGTATCAAAACAACATTTAACATTTCGAATCAAAGTTCACTGTTTCAAACGAAGTTCAACATTTTAAAACAAAGTCTTTATATCTCCCAGGGAGTCTCCTCTGTCTCTGAGGTCTTCCACCTTTTGGTGTTGCTGGTGGGCTAGGTACTGTTGCTTGATCAACTGCTGCATTCTTACTAGCAGAGGTTGTACCAGATTTGCTTCCTGCACTTGCTTGTGCTAAAGGTGTGAGATGAGTTAGGGGTCTACTGGGAGGTGTTGTAGGCACTACTGATGTAGATCCACTCATCACTTGATTTGGTACCACGGTAATTTCAGGTGTTGTCGGTACATCGACACTGACAGGTGGTTCTTCCGGATTGTCAGGGCTCACAAACTTCTTGACATGGGATGTATTCCTTGAATACTGCGTTCCACCTGGAGTTTCCACAACAACACTGTTACCGGTCTTGCTAACCACTTGGAATGGTACTGGATTAAATGGCGTGGAAAACTTGTCTCTTTTCTCTTGCCTCACCAGGACTTGATCACCAACTTGAACTTCTGATGGTTTTGCATTCATGGATTTATCAGCTATTACTTTGGTCTTTGCTTTCACTTGCATCTCTATCTCGAGTTTCCAGGTCCAAGTGATGGTCGGCATGTAGCTCTGGTAGCTTTCCTCTCATCTTTCTGTTAAACAATAATTCCATGGGGCTCTTACGGTTGTCGCGTGATCAATACCTCGGTATTTAGTCACATATTTTCTTAGCTCCTTCACCCAGTCTAATCCTTCGGCTTGGGCAATGCGGATTCTCTTCATCAGCGATGCATTTTGTCTCTCTACCTCCCGTTGGCTTGAGGCCATTTTGGTGTGGTCTTGGTGTGAACAATTCCATTCTGCTTACAATATTCCCGGAATTCTTCGGAGCGGAATTGTGGACCATTGTCTGACTTTATGGTCAGAGGAAGGCCATGGCGGCTGAAAATCTCTTCCAGGTTGTCAATTACTTTCTCTGTGACGGTTGACATCATGATGGCGTACTCATAATAACGACTGTAGTAGTCCACAACAACAATGATTGAGTGTCCCGAAGGAAGTGGTCCTAGGAGGTCTATAGCTAGGTTTTGCCAAGGACCTTCTGGTAATGTCGTGGATCTCAATGGCTCAGGTGGGTCTGGGCGAGATACCAGTTGACATCCGTGACAGGACTTGCAGAATTTCTCTGCTGCCTTATCCATACGAGGCCACCACACCTTACTTCTTAAATTTTGCTTTGTTCCCACAATTCCTAGGTGTCCTTCATGGGCTAAGCTGATTGCCTGAGCTCTGAGTTTGTTTGGTAACACAATACGGGTACCTCTCAAGACTAGCTGTCCAATCACACACAGTTCTCCTGCGGCTGGTGCATAGTTTTTGCACTTCTCAAATCTGCCAGTTTTAATTGCTTCTCTCAGGACTTTTAATTCTTCATCTGTTGCAGATGCTTCTTCGACTTCTCTCGTGGTTAATGCTTGGGGAGTGGCACTGATAGCTGCGAATCGGATGTACTCTTCTGCCCCATGTGGATGACTCGTCACTTTGTCTTGCTTAAGCAGGCGGGAAAGAGGATCAGCTATATTATTCTGCCCTGGAGTATATACAATTCGGAAGTCGTAGGGTTGTAACCCGTATTGTCCACCGTTCGATGCGGGCACAGGGCTTGGAACGTGGCCCGTAGATGACCTCCAACGGTTTGTGGTCAGTTACCAGATCAAATTTCATGCCATAAATGTATGCATGATACCTCTCACATGCCCAAACGAGAGCGAGGGCTTCCTTTTCGGTCTGGGAGTACTTGCGCTCACACTCTGTCAAGCTGCGGCTTGCATAGCAAATTGGCACCCATGCTTCATTTTGGTTCTGTAGTAACACAGCTCCGAGGCCGACTGGACTGGCATCAGCTATTACTTTGGTTGCTGCGCCTTTGTTAAAATATGCAAGTGTTCCTCGTCAGCCATGCTCTGTTTCAGAATCTTAAAAGCGGTTTTCTGCTCAGGTCCAAAGTGGAATGGAACAGCCTTTCTGGTCAAGCTCCTTAGTGGCTCAGTGATAGTAGCGAAGTGAGGAATAAACCTGCTGCTATAATTGGCCAATCCCAGGAAGCTTCTTACTTCGCTGACGGTGGCAGGTTCCCTTGTTTCTTGCAAGGCTCTGATTCTTTCTTCTGTTGGGCCTATCCCTTTTCAGAGAGAAGAATTCCCATGAAAATCACTCTGTCCACATTGAATAGGCATTTGTCAGCATTGAGAGTTAAGCCATGCTGCTTGAGGCGTTCCATTGTCTTATATAGGCGTTGGTCATGAGTTGCCTGATCCGGGCCATGTACTATGATGTCATCAGATATATTATCGACTCCTTCTATTCCAGCTAAAGCTGTGGATATCTCATGTTGGTACTGCTCACTCGCTGAACACACGCCAAATAATAGACGTTTGTACCTGTACAAGCCTTTGTGCGTCACAAAGGTGGTGATCTGTCGTGACTCTGAATTAAGTTCCAATTGGTGGTATCCCCACTTTAAGTCTAACTTGCTAAAGACTTTGGAACCATTCATATTGTGTAGCAGTTCATCTACAGTTGGTATTGGGTATCTGCCACGTACTATGGCCTTGTTCGCTTGTCTCATATCGATGCAGAGGCGTATGTCACCATCTGCCTTTGGTATGATCACTACTGGATTTACCCATGGTGTAGGCCCGTCTACTTCCTCTATAATATCACAATTCAACAACTCTTGAACCTTCTTTTCTACCTTCTCTTGCAGATTGAAAGGAATTCGCCTCAGGGGTTGGGCTACTGGTTTCACTGTTTCGTCTATGTGCAATGTTACTTGCTTGGACTTCAACTTTCCTATCCCACTAAACACTTCAGGGAATTTTTGCTGCAGCGTCTGTTTGCCTTCAGCAATTGTGGCAATGTCAACACCTATTTTCAGCACCCCCAACCTCATTGCGGTGTCTTTTGCTTAAGAGTGGTATTCCCTTTCCTTTGATAACCAGGAATTCGGTCTGGACTCTTCCTCTGCCCACTAGTACCTCACATGTGAAGCTACCTTTTACTGGGAGGGGTTTGCTGGATGCATAAGCGTACAATTTTCTGTCAACGGGAGCTGTTTGTGATTTACACTTGATCTTTTTAGCCTTCAGATCTTCCCATGTACATTCATCGATAATGTTATTGGTGGCCCCAGAATCCACCAACATTTCCAATTCTACTCCTCCCGCAGACATTTTTGAGCATATTTGACTGACCTTTATTGGTGACCCTGAATGCATAATCGACTTGCTCCCCATCGGTTTTTTGTTCTTCTTGCACCTGATTGACTCCTGGCTTCTTTGGTTTGGTTTTGCAGACCCTAGCAAAGTGACCTTTCTTTTTACATTTTTTACATGTTTGACCTCTGGCAGGGCATTTCGGATCTCCACCAAGGTGACCACTCCACCCACAACGAGGACACTGACTGTCTCTGTTCTTGCTTTCTTTGTTTCTTTGTTGATCTTTTGGTCTCCTAGGTTTTTCATAGACCCTGTGTGCTTCTGTAGTCTGTTCACTCAAGCTAAGCTGAGACATTTGGTGTTCTACACTTTCACACTGTTCTGCAAGCTCTAATGTGCGTGCGAGAGTAAGTTCATCTCTTTCTTCAAGCAATTTACGTTTGACATAATCTGACCTGCATTTGCATAAAATCGCATCTCTTATCTGATTGTCAAAGTCTGCCCCAAAATTACAGTCTTTCCCTTCTTTTCTCAGTCGGGTTACAAACTGCAAAACGGTCTCACCTGGCTGTTGTTGGAGTCGGTGAAATTTTGACGCGCAAAAGCGGAGTTAACTTTGGGGAGAAAATAGCCATTCAGTGCTGTTACAGCGGCGGCGTAGTCCGTTGCTTCGCCGGTGTTCGCGAGAGTAGAAAATTTCTTGCACATCTTGTCCCGCTAAATGGAGTAGCATAGCTCTTCTTCGTTGTCTGGTTGTTGCATTTGTACCTTCAGTGATAATCAGACCTTTGCCATCGGCAAACAATTCAAAAGATGTGAACCATCGCGTCCAACGTGGTCCTAACGTGGTAGGTTCCGAGTGACAATCGAACTTAGGAATCCCATTGGAAGCGCCATTTTCGCTCAAAGACATCTTGTGTCTCACAGAATTATCCTCGTCGCCAATGTTGTATCCTCCTAATGCATATACTATGCCTTGGATTCGTACAGATAAGATTTACACACTGATCAACCATGTGCTTTCTCTTTTATTACCTACTTCATATATGAGTACATGAAGCCTGTCTGCGCTCAGTACGTCATGTAATACATGACATTTACCAGCTGCCAGTTCTCATACTTAAAGCCCACTGTCTGACTACAAGAGAATTTACTTAACTCTAAAAGTCAGTTTAGCACTGTGCTTAATTTCATTAAAAACTGGTGATAGATGTTTGTATTACGTGCATTTTGTGTGGGTGGAAGGGTGCAATGGCCAAGGTAAAAATGTGTCATGGAATTAGTTAAATGACCTCAAAGGATCGGGAAGATACATTTTAAGTATAATACAGTACTTCAAAAACACAGATTAACGAAGGCAACAAAGTCGATGGGCTTAGTTGTGTTGTATCCTTGAAGCTTCCTTTCTTGTTTCGTCAGAGCTTAACAGAGCTCATTCAACAACAGACATTCCTTGCATTTTTAGAATGTATCTTTTTCCAAACCCATTTAATCATCATAAACAAAAAACAAACTAATTTAGTATGTCATAAAAACTTACGTGAAGGATTGCGGACTAATATTATGGGAAGGATAGTATTTTCCTCTATTAAAGCTACCATCTCTCCAAGCCGGTTCCTGGATCTGACCATTCTTTCCTTTGAATGTGCATACCTTCGGGAATTCATCAGGAGCAAGGGTACTGAATGACAAAAGAAAATAGAATCTTAATCACCTGTTTGTTCGGAAATAACTTCACTTCCACTAATCATCTATTTTTAGTACTGACAAATTTACATACGTACCAGGCCGTTCTCCCACACATTTTGAGCAAATTCACCCCAAAATGTGCCAAATAATGGATTAAATAGTTTCCTACTATTCAAGGGATGAAGGTAACTGCTTCTAAGAATTAGCCTTTGCTCTCCTTTTCATTAAATTTTGGCGCGTTTTATGCCCGTATGGTCAGCGGTCTACCACGAAATGCTTCCTTAAGCCTTTTTTTTCGATTTCCTTTCGTTATGCTCCAAAAGTGCTCATTAAACCCAATCACTGAAAAGTAAATTGCTCATGGTAGCTCAAAAACACCAGGCTGTTGTTAGATTCTATAGCCAACTTGATCGAGAAATACCGCGAAAATAGCAGAATATTGTGTAAGACGGTCTTGTCACGTGTGAAACTAGCCACCCAAGAGCCTGTTCGAGCTACGGATGAACTTCTTTGGTTGTTATCCGTACTTTGGTATCCGAGACTTTTCAACGATTCTTTTCTACTTTTGAACAATTTTTGTAGAACACATAGCTTTTTAAATAATTTTATATATACGTATCATTGATAAGAGCTCATTACTTGCATTGGTGACCGTTTCTAGGCCGTTGTTCAGTCTCCAAGTGCCTGTTTAGTTGTTTACTTTAAGCTTTGCCGAAAGCTATGGCCGGTCATGGTTGAGTTCCACAACTTTGTTGAAGACTGTTGCAAATCTCCAGGCATTACTTTGCATCCATCGATAAAGAATGAGTCAGGGAGGAGTCATAATGGTAAGAAAATCATAACAGTAATGAGCATTTGGAGAATTTTCCCATGTATTTCATGTGATGCAAATAGTTGATGCATTATCTTGCAGTACGATGGAGGCCGAGGAAGACGAATTAGTAAGGCAGAAGACTATAACGCCAGTATGAAAAGGTCTGGTTCCGAAACGCTTCTTAAAACGGATCTTGAACAGTCCAAAGAGGCAATTAAAGCTGAAATTCGCAAGCAGCTTAAGTTAAAAGAGGGAGCAGAAAATTTAAAAAAGGTTGCCACTGACAGGAAGACTATCGCCCAATGCAATACAATTTTAAAAGATACTACAGCTAAACTTCAAGATTTGCACGACGATCTTCAAGACCTCAACGCTCGAGTCTCTGAAGACATGCCAGGTGAGTAAATAAGTTGTTGGTATAGATAGCAGATACAATATTACTGAATGCATGGCATTCCGTGACAAGTTGGACCTATTAACAAGCTAAATCATTTTGATCCTTCGCGAAATCGTTTCCTTTGCAACGGTAAACTCAAGCATCATTCGTCGCATTGCTTTCGAATTTCAATTATCGTGGGATTTGATTGTAAGCAGCTCAGAAAAAATCGTTTATTTGGTAGTACTTTAGATAGTTACTTCTAATTACTGATATATTTGTGGCGAGATAAACTCTCGCTGAACAACATATAAGAAGTACGCGCTCGACCAATTACTATATTTTTAGGCCAACATATGTCAGTTGGAATGCAACGTTTTTGTACATGGTTGTACTTGTTGCTTAAAATACAGTATAATATGTTCCATTCGACTTTCCACAGCGAAACATTTCGCTTCAGAGCCAGAAACTTGCTATATTTTGATGAGTGCATTTTCGTCACAAGGAATGGTTGAAATTTTTGAGCAAAGTGTGTACAATGAAATCCCTTGATGCGTGGCGGAAACAAACCTCGATTTTGATAACTCAACGAAAAAGCTTACTTAGCCGTAACTTTGGATTTCAAAACTTAATAGTAACCTTAATCCAACATAATATATTATAATATCATCTCGGGAGTGCGCCGGATGGTGCGTATCACAACGTACACTTAAACATCGTTAAAGTATTTAAATGGTCACCCTGTGGGATTGTTAATTTTTTATGTACATGTCGCCGTAAACCCTTGGAAAAAGTTACGGGTTTTAAGAGCGTTTTTCTTTGATAACCGCTAGACTATGACGCTTGGACTCGTTGTTTTCGCCACCGTCAAGTGGCTTTAAATATTTGGGTCTTTTCGGTTGTGTTTGTGACAACAACCAAGGATTGTTTACATTTGATCGAAGGAAAATCCTTTGTTTGCTTTTTCCTTCTTGCGATGAGCTTTTCTTATCGTATTCTTTATCCTACTGTGCAAATCGGGAACTGTCTGGCTGGTTTTTTTTCCTTCAGCTGCATTTGTTTATTGTTCAAATCCTTGATGAATTTTATCTAGAGTGCTTGAAAGAAATTACCTGTTTCCGCAAGGGTTATTACGAGTAAAACAGCCACTTGGTAACAATAGTTGACAGATATCCTGTGATTTTTAGATCAAAGAGCTGGTATTGTGTTTCTGGACATTTTTGATTCAGTTTTAAAATTGCAAGTCTATCTATCTTTGATTGGTTACTTTCTTGGTACAATATTTGTTACTCTCCAAGAGTTTGACATTTTTAGACATAGTAAATGTACTGGCATGAGTTTTAAGTTACAGTCTCTGTAAATTAGATTGGAGATTCTGATTTCCTTGAACATATTTTGAAGTTCTTGCCAGGATTTCCTTCATCTCACTTCTGTGTGATTGAGAAATTAATTCAAGTGATATTTGCAACTCATTTCAACAAAATGTTTGGATTGTCCAACATGATAACCTTAGTTTATGTAAAATACACCAAATTAACAAAAATTACCTGTTTTGTCTGTTGGATAGAATTTCTCTTATCATCTTTTCATGCTCTTATCTGCCATGGCCCATTGACTTAAAAGCCCTAGATTATTAACAAAATCCCTCAAGGGAATTTTGATTTTCTATGTTGTTTTCTCCAATTCATTGAAAGAGGATTGTACTTGTACTTGTATACCATTTCAAGTCCAGCAATGATCTTGAAATTAAATGAAATTACTTATATTTTGACCTGTGAATGATATACAAATAAATAAATGATCCATGCTGATGAGCTGCAATTAAAGAATTACAGAAAAGAAGTAAAAAAAATCTAGGCTTTTGTGATGGAATTATCTTGTCTAGTGGCAATACTTTGTTGATAACAGAAGCCAGTTGTTGTTAAGAGTGATACCAAATTTCCTATCAAGGACTATGAAATTTGTACATTCTTTTTATAAAGTTTTATTGAGTTGGACTTGCGTATATTTTATTGTTGTACTTGGGAGTGGAAATCTTTGGGCAGGAAGCGTCTTCTTTGAACAGTCTATACATACTCAATTTGTTGATGTATAAATTCTCAAGAGACTTATGCTCCAGAAACTAAATAATTTTTTTCTCCACTATGAGAAATTAGATGCAAAACTACCTTTCACTGTTGTTTTGACAGTTGCTGCTCTGATTATTGCAAAACTGAAACAGTTGCATGCACTGAGAAACTGAACCTGAGCACCAGCTCTACCTATCAGAACAAATGTAATTATGGGAACCAAAACATAGTAGGAAAATGTGTATTTACATTCTAAACTGGGGAGTTTTCTTCTGGTGATGGATTCACTAATGGTAAATTTTTTTTTTGGCAGAAAAAAATATTTTTGGGCATCTGTAGCTGTAGCTGTACCTTTCTCTGACTCTCTAATGTTAGATGGTACACACCTTTTGTTCCAAGATCCAATGCAAGATCAAATGCAATTCTGTAATGCAAGTTTTAATCACAGTAGCCATGTTTATACCAAAGCTTTCTCTTGCACTCTGAAAGCAGCTAAATCAGCAAAATCAATTTATTGAAGGAAGTTGCCCTCTCATGATATGACTGTTTCTTTGCTATGACTTTTTCTACAGTGGACAATGAAGATGTCCTCTCTCCTGACAAGACAGATGGTGTATCAAATGAACCAGCTATAAATGGCAAAATTGATTCATTAAAAAAGCAAATTGCTGTGGAGATGAAAGTAAAGCAAGGTGCAGAGAATATGTTAGCAATGTACAATGCTAGTGGATCAAAGAAGAAAGACACCAAACTTATTGCAGAAGCTCAGCAAATGCTGGAAGACTCAAGGAGAAAGATAGAAATTATTCGAATGGCACTACTACGGGAGCAACAGCAAGGACTGATAGGAAAGGAGGATGGAGTAGTGTCAGGTGGCGCAGGTGGTAAAGAGAATTCTGCACCAGGATTAGGACTCTCTCCTTTGGAATTAAGAATAGAAGATGTTCGCCATCATATTGAAATTGAATCTAGAGTAATTCATGGTGCAAAAAACATGATTAAGTTTTTACAAAAGTCTGGTCGTGATAGGAAAGGTTTAGAGGAGGTAGGTAGTTTTTATTCTAAAGAAAGTAAAAATGTATGATGTTAGTAGGACAAAAGTTGACAAATTTTGTGCCTTGTTTGAAAAGTAGTGCATTCCCAGAATCATTTCTAAGACTACAGGGTAAAACAGCTTATAACAACTCTCAACTGCAGTAGCATCAAGAAGTCCTATCAATTTTCCTACTGGTTACCATGTAGGATTTGATAAACTTCATCAGTTTCAATTTCAACACAGGGCTTCTATCTCCAAGAATACTAGAAGGAGAGATGTGTCTTGATTTAACTGACTGGAAACTTTCCCTGCCTTTCCCATTTGTTGATTGCAGTCAACCAATGTTTGTCTGACAATTCCTTATATATCAAATACCTTTGATCATAAGACTTCAGTATCTGAAAATTAATTGTTACAGTAATGTTAAAAAGACAGTTAACTGTGATGATTATTTAACTTGGGCTTTCTGGAAAAACTTAATTTGCTTCTTTGCTAAGCTTGGAAAGGAGAGTCACACTGTAGAGTTTATTGGCTCAATCTATTGAAAGTTATTCAAGAAATCTTGCAATTTGCATTGTAATCCTCAAAGGGGATGATGACCACATGATAACTTCAGATGTAGGTCATATGGTGTGTACTTAGTTGTGAATGTTAAACAAGTTTCACTGGGGACTCTAGGATTTCCTAAAGGGGAGGAAAACCTCATTCATCCTCTTGATCTTTATACTGATTCTTCCTGCTTTCTCAATGTGTCCTCTTCTAGCTGGTGAAGGGGTTAGTTAGAAAAAAGTAAATAACATTTTGCTTTTGTTTGTTTTTTACCTAGGTTGAGAGGAGGTTTCATGAATCAAGTCAAAAACTAGACTTACTTCAGTGTTCACTTGCGAGACTTATGGGAGAACTATCTCCTGAACAGGCAGCTGTAGGTATTTATATAGATAAAGACTATGTAACAACACCTCCATCTTATGCTGACCGCAAGGCTGTTGGCTTGGGAAAGCAACAATACACAGCAATAACTAAACCAGCAGCGCTGACTGGAGAATTATATGTAAGTATGCTAAGCCACAGTTTTGTTGAAAGAGTAGAATTCAGTTTGACCATTACTGAGTGTGTGACATGCAAATATGGGTAATGAAAATTAAGGCCCTTGAAGAGGTGTTTATTCCTATCAAATGTGGGGTAAAAGCAAAATTTTGATTTCTGGTAAGTGTTGGATCCATAGTGGGTCAAACATTCTACATGCAGCCTTGAGCCACAGGGAACTTATGGTGTAACAGACTCTGTACTTGGTTTCCTGCATTGTGACTTGAAATTTTAATTATGTATTTTAGACCAATGATTAGTGAGTCATATAAGAGTATTACATGGAACTATTTGAAAAGTACATTATTTTGTATTTTATGGAATGCAAGTATTTTTGCCTATTAATTTTTGTATTTTGTAGTAACTTCTGAACATTGCATTCATATATTATGCACTACTTAGAGGTGTTGGTGAGTGATCATCTTTATATTTTTCTCCTATCTGCTACGAAAGACATTTTCAAAGAGCTACAACTTGACTCTTCTTTCTCCAGGTCCACATAGTTGGCGCTGACAGGCTCCTGGCAGTTGTTCCTAATAGAGATCCTAGAAAAACAATCAGTTTAGCAATGGTGAGCCCAGATGGCAAGCTGGGAGACAGATCAGGTTCTAGCAAGAGAAAGAGTGGCTACAATAAATGGAATGCTGAAGAGAGTTTATCAGGTATTTACAGAAGGCCACATTATCAAATCTGTGGGATCAATGTGATCATGTTATGATTTTTGGAAACTTTTTCATAAGTCTTATAATATTGAATTTTTGTTTTACACTGTCCTGGCTTATGAATTTGCAGCCATCCAAACTCCTCAGACAAGTACTTTGTGTTAAAATTAAAAGACTTCCTGTGTTCACCTTTTGTCATTTTCCTTTTCACCATTCATGGACACAATTCCATTGCCTTGATATAGATGGAGAGAAGCACTTGCATCTCTCAATAGCCTTTACACCTTTACATCGGTATGCTTATTCTCCATACTGTTCATATACATTTTCTAAGTTGCTAACAAGGAGAATTTGTCTGACAATTAAGAGCATCTTAAGGTGATCATTTCCTTTATTCTCATGACCTTTTTCATTTGATTCAGTAGTGATACTGTAAGGAGAAAGTAGAAGCCTGACACTTTAAGGGGTTAAATAATTAATATAACAGCAATATGCAACAAAATGGCAGGAGCTGAAACAAGCTCCCTCAACTCTTTCACCCCCAAAATCTCAGTAGTAATTCTGCTTACAGTCTGCTAGTTTGTATAATTTGCTATTTGATCAAAAAAAAATCCCATTACTGATATATTCTTTATTGTCATCACTTTTCTGCTTGATATTCTATTGATGTTGTAAGGGGAAATTTGGTCTTGTTCCCTCATGGGAGTTAAAGGGTCAAAGGCAGACAACTTTACTAGTTAGTTGATGAGCAAGATAAACTACTGAACTTCTGAGAAGTGTTGGATGGTTATGAATTGAGCACTAGACAATAAAATGTTCAAAGCATCTGAAACTGAAAGTCAAATGAGATATTTCTTCATGTATTACTATATACGATATGATATTTCCTTTTTTCTGTTATTGTTAGTTGAAGTGTGTGCAGTCCTCAAATTGGATAATTGCTATGTGGGACAAACATCCTGGAAGACATTGGGAAAAGATTGTTGGAGTCAACAGTTTCACATTGAGTTAGACAAGGTAAAGAAAAAGAGATGATTCACACATTATGCAAATTGTAAAAATTGTAGCAATTTTTGTGTCTCAATATTATATATTATAATCACACCAGTAGGCATTATTTAGCACTGTTTACTCAACCTGAGGATATAACTTATTTTAGTGCATGATAACTCAAGTGATTGCCAGAGGTACAGCATCTTCTTCCACCTCCTATTTCTTAAGAAATATCATGAAATCTCACTTTGACTGTTTGGAAATAATTGCTTCAGTATTTTAGTAGAGTTATATACAGCTTGATGTAATCAAGCTGAGTAATCATGATAATTACAAGTATCTCAATTTTGGGGGGAAAGATGAGGGCTGGGCTTGGCTGTGGGTGATAACTTCTCAAATATAGGTGATGACTTCTCAAATATAGGTGATGACTTCTGTAATTGAGTTACAGCTATAATTGGACTCAAAGCACTATTTTGGTTGTACATAAGTACAAAATAAGCTAGAGGGAAATTTCGGGTAAATTGACCTAAATTATTATGACTTTCACCTTTATGGTGTACTTACAAGAGTTTCTTGTTTTCTTTTAGTCAAGAGAGATTGAGGTAGGGGTGTACTGGAGAGATCACAGGTCCCTCTGCGGTGTGGCATTCCTAAGACTTGAAGAGTTTCTTGACAATCAGCGGCATCAAATTCAAGTTCCTCTGGAACCACAAGGTTGCCTATTTGCAGAGGTTTGTTGCTTGTCTTCTTACTTTTTTATTTTTTCTTATTCTTGCACATGCGTGTATGTTTTTAAGGGATGATAGATTGCAAGGGAATGTGTAAATCTGATAATCTGCAGTTCTCCAGTTTGTCTCACTTACAGTACGAGTAATTCCATGTTAATTGATATACTCTCAGTATTGTCTATCATTTTGCTTTGGTTTTCATTTTTTCATGTTTAACTAGTGTTTGTACTCAGCAATGAGTTGTTCTGTGTTATGAAAGCTTTTTGACAGGACATCCTTATTACAAAATGAGTGTTTGGAAAAGTACTGCATGTTCCTAGAATATATTACAATTGTGTGTTATTACTGTTATAATGTTTTAAGCAACTAACACACATGTAAATCAATGCAAAAGACAATCTTCACATCTGAAACCTTTGCATTTGGTTCTGTTTTGATCTTCCTTGTTTCTCAATATCCCATTATTTAAAGAACCTGTTTAGAGTACTTCTTTGCCAGGTCTCTCAGGGCAGCAGTATCTTTCTTGATGAATTTTTGCTTTTGTACCACTTATTCTGCTCTAGAAAAATGTATTAAGCTCAAAACAGTTTCCCTTTGTTGATTTATACGGTTGGAAAATGAAATTTTTTGCTTCGATTTGCTTTTCACTTCGTGATTTCTTTTGAGTGAATTTGGATTTCCATAAGCATACTCTATTTAAGGCTTCACCACATTTAGAACCATGATGTTTGAATAATTTGGTTTTTGTATGAATTTTTATATGTGATATGTTTCAAGTAGAAAGTAATTGTTACCATCTGCTTTCAAGACTGACAAATATATGATATCAATAATAATTTGGTTTTTGAGCCTTGAAAAGGATGAAATCATTTCAAATGTTGAAATCATTAAAAATGTTGAAATTCAAGTGATGATAGTTGATCATGCTGGCAGATGTTCAGAGTATATAATTTGTTGTTGAAGGAAAATTTTCCTGAGTCTGTATTTTTTTTTTCTTTAGAGTGTTCATTTCATTACAGTTTTTAAGTTGTGTTTTCAAAAAACTAGACCTTTGTAATGTATTTTTTTTGCTATGATTTACTCACAACGAGTTCATGTACACACCACATGCAGCATTTTTCTTGGTTTTTTCAACATCATTTGCATTTTCATCACTTTTTTCAGTGACTTATTTCCTTTGACAAATTGAAAATTTCTGTTTGTTTTATATATGTCATTAATGGGAAAAAAGTCTTGATTTGTGGGTTGGTGAAGAAACAAGTTCAATTCAGTACTTTTTTGAAAGTTTGTTCCTTTTTGTAACATCTAGGCTGTTCCACTTGATCTCCTGCCAGTATGTTTGTATCTGTGCCCAGTCTTCCTAATTACCATGCTCCAGTGGTTTTCTTTGTGTTTCCCAGCACATGTTCACTGTTTGAATTTTGGTGACAATCTTTGTAGTTTATGTGATCTATCAATGTGGACCTATGGGGCATGAAATTGTCATCTATTTTAAATACAGTCTTCCTGTTTCATGAAATGTACTGTGCTGAAAGTCTCCAGCCATTTTTTATATTTGCTCTATTACAATTTCTGTTTTTCACACCTTTGGTTAAATTCAAAGTGTGTGAACTTCAAGATAAATTTACATAAATTTCGTGATCACTTGACCCAGGGTGAATCAAATAACATAGTTCTGTGGTATAGTGAGAAATAATCCCCCTCAGAAGGGGGATGATTGATTACAATTTTAATAAATCCTTTACTGCCAGATTTCAATGTCACACATAAACATGGAAAATAGTATTCTATTTAAAGAAAAATATTTTTTTTATCTTTTTTATAGTTTGCCTCTGGTCCTAGAAATTTTTGTATATTCTTACTTTTGAAAACCCTTTTTTTAAACCCTCCTAATAAAACTCCTCAGAAGAGGTGCCTATTATAAACACTTTCAGTAATCTGTGAATATGCAAATTAAATTTACATACTTTTCAGACAAGACAGGTGCTTGTGATTCAATGTTTGTATTGTTTCTGTCATGTGAAGCCAATGAAGCCTTACTCTTAGACAGGTTGTAGCAGGTGAATGGCTGTCATTGGCTGGTAAAACGATGAAAAAACTCCTAAGCAATTAAGAGGCAGCCAACTGAATCTTCCACGAAGTTTTAGAGCTTGATTGGTTTATGAAAGGGACAAAAATTATTGAAAATGCCTCCCCTGCTTCCACAGTGGCTGTGCTTCTCATGCTGATCTTTATTCATGAGCTTTTGGGCTTTTATGGCTTGATTATGGAAGGCCGAGGAGATTTGTTATTGGGTCAGGATATGCCAAGAATTCTGATCTTTGATCACCTAGGATATGCAGGTGGAATTATCTCAAATTTGTCTGATATTTGCAATTGAGAAGAGCTCAAAAACAGATCATATTTCCTCCTTCTATTTTTGCCTCAGGCATGAAATGAAAGTTGGATTTGAAAGGCTTCCTGTTTGATCTTCATTTGGGCAAATGTACTATTTTACTTAAAATGCATTATTTAGTAATTTGAAAGGTGAGAACAAGTGGCCTGGCTGAAGGCCATGTATGGTGAAAATAATTAAGGCTGATTGAAATTCAGATTAGCTTGACAATGAATTACAGTGAAGATAGATCAGATATTGTGGGGAGAGAACAAAATGGCTTCCTTTATCAGGGAAGGCTTAACATCACAAGCCGCAAGATTGAGAAAATTTACAAGCAGTGGACCAAGGAACTGGAAAAACATGACTTTGAAGGTGTGAAATCAAGGAAGGTTGAAAAACTCCCTGTAAATTCTGAATGGAAATCCTCAAGGAAAGAAAACATCTGTGTGAATAGTAATGAGCATAATATTATGAGCAAGAAAAGCTTTGGACCTGGTGGATTTTCAGTTAAATATTCTGTTGATGACAAAAAGTTGCCTCCTTTTCGTACTGGAAAATATATTCCCAAGGATGATGTTTATTCCTGTGGCAATTGTGTACCCAATGAAAAATCATTGGCTTTGTCTGGGAAATCTAAGGAAAGCTCAACAGAGAAAATTGTGTCTGGTTTGAGTTCACCACCTCCATTTAGAACAGGGAAATACACTCCAAATGATAATTCTATCTATGTGAAGAGCCCAGAAAAATTGGAAACACCATCTAGTTCTCCCTCTCATGGTTCACCAACACACAGAGCAAGAAGGCCATCTTCAGAGAAAATTGTTGGAAAACAAAATGGTTATTTTGCCAGTGGACGAAAATCACCAGGATCACCCAGAAATAGAACTCTAACAAAGTTTCCTGCCACAGAAGGAAAGAAAACTTCATCACTTGAACAGATAAGTCCAACCACTTCAAGTACTGGTTCAGCAAAACTGAGATTAAAAATCTCAATAAGTCAGAGTGCGGAAATAGTGGGCAGAAATGCTTCATCTCGCCCAAAAAGTTCTGCCATGGAGAATTATGTGAATTCAAGGACTAGAACCCGGAGTGAAAATATGCTGTCTATCAAATCTTCTCAGCGCCCTAAGAGTTCAGTTTTAGAAAACAGCACTCATCGATTCAAATCAATTGTACGAGATATTGACATAGGAGCTACTGAAAAATGTAAAGCGACTGTAAAAACTCAAAGCAGACCACGTAGTGCTGTTTTGGAGAACTCACTTTCTAGTCGTTTGCCTATGAAGATTGTAACAAGCACAAAAGGTCAAGCTTCTCTAGGAAGAAATCTAGTGTTGGATAGGTCCCCCAGTGGGGAATCCAAGAGATACCTCAGGAAGGGGTCAGATTCTTCAGAGAGAGGGCATCAGCGCTCTAAGACAACAACTTCAATCAGCAGCAGCTGCAGTGAAAGAAGTTACAATGCAGTGAGACTTAGAAAACCAAGGCGCATGCTTCATAGAAATGCTGCCTATGTCAAACCCAGAAAGAATAAAAACTACAAGCCTGTGGAAAGGAAACAAGGCTCTCTTCAAAAGAAACCTCCCAGGTCCCCAAGAAAGGGAAAACTGGAATCAGACAGAGTGGATGGATGTATTGCTGAAAAACCATCTGCTTCACAACAGTCATTTGTGTTTTCTTTATTCATGGACAAGTTTTGCATACGAACAAGAAAACTTAGGGATGGTGGCCTGAAAATCCCTACAATCAAGAGATATCGTGTGATGGTGTGGAAGATAAAAAGGATTTCATACCTGCTCTATGAAAAGGTGCTAATTATTTACTACAATTATTTTCATCTCTTTATCACTTGCTGTAAAATTTTAATTTATACCAAAATTGTTGGGATTTATAATGCTTTGCCATATCTGAAGGAAATTCTTACGCTGATTTCACTTTTAGTTGTGACACCACATGTGACACCATTGCATTTTGTTAAATAATGTGTTTTATCACGAGAGTATTCTTTTATTCCTTTCCTTCTGCCGGGTTAAATGTCTCTTCTTTTCTTTCTCACTTTGCATGGTTTCAGTCTGGTTGATTCTTCTTTTGATTTTTGACACAAATCTATACTGTGTCAGCATCTTCTGCATCTCAGCAAGAGAAACACATGAATGCATTTTTCTAAAATGTAGATCTTTTGTTGTTAATCTTGAAACCACAAGGAAAAGAAATTGTTGTCTTTAAAAAGCCAGGGGACACAGGGAACATCAGTTAATTTACTTCCCATGATTTAATTTTGCATAGTAACTCACAGTGGTGTAGAATTGATGGCAGAGTATTTATTAGAGGGAAAAATTGATTGCATTTGTTGTTTCACTGTTATCATGCATGAAGGATAACTGTGTGTCTGCCTTAAATTATTATATTGAAGTTGGCTTTGTGGACATACCATGTAAACTTGTGTCATCCCATGATTATTCTGAATATTGTTTTTGTGACAAGTGGGTTTGTCAGCATGTATTGCAGTAAATAATTTTTTTTCTGTCATTATTATTCACACATGAGTTGTTTTGGTTTTTTCAATATATGGGCATCATAAGTAAAGAGCATTTTAAAACACAGCTGTTCTTTGTTCTTAGGTGCTCTCCATTGACTTATTCCATTGTGTTCAAATACAGCTATACATCAGAAACTTCAGCATACTATGTCTTGCATTGAATAATATTTCCTCAAAGCCATTTGTCAAATAGTGAAGCTTGCCAAATTAAGAAACATAAAGTTGTATCATGGATTTACCAAGATTTGAAATAGATAAAGCTGGGTGTGGAATAGTATGTTTGTAATTTTTGTAATTTTTGTTCTTCTGATCAGCATATTTCCTGCCATTATGGAGCAATTTACAGTAGGAATAAATGCGGTTATAACTGACAACTGGTACTTGATAAAGGGAAGCAGGTTGAATTTTTTGATAGGGTCACTTCCACAAAAAAAAGAAATAAAAAATAGAATATTTGATTTTTTTCCAATTGATGATTATTGCCACTGAATTCAAAGCTCTAACAGTGGAGAGAAATTACATTACCTCCTCCCTTGAGTTTATTTGTACTTGTTGTTAAAAGTGCAGGATGTTTTCAGTTTGGCCACCACCTGTTGTTTCTGAGCCATTAATAATTAATCTTTCAAAGGAAAAACCAAATCTTGTTGTATGAAGCCATCCTAGACCTTGGGTTTTTCTCAAGGATGATCATTCTAAATTGTACTATGTTTGTGTTTCCTTTTAAATGTGTGAATCAGGTTACATTTCTTAACCCAATGGTGACAAAAAAGCCAAGACTTCAGCGGCAGAAGAAGTTGTTTCACATTCAAAAAGGTGAGAACTATTGATAGTTTTTATGTTAGTTCATTATCACTGGTGCTAGATATTCCTCCTCTTAAGGTTTTTTATTTCATTGAGAATTTTCAAAGTCAAGGTCATTTAGATAAATTTACCCTCTAATGTCGTAGTATCATAGTGTTCAATGAGTTTTGTTAAAATAAACTTGGTTGTGAATTTTGTTGATGGTTAAACTTGTAACTCTAACATGTGCTTTGTTCAAAATTAAATCATTTGATTTTATGAGAATGACTTTTTGCAGTTACATGTATGTTCCATTTTTACACTAATTTCATATTTTCAAGTTTATTCATCATATTTATTCAGGTGTAGGTTAAAATGTTGTAGTATTTATGAAATGAATTGTGCCAGAGATATAGATGGTTTGTTATGATATTCATGAACAACTATAAGAGCCATCGATGTGCATCCTAACTTTCTTCCCATTTCAAGACTTTGTTGAGTCTTTATCACTGCGCTTCTAATCCTATTTTACAATTGATGATTGCAACAAATTATATCATAAGCTGATTATTTCTCTGTTATAGATCATTATCTCCAAAATGCTTTTGAGATGTCTTTTGAGTGGATTAAGAAACATTCTAGTGGAAATTTTACACACCTAATAGCCCAATTGTCAATCCTAGCAGGCACAAACAAGGATGTTTGCACTAAAATTTCATTAGTACAAGATAAATATAGAATAAAAATCTTTTTTCCTTCCTTCATTTTTGTACCTCTAACATGACTTAACTTGTTGTAAAGAGGAGAAAAGAAATAAATTGTTTGAAAATATCCAAAGCAAGATAAAACAGGTTGGAATCATAACATCAAAATTAAACCAGCACAACAGTTTAAAAAAAAAAAACTGTACATTCCTGTTACTTTCATAGTGCAGCTCTGTTCATCTTGAAAATATAACAATCAAAGATTTGGTTATTTTAACCCCTTTTAGAAGCTTGTTCAGGGCCACCACAAACAAATGTTTCTTTTTTTTCTTTTAAGCCCATTGCTGTAACACTGAGTTGAACCTACATTGTTGATAATTGTGTTGGGAAAATATTGGCTCTTTGAATTAGACAGTAGTAGTAAATAAAAGACAAAGTTATTGATCAACAGGGTTTAACTGTTTAAGCAAGAAAGGAAGTTATATTTCACTCAGGTGCATTTAGGGCTCTAACTGTATTCTGTGATGGGTTTTTCTTCACAGGGAAAAATTTCCTGCGAGCTGGTCAAATGAACACAAATGTTGCAACATGGGCAAGACTCCTGAAAAGGGCAGCTCCACCAAATTGTTCAACAAACAATTCAACATTGAGCCCAAATTCTACATCATCCTCAAGGCAAGTATACAGGGAACATCAAGGATAAGATATAAGTGAGGCAAATTCATCACTCTGGTTTCACTAAGCTAATGTGGAGACACCAGGGAAGTTTGCTGAATGTTCCCTGAACATCATTTTTTCCCATGGTTGATGAGTGCAAGGATTTGACTATGCTATTGCAATGGCAAAGTTGTAATTAATTTTGCTAAGCTCAGGAGACTCATAATTCATTTAAGTTCCATCTCTCTGACAAGTATGCCAATCAGTGATCCAGAAAAGTGTTGACTACATGACTGATGTTGCCACTGGCTTTCAAGTTGTGTCAGTCGTCAAGTTTCTGAACAAGGAGGCACATCCCTGATAAGAATCTTTTCTGTCCAGATGTGTGCTCTGAATTTTAAAATTAAAATTTTTTTGTTTCTTCCGTAGTGCCCAACAAGGTTCTCAAATGCAAACACCTCCTAGACAACCAGACTTTGACAGCACCACCCCAGCCAAAGGGCAGAAATCAGCAAACAGTGGTGAAAAACAATCAAGCTCAAGCACTAAGAGTGCAGTCAATGAAAATGAAGTCCAGGTATGATTGAAGAATAAACTGGCCCAATTTAAACATGCTTTTCTCATAGCATAAGTCCTTACAATTCTCTCAACATCAAATGACTGTAAATCAATTACAGAAAATTTGCTCTTACATCAAGATAGCAACTTCTACCTTTTTAGTTTGAGTATTTTTATTACCTGTTTGCTGGACAATGCATGGATTTTATAGGGAGAAGTTGCATTCAAAGTAGATGTTATGTATTGTTTCAGGATGCTCTTTCAGCATTTGGATTCCTTGACAGCCCTCAAAGTCCACCAAGACCAAACATACAGACATCCCCACCAAAACCAAGCCCTCCTGTTAGGAGAAAGTTAGTGTTCACTTTTTTTTAATGCTACTTACTTCAAAGGATTGATTCGCTCTAAAATTTTTAATACCATATTTCTTCACCTATAAGCCAAGCAATTTTTTCAGAAATTGACACAAAAGTTTTGGATTTTTTTTCAAGAGAAACGGGGTTCAGCTTATAGCTGAGGGTTTGGGGTTCAAAAACAAGCACAATTGCAAATTCAATGTTAATGCAAAATGACCATAAATTCCATGACTGCGGCACTCTTTACGTGACATGTTTTAAAATGGTCATGACAACAAAGTTTTCTGACCATCAATTAGACACTTTGCTTTCCATGCATTGAGAGACAATCTCACTCAACTTGGCAAAACTCTGCTCATTTCACATTACAAATGAAATATGGTAGTTGCAGGGAACTTTTGGGAAGTGTCTGCATAGGAGGCATAGTGAATTAGGGGCTATTTCTGCAGTCTTATTTTTAAATCCTATGCTGATCACTGGACAGATTTGTTCTTGAATAGGTCAAATTGAATCCCTCCACCACGATTGAGAATATATACAGGTCTTGCTCCAGCCATTTGGTTATATGCTCTTACAAATGTCTTGATCCATTTGGAACTTTTTTCTATGATTTTTGTTGTATAATGCCTTTAAACTAGCAGGAGTAGCTAGGTGCTCTTTGAAAAAAAGAGAAAGAAAATAATTTGAGGTCTTATCATTAACAATTTCTTTGTTTTAGCATTGCAATTCTTACTTTTTTTTTACTTTTGTTGTGACATGTAGATCTTAAGTAAACAGATGTAGATACTTGACTGAGTGAAAACAATTTAGAATACAACCATCAAAAGATGGTGACACACACACAGCTTTTGTACCTTTGGAACTGCTGAGACTTTGATGCTTCTGTTAGCAAGTGATGTTGTGCACTTATGATATACTTTCCTTTCTATAAAAACCTCTCTTTTTTTTTTCCTTAACACAGACCTCCTTCACCTCCAACTAGTTCAACGAGTCATATGAACATTGACAGCTTTCGCTGCATTAGTGTGTTAGGTAGAGGACATTTTGGAAAGGTAAGTTGCAGTGTTATATAAGCAACCACATTATATTTTACTCATTTCTATCAAGCTACCAAGAAGGGTGATCCCCAGACCATCCAGATGGATTTGCAAGTTATTTTACTTCTTAGGAACAGATCCTTTTGCCCTCTGGAAGAGATTCTGCTGTTCTGAGCCCTGCACTCTTCAGAAACTTAGCCTAACCGTTGTCCTCTGAAAAAGATTATTGTTATGATACTTTATTAGGTTAAGGCTGCATTACCATAGAAATCATTTTTTGCCTGTGTTAGTTGACCTTTTTCTGCCCTTACATATTTATCATTAATTATCAGAAGCACCTTTGTAATCATTGGGAAGGAGTATTTTTGGAATAAGGGATGCAATTACAATTCACTTAGTTTTAGTCTAAAGAATTTTTTCCTTTTCTCATGGTACCAGGTTATTTTAGCAGAATACAGGAACACCAATGAATTGTTTGCAATCAAGGCTCTGAAAAAGGGTGATATTATCGCAAGAGAGGAAGTTGAAAGGTAGGCTTCTGGGGCTAACTGAATTTTAAAACAGTTGTTTACTTTATTTAAATTGTAAAGCTTTATTAGAAGTCAAGTTAGAAATGTTTGAAAACTTTTTCAGTATTTTTGAGACAAGGACCTCATCGTTAACCTAAGCTACGTATGTTACAGATTAATGTAATGGATTACAGTTGAACTTGTATTAGGCAGCATCACATTAAGTGGTCACCCAGTATTGGACAGTCATATGTCAAAGTCCAGAATTTTTTTTCCTTGATCACCATAATTTTGACCTCTATTAAGTGATCACCTCTATTAAGTTGTCCTGGTCACCCTTAACTAAGTCCCAATTCCCTGTTTTAATTGTCTTCCACCTGTATTGAACTGTCGCTGAAAGTGGAACCACTCAAATTAAAGTAAGAATAATCTTTTGAGTAATTTTTAATCCATGTTTCTCTCCCGAAATCAAAGAGATTCCATACATCAAGTGGTCCATTATGGCATTAAGTGGCATTGTTTATTGTACTTATATAATACCCAAAGCCTGTGGTACCTGTTTAAAGTGGTCAACCTGCTTTAAGCGGTCAATCTGTATGAAGCGGTCACCCCACTATTCCCCGTGGGTGACTGTTCAATACAGGTTCAACTATATAGTCTTAATGCTTGTTATATTAAGAGCTTTACATTTACCTGGCTATCTTTTATTTTGTAGTCTATTATCAGAGAAAAGAATTTTCTTGACAGCAAACAAGATGAGGCATCCATTTCTAGTTAACTTATTTGCCTGCTTTCAGACCCATGTAAGTTTGATATGAATATTATTGCAAGTCATTTTGTTTTCCTGTGTGACTTACTTAGAAGTTCGGCCTTTTGCATTTTTGTTCCTCCCTTCCACATTGTGGGTAATGCCGCATTCACACCAAAGCTTAAACATGTTTAAAAGTTGTTTTGTTAAACACAGTTTAATTTTTTTTTTCTTTTTAGAAACTATTTAACCGAATATTTTTGACTTGAATGTAGCACATTGGAAATGCAAGTTAGCAAGTACTTGAATCCAATGGAAAATCAAGTTTTCAGTGCTCTGTTTATAATTTTCATTCAATGAAAACCAGTTTAACAAAACATGTTTTGCTGGTGTGAATGGGGTATAAGTTATCATCCCACCCCTGGGTTTCTCTGGCATGGTCGTCATAGTAACCTTGTTGCTTACATGATTGAATCCCTTGACTGTCTCCACATTTTGACACCTACCTACCCTCCAATCCCAATGACACAGTCTTCTTCATTTTGCTTATCTTTTAAGTAGTTCTTCTATTAGATTTGTTGACAGATTTTTTTTTGTTTAATTTGAATAGGAACATGTGTGTTTTGTAATGGAGTATGCACCTGGAGGTGACCTTATGATGCACATACATGCAGATGTCTTCTCAGAACCAAGGACAGTGTAAGTACTCTTCCATGTAATATGTAAACCTAAACATTGTTTTGTGGTGATATCTGTTGATGTTGTGGGAAAGGCACTGGGCTCCATCTTAAATAAACTGTGTTTGAGCCTGGACAATGGCCATCTTCTTGCACTGCTAAGAAAGGCAATTTTCCTGTCATAGTGAGTTTCTCCCCATTGGGCTTAAATTACAGCATTTGCTGGCTGAGGAAAACCTCATGTCCTGTTAGAGAAACCTCATGAAATGCCAGGATGACCAGCTATTTGCATCCCATCCTGGAAGGGGGTGGGGGTTCACTTCTCATTACTGAGTGTTCCAAAATAGGATATGAACATCAGTAACTACTGTATGCGAGTCGGTCTCATGGAAGGCATTGCAGTCTGTCTCTTCAAAGAATATCAAGCTCATTCAGTTTAGTACTGGTAGTCGTTTTCTTGAGCCACTTTGCTCACCTATTACAAAACTATATCATAAGTGTATGAGTTTCATTTACCGTAAAAGTGGTCTCCTCGGGGAAAAAGTAATTCGGTCCATCTTTTAAAATGAAATGCTGCTGTATTGTTTTCAGGTTTTACACATCATGTGTAGTGTTAGGATTGCAGTATCTCCACGAACACGAAATAGTTTATAGGCAAGTAAATTCGCCTAACATTTTGTTGTCTTTGTTTACTTTGACTGGCAGACGTTGTTACGGTTAAAGGGTTGTATACACGTTTCAATTATTTCTTCGCGAAAGGGTCAAGGCAGTGTTGATTTGTATGAACCATGTAAAAAAAACTCTAGTTGTGCGTTTAATTCGTGTTGTATTTCAAAGAAACTGGCTAATGAAAAGTCAAAGTCTTTAGCTAGGGAAGTGTGATAGAATGTCAAGGTGTGGTTGTTATTGTCTTTTCTATTGTTATTTTTATTGTTATTACTATTATTATGTGGTATATAGATAAATTATTGTATATTAAGCAATTATTCAGCGAGTGCGCGTTGGACATGAGATGATAGATAGCTAAACACTTCCGGTAGATAATTAAACTTTTCCGGTTTAACTCGTCGTTAAAACAGGGAATTGGGACTTTAACTCGCACGCGCATGGTATAATGGATAAGCCAATGAAAACACTTAAATTGCATTATCGAATGATCTCCTTTTTAATTATCATTATTATTATTATTATTATTATTATTATTATTATTATTATTATTATTATTATTATTATTATTATTATTATTATTATAGCACAAAGGTCAATTCTCATAACCATACCATGTGTTATTGGGTTAAGTAATTTTGTAATTATACACAGTTGTTTCAGTGTGCTTAAGATGAGGCACTTCACATTCTAGGGATTTGAAGCTGGACAATTTATTACTGGATTCTGAGGGTTACGTCAAGATTGCGGATTTTGGTTTATGTAAAGAAGGAATGGGTTTTGGAGCAAGAACAGGCACCTTCTGTGGAACCCCTGAGTTTTTAGCCCCTGAGGTTAGTGCACGATTGAATTAGAGATGTTCTGCTCTCATTTGTTCATTTTTAGGGGGGAGGGGGAGGAGGGGCGACGGACAGGCTTGGTGTTTAAAAATTCAGATGTTCTTTCGATTTGTACGAAAGTCAACACATTGTTACTCACTTTCTACTTTCAGGTTCTTACAGAAACTTCGTACACGCGAGCTGTGGACTGGTGGGGTCTTGGAGTGCTCATATTTGAAATGCTGGTCGGAGAAGTAAGTTACCATTATAAAAACAACATTATCCTTGTGTTACGAGAAAAGGGCGCGATAATTCACCGGCATCTTTTTTTAACTGCGAGTAAAGGGTCAGTAGACACTCTCAATACTAGTATTAATGATTATTGACTTCGCGAACAAATTGATAAAGTCAGGCAATTTAGGAGGTTTGGAAATGCGTTGAAGGAATTTTCCACCTTGTTTACTTAGTATTTCAAAGTGAAAGACTGGTTTGCAGCTAATGAATTTTGGAAATGCTCAATGAAATGGTTCAACTCTTGCGAATAATAGCGGTTTTGTGAGTACGTTGTTTAAAAACTTTACCATTCCTTACTTTTCTAGTCACCGTTTCCAGGAGATGACGAAGAAGAAGTTTTCGACTCTATTGTTAATGATGAAGTTCGATATCCAAGGTTCCTTTCAACAGAAGCCATTGCTATCATGAGAAGGGTGAGTCTTGGGGCTGTTATCAGGAATAAACGTGAAATGTTAATTCTTCTTGCTAGCTAACTTGAATCCTGTTATTTTTAGAGTTTGGTTTAATATCAATGCTATGCTCATCTTGCTTTTTTGGTTGTTTAATATATTCTCTAATAGTGTCCTTGTTTTGGTGTTTCTCTTGGCAATTTTTCTGTAAACAGGAAATTGTCTGTGTCTAGATGTACAGTAAGTGGTTATTTTATCCGTAATTAACCATTGGAGAAAGAAATTACGACGAAAGCGCAGATTCTTAGTTGATAATTTTTTTTACTAGTCCATCGTGTGTTTGCGCTTGCAATAGAACAAGTTTTCTTTCATCAGGTTCTTTCAGTTTCACTGATTTGTTTCTTGTTTTCAATCCACTTTAGTTATTGAGGCGCAATCCCGAAAGACGGTTAGGAGCCAGTGAAAAAGATGCAGAGGATGTCAGGAAACAGCCATTCTTTAGGGTAACTGATGATCTTTCCTGTTTATTTGTCTGGTAAACTGGGAACAAACTTGGTACAAAGTGCAAATGGAAATGCACCTGTCAACATTTCTGGGAAGGTTAAAGGTTAAACTCTCAAGTGATTCCACGTGAGCTTGAAGGCCCGTTATTAAGTTCAGTGTAAATGCCAGATTTTTATCTCATTTTAGTTTCTTTAAATTGGAAAATAGTGATATTGAATGATTACTTTCTGTCTCTTGTTGTTAGGATATGAACTGGGATGATCTCCTCGCTCGAAAAGTTCGACCCCCGTTCGTTCCAAGTGTGGTAAGTTTTTGTTTTGTATGCTAAACTAGTAAACATTCGCTTTTACAACATACGTCGTGTTTCACACTTCAGTTTGAGTCTTCTACTAGTTCCACCCTTCAAGAAAATGTTTAGACTGTTTCCACTATTTTTCCGTAATCCTTCTTTTCGAATAATGTAGAAATATTAGCTTGACCGAGTCCATATTTGTAGCCTAAAAAGCCTTCGCCGTTAAGGGTTTATTTATTCTATCATAATTATTGTCTTTTTTTGGGAAATATTTCGAGCTGTGTTTGCGAGTTGGAACGATTTATTGGTTCTAAGTGTGGTTTTACAGTCGTTGATAACCTAGCAAGCCTCGCTACAAAGCCTGAAGCATTTTAAGTAATGCCAGAAAACGTAATGAAAGTTCTGATGTTTCTTTGTAGAGACACGCGGAAGATGTGAGTAACTTCGATGAAGAGTTTACCTCAGAAGAACCTGTCTTGACACCTCCAAAGGAAGCCAGACCGTTGAGCAGTGAAGAGCAGGTGAAAATCCTCTTGCTGGTTTTCAACTTGGGTGAAGGCAAAAAATATGCCGCAGAGTCAGGAAATTTCCTTCGGTTCTCTCTTCTCTAAAGTGGTCTCAACGTCTGAATGTTAATTCTTATAACTGGGGACTTAAAGACCTAAAAGATTTCTTTGTTACCCTGTCCTTAGAATTTGATGCTTAAAAATTAAAAAATGCTAAAAAACCCAACCCGTTAGCTGACAATTTAATAACTACTTAATTCCTGTCTTAGACAACGTATTTAAATGGCCTGGAGAATTTTGCATCATTCCTAAGAACTGCAGGAACAAGTCTGATGCCTTTACCATGGGGAAGTCGACCCGTTCGTGTTTGTTCCATTGTTTTCCTTGTGCAGGACCTCGAGAGTAAACCAGTTTCCCTATAAAAATTTATTTTAATTTTCAAATGTGACAGTAATGGCTTTCTCTTCTTCTACAGGTATTGTTCGCTGATTTCAATTACACGGCCGACTGGTGCTGAGAGCATTCAAAAGCGAGCGATTATTTTATAGAGTAGTTTAGCTAGTGACGGATTTTCATTTTTACAGTCCCCAGGAGCAGCAGCTCAGTTGTAAAGCAGTTTTATGAAAGAGAAAAGTGCAATGATTTTATTTTTATCTTAACGGGCTTGTATTTCCCCTTCATCGTTTTCCTCATCTCCGCCACGCTGAGCAGATGGCGTAAAGTGTAGTTTGGGATGTAAATATATATGTAACATAAACGTTGTCGCCAATCTTAACACTAAATTCTGGCTGGTTTGGCTCTATTTTTGAAGAAACAATTGCGCGCGCTCTGAGAAATAACAGAGAAGTCGCCTTATTATTCTTTGTATCATAACTTGAAATTACTCGAAGAATGTTCACAACTTTCGTGGGATTTTGATACAACATTTCTCCTTTGAATCTGTTGCTAAAGACTTATAGCTTGTCTAGAATGTTTATATTATTATTATTTGTGGCGGGGAGAATACCACCGAATGAAGACAACGACTAACACATTCCATCTCGTGCACGAACCGAAAGTAATAAAATTTAACTTACTCCTTAAGTTTCTCAATACTGTTGATTTTCTGAAATACAAGATGGTCGTTAGTTTTTGTCCTCCTTTGGTGGAAGAGAACTGAAATTAGAAATGATCTTACAATTAAACTTGTACATAATAAGAAAATTCTCTGCCAGGAGATTGTATATCATTTATTTTACAGTATCAATTTGAAATTAAACCTTGACGGATTTGAGTTTAATAGTCGGAATATTTGATTTATATTACCAATAAAGAGTCTACGGTTTGTTTTGACTTTCATTTTAAATCGACGTGAGGGATGCTGCATTCAGTATGTGGCGCGTTTAGATAATAAATTCTTGTGAACCCTTTGAACTGTGTATCTTCGCTGTGTATTGTATTGTGACTGTAAATACCTTCGCTGTAATTGTCGATAGTGGATCAATTTTCAATCGATTGTCGTTAGTATTGTAGGATAGCACGACTGTCTTACTTCTCACTGTTATTGCTGTAGAATACTCGCACCACCCTCACAATGAACCACTCGACTGCATTGCTAAAACCAAAGGCATCTTGGGTCATCAAGGCGGCGCGTTTGTTTTTATTGTTAGTTCTCGGGCCCCTTGTGCCGTTTTCCTCGACTGTGCCTGACAGTTGTGATTACACGACACTCAATAAGAGCTACCCCATTCAGACAATCCGAAATACTGAATCGGAAATAGTTCAATCGGTGACTCGCTCCATTTAGTAATGGTCACAGGACTGAGTGAAGTCCAATTCGGTCTGTTATCAAACGAGTGTTAACAAAGTCAGACGACCGCGCATCCTCTCGCTGGTTTCTAACTCTGGTAAAGACCAAAAAGATGCTGCAGTCTATACTCGAGTGATTCAGGAAATTCTCTTCAGTTATCACTTCACTACAGTAGCGAGATGCTAAGTCTCGACATCTGAATGCTAATTCTCATAACTGGAGACTTCTAGGTGTTAGAAGATTTCTTTGTTACTCCACTTGTTATAAAAAACCCTACTGTCAGCTGACAATTTACCAACTTCTTAACTCGTCTTCGACAATGTATCAAAACTCTCTAGAGAATTTTAAATCATTCCTAAGAGTACAGGAACTACAGGCCCCCTGTGCTATATTCCTTGACTGTGTCTGACAGTTTTGATTACTTGGTTTTGGTTTCACGACAGTCAACGAGAGCCACTCGATTCAGACAATCCGAAATACTGAAAATAGCTCGAGCGGAGACTCTTTCCATCTAGTAATGGTCACAGGACTAGGTGGCCGGAATCTAATTCCATCTGCAGTCATACGACTGATAACAAAGTCGGACGACCGCGCAGTAGGAGTCCGATTTGTTTATCACGAGTAGATTACAGACCAAATTGGACGACATGAAGTCTTCTTACCGATTAATCATAAAAATTACAATTTTTTAAACCAATCTCAATCGAGGAAATTGTGATTTTTTTATGATTTATACTGTAGAAAAGGGCTGTTCCAGTTACACTTGTCTGTAAGGTTAGCGAAAAACTGGAGGAGATAGAGATTACGAGCCTACCTTAAAGGATGTAAAATTTAACGTGTCTCTGACTTCTTTCCCCCCTTCTGACTTCCCCCCCCCCACCCTCTTCCTTTAAATTCCGAATGAGGGAGATTAGAAGCAAGCTCTTGACAAAATTTTGCAGGATGAGGGAATTTGACAAAAAAACCAGTTGGTACCGAACCTATCTCAGGCTCCATCTCTCAGAGAAATGGCAGTTGTCAGGGGTAACCTTTGAACGAGGGGCTGGCTCAGGTTACAGTTTGTACTCCGTAATAGTAATCTTTTGTTTAAACCTTAACACCGCCAAAACCATCATGCTTATTCGTTCTCTACACTGTTCTTTCTACATTTCTTTGGTGTTGATAAGGAAAGTTTGTTCAACAATCAACCTATTTTAGTTGGCGATCATGCTCTTTATTCTCATGATCTTAATGTTTGATTCAGAAATGATGCTAAAGGGAGAAAATAGATGCTGATCACTCCTGAGAGTTTGACTGACAACTTTCTCGGCGATGTCGTTGCGTAACTTGTCGAGACCTCACTGGACAGGTCTGTGCGAAGCCACGTGTAACTACTGTTCTTTCGGCCTGCTCTCTAAATAATTACACAGCAGCAGATACATTCATTGACGAAAGAATCCGAAACTACAGCACCACGTTTGGTGTACCTTCTTCTCCGCCGTATTTGTGAATTACTTCGATAACAACTCAGTTCGTTTTCATCACATTCCTCCGCCTCGCTATGCGTTCGGTAATACACGCTACCGCTCGTGATGGCCCGAACGCGTGACAAAGAGTCTGATGATAATTGGGAGTTGTCGAAGGCAACGCTTGCGTCACAAGATTCGTTTTGATTGGCCTCTCGAATAAATGACACCTGCCGCCGACTTGGCGTGACAGCCCCGTGACGACTCTGGCCCGTTGCATGATCGTTACTGAATGACAAAGAGGTGGGTCTCTGTGATTTCTCTTCTGAGTGAATGTATTGCTTTTCGCTGTTACTGATCGAAAGACTCGATTCATCGCTGGGTTTTCCCTCTTTTTCCTTTTCATTATTCTCAACTGATTCCCTATTTTCTTCATCTGCACTCAGTAAAGTTCTCTGATCCTTAGTTCCTATCGGTTGGTCGTTGTAAAAGGAGTCCTCTATCCGCGCTCTTGTTTCTTGCTCATCTTCGTTGATAAGTTGTGTAGAATCATTTGCTCCATAGAAACTCGCAATACTTTCGTCAGCCATTAAACGAGCCTTCTGCAAGCTGCAGAAAAAAAATCATCGCATTTAGTCTAGAAAATTGAAATGATTGAGGCTGCTTGTCAAGCACTATCAACGAAGACATTGTACTGATCCGGTACTCGTTAAGACTAATGCTGCATCAGAACAATTTTAAGTTGAACAGTTTGAATGAACGGACATTTGGCTTTAAGTTAGAGGCATCGGTTTATCTTTTTGGCTATCTTTATTGAGGTATTTTAACTCTAAGCCCTTACAATTTGTCGCTTTTGTCGGCTTTTTTTACGTTAGCATTTGAAATAGCTATATCCCTGAAAATGGAAAGAGGCACGAAACATTCATGACCTTAGAATAAAGGGGGTAAGTTTCTTAAGAAACTGTGGTGATGTGTCGGTGGGAAAGTATAACAGGGTAATTTGGTATTATCAACTGTGTTGATAACGTAAATTGGCCACCGTAAGGGGTTTTAAAAGCGTTAGCCCTTCGTTAGCCCTTCGTGCATAGCCTTGGGTTTTGGACGTGAGAGCCCTGACAACAATAGCTGCGCTAAAAAATCGGCACTTAAGGATTCAGTGTTGATCAAGACAGTACAAATGTCATTAGTAGAAATAATGTACTCACATTAACGACACCACCATCAAGACTTCCCCGAAGAGAGCGTAAATCGGGCCAATTAACATTTTTGAACCAGAAGTACAAGCGATAAGAGACTAGCAGTACCAGTTATTGGAGAAAGCAGATAACGCAAAAAGAAGAAATTTGTAGTAAATAAAAAACTTCATCAATTCGCCTTGCTGGCAGGTCTCATGACTATCACGATTAGAATTCTGACTCGTATTTATTGCTTTATTGTAAAGACTGGGTTTGGCACAACTTAAACTGTGGAAAATCCTCTAGAAATGGCCTCTACTTGGAGTTGATAAGAGTCATTTCCCTGTTTGACCGCTGGGCAGAGGAATGGGGACTCTGAAGACGAGATTGATTGCATTTGTTTAGTTTGCTTCATAACAAACACGACCTCAAGAAAACGTTCACAGGACAAGCCTACGTGATGACGAAAATTCGGCATAAACCTATGTTGCTGTCGAAGTGTAACTGTTTACGTCCGCAAGCTCTAATTCTTATTCGACGTCTTTCCAAAATTTTTCCTAGTGTATTTTCACTGACATTTTCAGAAAAGTTATGGTTCAGCAACGAAATCGTAGATGAATGCAGATGCGACCAAGATTAGTACTACTCAATTTATGTGAAACAGCAACTAATATATGTGCGCTTACATAAGAAACCTCTGCGTTGCTTAAAAATTCATTCCATTTTTTGGAGCAGGAAACTCAGCTTTCAGAGAGAACCAGTGATTTTGAATACTGAAATGGTCAATGATTTGAGTAAACTGGTTGATGCTGTAATGACTGAACGAACCGGCTAGTACTACAGCATTGTATTCCTCTCTGACATTACGTTGACCTCCTGAGAGTTTCCTAACAAATTTATGCCCTGTAGGATTTGAAATTTCTCGCCATTTTAATATTTTGCTTTAAAATCACGACAGAATAGCTCTTTGGAAACTTCAACATCAATTTCAACACTTTTGGCATCGTGTTTGAACATAACAATTTCGATACGGATTGATACGGTGCAAGTATATCTTACGGTTAGCAATACACTTAGACTATAAAACCTACCTGGCGAAATACTGCTGTTATGCAATTGTGCACGGATACATGGATTTCAAACAAGAGAACCATGAGCCTCTTTAGCTACTTTGAAATTTCGAAAACTGATTGCGAAATATTTATAATAAGCTCGCTGCAACAATAATAGTCAATGATTAATTGTTTTAACAGGGTTTTGAGTAACACAGTGTTGTGTATACATGTATTAGACTGATGTCACACAACAAAAGAAATGGAGGCAAAGTGCTTTCTCAATTTTTTCTCAAAGTCACTAATTCAGTCATTGGATTTTGAGTGAGTGGTCGGCATCAAAGATAAGCTATTCTCAGGGAGTGAATCACAATTTAGTATCTCAGTGAACTGTCATCCCAGTGGGAATCATCGCGAACAATAAATGTAAAACTATATTAAATTAAAATCGATGAACTACCTGTATTATCATATTCTGACAGAGCTGTATCTGGTTACGACTAAAGTTAAAACTACTAATAAAATAAACGGCCACTTACTCTTATCTCATTGAATTACTATACATCCTTTTGTGTTCTGCCTCGTTCTCCGAGGCCTTCCTCATGTAGTAGCTCCCGACGAAAGTCACGAGCCTAGTTTAGATTCCCATGCAAACTCTAGTTACATTCCCGTGACCAACTGAAATCATTTTCAACTAAGGATTGCGATTTTGACATTTCCTTTCTTTTTAAGTTCATATTAACGATCTCCAGCCAAAAAGTTGGCTAATGAATCGTATTGAAATCAATCAACTTTCCAGCGCCATCTTACTGTTTCATATTTCAGTGATTGTTATGTTGCCATGCACATCAAATTAATTATTTTATTATTAACTCAGCGGGAAAGCTCCCGTGGGTAGTCATGATCTGTCACTTACAGTTCACGGATACTTCAGCATCCGTTCAGAAGAGCTTTTTCTTCATAAAAAGTAACTGAAATTATTCAGGCAAATGGACGGTTTATATCAGTGATGTAGACGAATCCCTGAGGCTAAGTTTTTATCCCTGAACTTGTTAACTCTTGGTGAGCCCGTTTACAGTCGAGTCCAAGAAATCGCATATTTTCATTTAGACTGAAGCATCATAACAGTGTTTCCCTGATAATTGGAGAATTTTATGTGGGCTTGCTCGCAACAAACAGAGAAGAACAAAGACTGATAAAACATATATTTAGCCGCAGTTTGTAACACCGCCGCTCTCTGAGTATGTGTACGTTTGGATTAGTTCTAGATGCACGCTGATTTTCAGTCTTTCTGGAGCCGATTCCTGTACAGTAAGGTTTGAATAATAGTCTTATTAAGTAGCAAAACAACATTATTTCACTGTGTGGCCGAACGAAACCTCCCATTTGGAGATTCCTCCGAAGGAAAATCACACATAATCGGTTACATTATTGCAAAGCAAGGATAAGGTAGTTTCATCGGTTTAATTGAACAACAGTATTGTGGTCTCGTAACGCTGGCAGTGTTATGAGACCACCCATAACACTGCTATTGTTGAGACCACAATACTGTACAGACAACACATCCATAGCTGTGCAACATACCCGACTAATTAACTCATGTAAAGCAGGGTAATATGAGGTTGGCATACACCCAAGAATAGAGGCTTCCCTTTTCAAACAAATATTAGGAACCTGATTTAAAACCTAACTAATCTAATTTTACGACAAACACCATTTGTCTAAGAACGTACGGAGGTTAACTTAAAAAAACCTTGGTTCTTATGTCCGGGTTTTTATCGTAGCTTTCGTTAGCTGCGATTGATTGGTTTCGAATCGCTGGTTAAGGTGGCTCTTTTTCATCGGCCTATTCTGGTAAAAAGTCATCTCAGAGCGTTGGTAGCTTGTCTTAAGTTAGTTGGTGTAGGTTTAATTTCTTTAGTGAACTGAGAGAAGTCAACGAATATTGCAAACTTCCTTTTAGAGACCACGTGGTCATACTAGAAGAATTTTACAACGTCCAGACATAGCGCTTAGAGTATAAACTACGGCAACAAGTTCTTCGACATTTTTTTTCATTTAAAACGCAACACATAATCAACTCCCGCGACCGTAACGAACGTCAAGAGGAAGTGCGTGAACACGACTAGAACATATTTCTTTAAAGACGAATCTTTCAACAATCAGGCCACAAAAAGTCAATTTGTGCGACCAAAAAACAAGTCTAGAAGTGTCTTTTTCTTTGCAGAAACAATTACATGAACGACTAGAAGACGCGGGAAACGAATGCTAATACATTTCCCAAAAAAAATGTTTGTATCTACCATTGGAGTTTTTTTTCGAGGACACGGTAAAAGATAACACTGATAATTATCAGACACCAAACAGTTGTTGTCTTCATTTTTCGTGGTCTGGTCGTCTTATGCAGGATCTAAATGAACTGAAATGAATGAAGAACTGTTCAGTAAAGTGCTTAGACAGTCGTTTACTTTGATACTGTCGAGGAGTATTTAGTCAGTGAATCACAGGGCAGTACAATTAAGTGATTCATTTGTGTCTAGGTATGTTTTGAATTCGAATTCTGAAGTTATTTGGGTTTTAGCTATTACAGTGAGATCCCTGATGCTGACTGACTTAGTTACCATTCATTAGTGGAAGTGCTTAACTCGTCTTACGTTCTTGCCCAAAACCTACATCTCTAAAGTTCCTCTTTTTCCGGCTTTCACAGTCAAAGATTGATGTCGCCGTTGTGGATCGTTTGCCAACATACTTGTCCGGTCTATTTGGCAAGGGACAAATGTGACATTAGAATTACTTCTATTGCTTAGAAAATTTGTGGCGACTTTCCTGAGTTGAGATAATTCTTGTTTTCCCTAGTAGAAATGTTGAGGGTGTCATTGAATCATTTTATAGATAAATTTGTAAATGAGTGGAAATATATAAAAATATTAAACAAAGTCAACATAGGAACAACCTTAAAGCGGAGATTCGGAAGCTCATTTAATCATACCTATTGCACCTTGCCGAAATTAGGTTTAGCTGATAGTGGAACGTGTTGGAATGAGCAATTGTAAAACTTTCCTCGTTTTGAAATGTCTTTCAAGTCTCAAGTTAATTTAAATCGTTGTATGATATCATAGGAACTCTCGCTAAGTTCTTTGTTTTTAATACATATGTGAAACGAGGTGTCATTAAAGAATTAAGGAAATGTAACATAACATAGTACCGTTTGTAATTACCGCGATCAGTGTGACATAAAAACTGAGCCAGAGGGTAGGGGAGTTATTCCTAAAAATCCAGTACACAAAGAAAAGTTTATAAAATACGATTTAAAAAACGTTGCAATGTATTTGAAATGTGGCAGATTTTTCTTATGCAATATAATGCATTTTCATGAATTGATGATATCTATTCTTCGAATTCCTAGTCGGGCAAATGACAATAAAGCTTTAAACTATTGACAGAGGCTAACTGTTTCTGTTATTTTGATTTTCATCCTTTTCGATATTAGTAATAACGAATACTTTTAGAAAAAAATCCTTTTTCTTTCGGAAAGGTTCTCAAAAGTGTCGTAAACCGCAAATCAGCTTAATTGATTGATCCAAGTAAAAACTAAATCCCAGCACTGCAGTTTAAACTACGTTATAGGTGACCAGAGGAAGCTTTTATCATTGCGATAAATGTTGAAGATATCAGCGAGGCGGATTTCCATAAATTTTCGTCAATAATTTTAAATGGTCATTCACCAGGTTCTAAGATCAACAGGTACCTGTTACTACCTAGATAAGTCAGGAAATGAGGGTGGACCTTCTGCTAGGCTCTGAAATAGGTTCAAAATGTCCAAATGGGCGGTAATATTCCCAAAATTGGAATAATTTTAAGAGCCAGAAGCGTTATGAGAAAAATTCAGTCAGTAAAGCAAACAATGATAGCTGAATTTAAAAAAAAGGCGACGATTTTACTTGGTTTCTAAATTTTCTTTTAGGTCGAGAATTGGACAATTTTTTAGGTTATCAGGTCAGATAATGAATAATAAAATTCCGTTTCGATTTAGATTC